CATTCATTTCATTCTCACGATCTCTTTCATGCCATGATACCCCCCGTGCGCGCGGCCCATCGCTGCCACCCTTTCCATGTTCTCCATGTATTCTGTTTCTGCAGCTTCTGCCACTTTGCTGCACTCCGCATTCGCGCACAGGACATGCACATTGTCATATAAGCAAGCAGCTATTCCAGCGTATTGGTCCGCAGAGGGCTCGCTTGTTTGTTGTAATGGGGGCAACAATCTGCCTTCGGGTGCATTTGTGCGAGTACATACGCGCCCCAATCAATCCACTTCGATACCAAGCTTGCGCAGTATATCTATCCGTTCGCCCTCTGCGCGCCATAGATCCTCCTGCTTAGCGACTGTCTGCGCCTCGTAGTTCACTTTGCCTTCCATGATCTGGCTCACGCGCTCCGCCAGCCTGCGCACCAACGGCACCTCTGCAGGCCCGATCCGCAAGCCGAGGCGGAACAGCTCCGTTTCGCCATACAGCTTGCGCTTGTTCAGACCGCCTCCCGGCTGCTGCTGTGCGTCTCTCGAACCGCCGACAGTCGCCACGTCATGCGCGTGCGCAGGCGATAGAGGAGAAACTCCAAGGATCAGCTCGATCGCCGAGAAGCGATGGGCTTCGGTCGGCAGTGCGAGCAGTGAGTCGAGACCACGCGCGAGCGACTTGTTCAGCACGCCTTCTGGGTGCAGCTCACTCGGCGGGCAGAGAATGTCACGCACGTGCGCGTCCAGCGCGAGCTTTTCGAGCTGAGCGGGTCTTAGCGGTTTCGGATCATCGCGCTTCAATGGGTCGAGAAAGATCATCGGGTCCGGCTCGGGTGGCCATTGCAACTCCACCAGTGGTCGCAGCAGCGGCGAAGGAGGGCGATATAGCGACTTGGCACCTGGCTTGCTCGCGGATGCGACTGTGGGCAATGCTCCTGCTTGCAACGAAGGCTCCAAGTCTTGGATCCTTTCCAACGCAGTGGCATCAGAGCTTTGAGGCTCCTCATCAGTCAACTCCTGAATCATGCCCCGACGCTTCCGCTGCTCCTCAGCAGCGCCGAGCTCCCGCTCAGCATGGAGGAGCCAGTCATTCTTGGACAGAAACCGGATGCTCTGGATCGTCGCATCGACATGCTGCCCGATTTCTTTGGCTAGCATCTGCCGCAGCAGATCAGGCTGAGCGAATGGATTCGCAGGCGGTGCACGAGGCGTGGGTCGTGGCTTGTTCTGCAGGTGCGCAGGCCGTGCACGTTGCGCCGGGATCGAGCCGTCGGCCGTCTCGTGCAGATTCCGACACTGTTCCCCGTAGCCGCAGCGTCCTTGGAGCCAAAACTTGCAGATTGTTCGTTGCGCGGTACCAGCACGTTGCGCAGACTGTTCCATGATAGAATTTTCGCCTCCCGTCAGGACAGCTTTGGAGGACACTTCCTCCACAGCACCATCAGAATCATCTCCTAGCTCATCAGGAACAGCAGCAGCATCCTCTCCAACATTCCCTTCCTCAGAAGGCGGGCTCAAACTTATTGGAAGCCGCTCTGGGCCATCTTCCTCATCCGATGCGTCCGCGTTTGCGACTGGTGGCCGCGGATCTCCTGTCACGACGACTTCTTCGACTCTTTGCCGCTTGTTTCGATGGCGGTCGCCCACGTCGTGATTCTTGCTCTTTCCTTGCCAGTCGTCTTCGACCTTTTTTCGCTCGATTGCCTGAGCTGTCGGCCATCGCTTTTTCCTCTCGGCTATCCACTGCTTGACCATTTCTGGGGTGGACAGGTTGACATTGAGGCCTTGTATCATAGCCAGCTGCGTCTCTTCGTCTTCCCATCCTTTCTTCTGCCGCATTCTCCGTTCTCGCTCTTCTTCTACCAACATGGGATCGACTCGCTTCAATGCTGCGGGTCCGCCCGGTGGATAAATCAAGTGCCGATCCGCTTTGTGCAGAGTCAGCGCGAGTGAGGTGGGAGACCTCCAGCTGCATCGCTGCCCAGGGCGTACAGGATCGTCGATGCTGAAGACAAAGTCGCATTGCAGATGTCCATCTCGACCCGATGAGACGCCTGCTGCAGATGGGGATAGCCCGGCGGAGATCCGTCGTCCATTATACGCAGAGGGAAGCCCTCCTCGCCCTGCTCCTCCTCTGCTGCTTGCAAACCCTCTTGAATGGCGTCCTCTTCCCGAATCAAGTCGAGTCCCTTGAAACTGTTGCTCATTGTAACCCGATTGATCAGCATGGTGGTAGTCTATGGACGGAGTCCCGGCTGCAGGCGCGCCTGGCGTTCGACCTTGCCAGCCCGAGTCTGACTGACGTGGGCGCCAGTGTTGAGGTCCTCCGCCACGCGAGAAGCTCATGCTGGAGGAAGAACCGAACACAGCCTGCCGCGTCACAAAGATTCTAGCGTGTTCAGTTGCCCCTAACCGCGTGATTCCGTCGTCAACATCGATGTTTCATGTGAACGGAGTAAGCGTAGCAGATGCCACATCCGATATTTCGATTACTGCATGCGCGGGAGGTACATGATGATGCATGTCGTCCATTGCGCACACCATTTCAACTTTTTTTTGACGGAAGTTCGGGTTGGTCACCGACATCTCCCAGACCATCGGCATCTTCTTTGGAAAGCTCGCTTATGTAATTTTTTGTCGATGGGCCTCCAGAACTCCAGCTGCTACTAAGCACTAAATAATACATGGTCGACAAGGGGGTGACCAGGTAGCTTTGACAGCGTCTCACCTCGGTACTCTCAGGATCCAAACACGAGGTGTCGCATTGTAGGTTCACCGTGCCTGCCAGGGACACTCTCAAGTCCGGAGACTCCTTGTACTCAATGGCTTGTTATTTGCCGAAATGAGTGCGACATTGCAAACCAACTTATGGTCCTTTGCGGTCCGCCAAAGGCGGCCTCATGTCCTTACCAGCGGCCCAGCCCCCTGTTGGACGTGCTCTCAACGAACTCCCTTAGGACGAGCTGCATTCTCTGCTTCTGCTCAAAGGTCTCAGTGCAACAGAACGCCAGATTCGCAAGAATACAGCCCGCAATCCTTCCGCAAAAGAACACCGTGGTCCGACTCGCTAGCTCTGCAAGTGGCACATCGGTTGCGACTACCATGTTTTCCCGCCAGGTCCGAGCATCTCACGCTTCTAGAATCGCCTGCGCAGTTCTTCAATGTTCTCAAGGAAAAAATCGGCAAGGCGCGGTCGAGCATATATCTAGCCAGCCTTTACATAGGCAAGGATGAGACTGAGCTGGTGTGTCCCTCGACCACAACGACGGGCTATCGTGTCTCAAATGGGTTGCTTCACTCATAACCGCTTTCTTGTTACAGCTCGATTTACTGCGTGCTACGCTGCGCCAAACACCAGCATTGAAAGTTTTCATACTTGTCGACGCTTTACGGTCGACACGTGAGCCTCATCCCCAGCCTTCAGGTGCATCGATGCTTGCTACACTGCATCGAGAGTTCCCCGGACAAGTCAAGGTGCATCTTTTCCAAACGCCCAAGCTCTCTTGGATTATGAAACTTTTGGGCAAGAGACTAAATGAGGGGGCCGGCTTGCAGCATATGAAAGTCTATGCATTTGATGACGATGTCATCATTAGCGGGTGGGTCAACGCTGTGCTCTCTTTGTTCATTGATTTCGAGTTTGACTCCAGCTTCCGCCTTTTCAGAGCAAATCTGGCGAAGGACTACTTTACGGATCGACAAGATCGATATGTACTCATTGAAAAACATGTCGATCTCGTCGCTTATTTCCGCAAGCTCTTGGACGCTACCGCAAAATATAGTTATACCCTGCAGAGTGTATCAGACAGCGCAGGTGCATCTCTTAGCTACCGACTAGTCTGGCCGCGCGCACCACAAGCGTCCAAAACTTGGGCACAGGAAGCGTGCCAGCACATGCAACGGCTCACAGCAGTCTCAAGAGAACAGACAATAGCAAAGGAGGTCGAGCTCGGACATGCAGACACCATGATTGTTCCGCTGCTACAGATGGGCCCGCTCGGGATTTGTCAAGAAACCTCTGCAGTTCCTCTCCTTTTCAAACATGTTCAGCAGCAGGACGATCCAGCAGCGCGCCTTCGCCCGGTGCTCAACCTGACATCTGGCTATTTCAGTCTATACGCACCGTACAAGGCGTTGGTGCTAGCTAGTACGTTCGCCGTACGCATCATCACCGCGGCACCCCAGTCCAACGGCTTCTTCATGTCTGACGGCGTCAGCGGATATGTTGCCGATTCGTACACACGCTTGCAGACCAGCTTTTGGAAGGAGCTCAAGGCTGCTGGAAGGGCTTCTATAAGTACTGGAGCACCTGAGGGCAAGGGGAACGTCGAGATACGCGAGTGGAAGAGGGAAGGTTGGACATATCATGCAAAAGGCGAGTTGCCCAGATGGGGTCCCAACCAATTCGCCAAAGGATTTGCAGTACTCATTCTCCACAACCTCTTGAATTCTAGGGTTTTGGCTGACTCCTCCCGGATCTGCGGATCCCGAACACACCCTCATCGGATCGTCCAACTTTGGCAGCCGCTCTGCAACGCTTGATCTGGAGTGCACGTTGCTGATCAGCACTGCATCTCCCCGCCTGCGAACCCAGTTGAAGAAAGAGGTTGATGCACTTTCGGCAGACGCAAAGGACGTCTTTGATGATGCTTTTCTCCGCCAGGAGGCGGACAAGATGGGCCGCCGTAACACGCTCTTCGTTCGTTTCGGCACCTGGCTGATCCGCAACATGCTGTAACTTGATCGCTTCGAACGCACATTGCAAAGAGCCGCAGTATGCATGATGCATTGAATAGCATTTCATTACACAGGGGCATGTGTGACAGTTCGCCCGAGGCGCAGGACAGCATGAGCCAACGATCATGCCCTCGTAATGCTTCCTTCTGTGTCATATGCTCTTCTAAATGGTGAATGTTTGGCGAATGTCGCGCGAGCTGGCGCCGATGAGCACCTGTGTCTGACCCTTGGGACGGAGCCACTTCTGTTTGGTGACGTCCCAGGTGCTGAGGTCGTAGGCGTTGAGCTTGAACGTGACCGTCTTGCTCTCGCCCTTGGCGATCTCGAAGCGGTCGAACTTGCGCAAGACCTTGGGCGGCTCGCCGCTTCCGCTCGGAAAGGCGAGGTAGACTTGGGGAACTTCGTAGCCGTCGCGCGAGCCAGTGTTCTTGACGGTAAATGAGACCTCGTACACGTCATCAAAGATAAAGTCTGGGTACGCCTTTCCCTTGTAGACCTCGACCTTGGCGTTAGTGTTCTTGTCGCCAATCCACTTGCCCTTGGCGTTGGTGTAAGAGAATTTGGTATAGGAGAGACCGTGGCCGAAGGGGTAGCGAGGCTCGATGTTCTTGCTGTCAAAGTGGCGATAGTCGACGAGGAGACCCTCGCTGTAGTAGATCTGGGGCGTCTGCGCGTTGTCCATGTACGTCACGTCGGCAGAGTAGTCGTTGCGGCTTTTGGCGATGGTGAAGGGGATGCGGCCGGACGGGTTGACGTCACCGTAGAGAACATCAACGAGACCGTTTCCCGCCTCGGAACCGGGCATGCCGGCCCAGACGACAGCGGTGACGTTCGGATGGTTGATCCACTCCTCCAGGTCGAGCTGAGCGGGGGCGTGGATGACGACGATGGTGTTCGGGTTAACGGCGGCGACCTGCTTGACGAGCGTGTCCCCCTCGTGCCAGGCGGTCAGGTTGTTGCGGTCACCTGCATTGTTGTCGACGGTGATGTATCCTTCACCTGAGTCGGACTGCAGGAAGACGAGTGCAGCATCGGCGTTGGTGGCGACTGACTGGGCCCCGCCGTAGTTGTAGTCGTCAAACGTCCAGTAGATCGCCGTGTGGTCCTTCTGCGCGCGCTGGGATATGGCCTCGTAAGGGCTAACGAGATACGCGTAGTCCGCCGTGCCACTGCCCCAGCCGGTGCCGAGGATGCCGTCGACGCCACCGCGGTCCGAGTAGAAGTTGGAGCCGTGGCGTGCGGGGCCAGCATCAGAGCCTATGAGGGCGAGCTTCTTGGGCTTATTGAGCGGTAGGGCGTGGTTCTTGTTCTTGAGCACGACCGTTCCGGCCGCAACGATGTGGCGCGCCGTTCTAGAGTGCGAGGTGGCCATGACATTGATGTGCTCTTGGTCCGTGGCATTCTGAGAAGCGAACGCGTCAAAGTTCGGCGTCGGGTAGTTTTGGTCTTGACCGAGGAGGTACCAGCCGGCAAGGATACGCGTCGCCATGTCGTCCAGGCGGGCCTCCGTGACAGAGCCATTGTTGACGGCGGTGGTGAGGTTCTTGCCAAAGTACGAGCTTGTTTGGCCGGCATAGCAGCAGTACAAATCACCAGGCATGGTCATATCCAGTCCGGCGTTTGCAGCGCTAACACCAGAGTGAGTGGCCTGCATCGATATGAGACGAGGCCAAAGTGATCAGCGTTCTGCAACCGCACATCAAACGATGCTGTTGCGCAATCCAACCAACTCACACCCCAGTCGGACATGACGTAACCAGGGAAGTTCATCTCGGTTTTGAGACGCTTGTTGAGGTTGTCAGAGTTCTGGCAGGCCCAGCTGTTGTTGACCAGGTTGTACGAACACATCACGGACGCGACGTCGGCTTGCACGGAACGCAGGAACGGGTGCTCGTATATCTCGCGCTGGGTACGGTCGTCAATGTTGGACGATGAGGTCTCACGGTAGTGCTCCTGTTCGTTGCCGATGTAGTGCTTTGCGTTCGCCTGGACACCCTGGCTCTGCACGCCGCGGATGGTGTGGTATGCAGCTTCACCGGTGAGGTAAGGGTCCGCACCAGACATCTCCCAGTTCCTACCCCCAGTTGGAGCCCGGAGCATGTTCATGCCGGGTCCGAGTTGAATGTTGACACCCTTCGCGCGGTGCTCCTGACCCATGGCCACGCCGCGCTTGTAGGCCAGCTTGGAAGAGAAAGTGGCGGCAGTGGTGATGCCACTCGGGAACTAGCGCAAAGAAAAGTGTACCAGAGCCATCAAATTCAACATCTGGACGGACGCTGGTTCATCGCACAGGAAATTTTTCGAACTCACGACAGTGACGAGGTCAGCGAACCTAGAACGAGAATTTGAATAAAAATGTTAATTCCTTTTGTCAAAATCTAGCAAACGCGGTTGTTATGGTTGTTAGACATATGTCACGCACCTGATACCCAGAGGAGAGTCTTCCAGACAGAGACCAGGGAATCCCACACGCTCAATCCTGCCAGAGGGCACCGTCGTGTTAACAGATTGTATATTTCATGTACGCGGGAGGTAGGGTCTTAAATGCTACTCACGGATTGATGTTTCCGACACACTTGCCGCTCGCCCAGCCCGCACCGGTGGTGAGGACGACTTTCTCCTCGGTGGTCAGTTTGCCGACGAGCTCCTTGGCCTTGGCGATGGCTGGTGCCCACTTGCCCTTGCCCTTGGTCTGGGGTGACGGATAGTACGGCGGGGAATCGGGGTCGGCGCCGCCTACGAAGTTGTTTGCGCTGTGCGGCTCCTGTGCACTGGCGGGCTTGGCGTTGGAAGTCATCTGCGCACCCTGGTCCAAGCGGTGGCGGCCCTGGTCCGGGCTGATTATGTCCTGGGCCACGGCCGACTTCGACAGGGCCTTGAAAGCGGCCTGGTGTTGCTGGACGTACAACTTGCCTGGCTGCCCGCGGCGCGAGAGGATGGTGCTGTGGCTGCTCTCAGCCTCGACCAAAAAGGCCGAGCTGGCGATGGCGGCGAGCGCCGAGGTGACCGCGACAGAGAACTTCATCGTGATAGGGGAACGGTGTTCGTAACGTTAGGGGGCTGCCGTCGGGCGGTGGGGGAACGGAGCTGCAAAGGGAGATGGCCGCGTCCTATGGGAAAGTAGAGGAGCAGGGACGCTGAGGAAGGGGGAGGGTAGGAAGGAGGGGCCTGAGAAGGATGTATGAGGTGGAGAAAGACAGGGTGGGCGACGGAAAATAGACACCTTGAATCATCATCGCTTGTCTTAATATGTGACGGAAGGCGGTGAACGTCGTTGTAATAAAGTTGTTTGACGCTGTGGGGAAGAGAGGAAGACTAGAGTCTTTGAGGAGACTGCTCTCACGCCTCATGCGTCCGACCCTGGGCAAGTGCCCTTGAGATCGGGGAAGCGCATTAGCGCGCCAGCAGTTGGCGCACGCACATGCGCTATGATGCGATGCTCTCGCATGCTATTCCCAACTTCCCTGCTATGCTGCATCTCACCTAATCAAGCTCTCCATTTCCCAGGCAGGCCCAAGCTTCCCCCAGACGGGTCCAGTCTAGTCGCCCCACAGCCCACAGAGGCTGTTGGTGAGCATGTGAGGAGCTTCGGATGTCCGTGACTGACCAGCCTGCTTACTTGTTGGCAGTCAGACACGCTGCAAGACCTTTGGCAGGGTAGTTGGTTCCAAGGTCCGGTAGATCTCTCCATTGTCTCATCCGAAGCTCGGCAAAAGCCAAGTGAAGTCGACAAAGCGGGTGCCTTAATGCGGCGCGACTCCTCGCCAGATATTGCACACCAGCGTCCAGCACACGCCGGCTTAACGCAAACTCGCGTAGAGTGCGAACATTGAAGTGCCTCTTTTGCCTTCTATTTTCCTAATACGGCGGCTCTTTTCTAAATATTCATTGGAAAAGGAACTGGTTGATATTGCACCGCAGTGCACTGCAGTCTGCCCACTTCGAACCTCATCGCCTCAACAGTGACTCATCGTCTCGTCATCCTGCTTCCGAAATTGAAATGAGTCCAACCGATTCGGCTACCGTGTGAGTGCAAGCGACGCTGAAGCGCGTCGCGCACAGACTGTACCGTCGTGAATACATGTATTTAGTATTCACTGTCCAATTGACAACATACCCTGTGCTACCCTTCATATGTATATACATGGCAATTGGCAACAGCAACTTCACCATTGAAATAAAATGATCCTGGCTGCTGGCTGCCGAGTTCAGAGGCGACTCTGGGTTGCCATATTGGGCACAAGCCTGAGGCACCGCACTGTGCAAATTGCCGGCCAAGCTGGAACGCGCTCGCGGCACGCCGCAATGCTTCGCGTTCCTGACGATCCGTTAAGGCTGTGAGCCATGCCGCACCTGCAAGAGTTTTCCCGGGTCTCCGCCACCGCCCGCCATTCCCTCTCCACCAGCACCCAGCCTCCAACAGCCTGCCACTCGTACGCAGCGACTCTTCACACCACTTTTGTTTCTTGTTCTTTATGTGAAGAATATTTTGATCATCCCAATGACTTCGTTCATCGGTTGTAGGACCGCACAGTCCCACGGCTGCTCTGGGTCGTCCTGCCTAATCTTGTCGAAAATCAGGCTCCTTCCAGCGATGGAACTCCCTGTCATGCTGCCGAGGTATTTACAGACTCCTGTGTGACTAAACAGAGTCAGAGGGGTTTTCGGGAATTGGGTTTCGCGAAAATTCCCGTTTCCTACGGGATCTCGCGGAATTCCATAATCCCAAATCCCGCATGCATCACGTGATTTGTGAGCGTTTAGCCAATGCTTTCGAGAAGCAATTCGCCAACAAGAAGCGTGCGTAAGAATGCGTATCTGAAGAGCTTGGCCCCTCGCCTTTCGGTGGAAATAATTAAATTCAATGCTCGGCCTTTCTTTCCAATTCCATTCCCTTGCTTGGATCGGGCGGGCACCGGCTTCGCCACTACGCCGGAATGCGCCGGATCAGGGTCAAGAGGCCAACGTCAGCCTTCTATCGATGTTGAGGAGTCTAGGCGAAAAGGCGCGACCGCAGAAGGAAATGAGAACGTTCTATGCGAGACATTGCCCTATCAAAGCTGCAAGAAATAGGGAAAAGATGAACAAAAGCGAGAGGAAAAGTGATGACTATTGGATGTGTTGGTTCATTCATACTCAGATGAAAGGGTGACACGGTCGAAACATGCATCCTTGTAGTCAGTCACCCAACTCGAAGCTGATGGGCACAACGGGGCGGAATGTTATTTCTTGCTTTTTTGTGCTTATGAAAATTTGAGTGACCTGCGAAATGCAAGAAGGATGCCCAGGGGTGGAGCAGAAACCGTGGCTCCTTCTTTTTGAGGCTTCGGCGCTGCCAGAAGGGGCGCTAAAATATGCACGGCGCGTGTTCTGTCGATGTATGCTTTGCTCTTCGATGACCATTCTTCATTTGCCAGCCGCTCAGTACATATGTAGTAATGTCGGCATTGAAGACTCAGGACTGCCTCGGCTCGACTTGCGATTCACGACTCATGACCAGTGTCGAGTGTCGGGTCAGAATACCGATGCCGATGCGACTCGCATGGCTCGCAGCACACGGTGTGAGCTGTGCGAGTCTTGACGCTTGACTCTTTGCCTTACGATTAACAACTAACTCTTCTTCATCGCTAGTTCCGAAAGCTGAGAGCTCAAAGGCCGTTCACGTCACGAGCATGCGGCAGGGTTGTCTCATCCAACGGAACTCGGACTGGGCGCCAGGTGACATTCGCGCGCGCAGCTCGATGAGACTCAATTAGAAAGGCCACAAGAAGGTACATGCGCAGATATCCCATGAATTCAGAGGCTTGGCGCCGCTATGGACACACAGTATACAGTGCCTACAACCCGATCCAAGAGCTGCGCCCACCCGGATTCATCAGAGAAGACATTCCCGTTTTGATCCTGACAATGCCATCTGCACTTGCTGATGCTGCAAAAGACTGTGGGCGACTGTTCGTCTGGTGGACAGACAGCAGCGAGGGTGTCGCGGGTGCATTTTGGAAGTTGGCATGACCGTTCTCTGAGGACGCTGCCGTAGTTGCTGCGGTAGCTCCTTCTGAAGAGGATGTTGGACCGTGCGGAAGCCCACCGTGGACCGTATCAGAGGAGGCGGCCGATGTAGCTGACGTCTGACTTGCGGGCAGCATGCCGCTTGCAAAAGCGAGTGGCAGCGGCATGTACACCTCGGCATACCACTCATACCACACTTTGCGCGCAGATGACATGCGCCAGAGATGGATGTCCAGCTCTGAGCCTGCTGGCAAATAGAGAGGTTCCTGTGGAGCGCGCGATGCGGCCCTTGACATCAGTCTTGAACGGTAACGACAGAGCCTCGCAACGCAAACATACCCGCAAAGGGAAGAAGATCGGGAACCAGCTGAGCATATCCTTGCTGTGCCTTGAAAAGTCCGGATGGATCGACATGTTGACGTCTCCATAGAGATTGGCCTCAAAGTATCCGGCAAAGCCATGGCACAGCCCAGCTTGCGGGATGTGAAAGGTGTGCGAGCTCGTCCTGACGTTGTGCGCATTCGTAAGGGGCAGGCCTGTGAGCAGTAGAGTGGGGCGGGACAAGATCAGATGTTGCTTTTCGAAAGAAGGAACAAGGGTGGCGCTCACCTTGCGCATCGCACACCGGCGATGCGACGTCGGCCGGTCCATGCTGGAACGCCCACGAAGCTTGTACGCTGTCCCACGAGCCGCGCCCACCTTTACCCGCCAGATAGGAGACAGCCTGAAAGAGCACCACGTAAGGCGTCTCGCACGCTTTGAGCTTCTGCGCTTCTGTCGTATTTGCGTTCGATCCATGGCCCATAACCTCTGCATACAGCTTTGCTGAAGAAATGGGCGTGAGAAAGCTGCTGTACGACGCGGGAATGGAGATTCCGGACGCTTTCGAAAAAAGATCGTTAGAATCCGCAAGTGTGCATGATCAGGCATATTGAGCACTCACGCTTGAGAAACCGCATCGCGCCATCGAGGCACTCTGGACTCAGTTCGTTGTCGCCAAAGCTTCCGAGAAGCTCGCTGACCACAATATCCGCCTTCTCCTTTGGGATCGCCATCGTGCGCATATCACCATAAAGAACAGTGACGAGATCTGCACCCCATTCCAGCGCCTGCTTCTCTTGAAGGACCACGAGCGCATTCGCATTCTTCTCCAGCGCAGTGATTTTCACCCGTGCTCTCGCTCGCTTGGCCGCTGCGATACACCGAGCGACAAGAGGCCCTCTTCCCGCACCGCAGACCCAGATGGATGTGGAAGAGTACCCGCCTTGCACGCGCGCTTGCAACGCATTGAAAACGGCCTCCTCATACAGAGCATACTTGATCGGGTCTCGCTCGAAGACTTCGTACGTTGAACTCTCAAGGTTGTCCATGAGAGGTTGCAGAGGCGCCTGAAGCCAGTCAGAATAGCCTTTGGCAAAGATGTCGATCGGCGTGTCCGCCGGCATGGTCTTCTCCAAGTGCCGAATATACTGCAAGTACGCGTTGCTGCCGCCCCTCGTGTGTTGCACCGGCGGACTATCGACCTCGGACAAGATGACAGCTGGACGCCGCTTCATCATTGCTTTCAGCAGTGTTTGCGCTGCTTTTGAGAGGACGGGGAAGCCTTTAGCATTGGCGAGGAACGTGGTGGAAGGCAGGAAGAGTGCCGACACGGGTTCGGACGCCCAGCGAGAGAGCGCAGATGGGCCAGGCAGTGGATACGCAAGGTCGAGAGTGAGCTGCACGCGATTGCTGTATGCGCAAGCCTGTTGTATTACGTTCCACGTGTCCCAGGCCCAGTCGTCGTCCACGCGAATAGCGCTGCCTGCCGTCTGACTCGAAATTGACGCGGAAGTATTAGCGGCTCCGCCGCTGTTCCGCACTTTGGCTAGCTTACGCGCTACTTCGTACGGCGAGGAGACTGGTAAATGAACAGATAGCTACAGATTATGCGATCTCAGCGACTTTGGGTGTCAATCTCAAGAGACAAACATCTCCGTGTACTCACGGTGATCCATTGACCGGCAGGAGGCGCCGTCCCTGCGGATGCTGCAATGACACAGTTTGCCACCGCCCGTGCATAATCCGGTAGGAACACTCTGCGCTCTGGATCGCTTGAGGGAGGAGGAAGGATCACATGCGAAATGCCAATGTGGCTGGCGTAGGCGACTTCTTGTTGTAGAGCCTAGGTATGCACAGACAATAGACACAACATCAGCGCGCATTTAATCAGAACAGGGGTAAAAGAAATCACGCACGATTTCTGAATCCAATCGGACACCTTCGTCTATTGCATCCAGTTCAATCCATTGGCTGAGAATTGCAACAACGCCCTCGCTCTCTTCCACCCGCGTGATATTTACCTCTGCGCGATTGAAGGCAGGGGCTTTTCGCCACTCTTCAGCTTCCTGTAGCGTCCAAGCGGCGGTGGTAGGACCTGGCGCCAATGTGCCTCTGCTACTACTCCTCACGAGACCTGTGCCATCATCTGAGCCAGCGCCTGTGGTATCTATCGAGCCATTGTCGAGGCACAGCCGTTCCCAGCGTTCTTTCCAGCGCTTGTTCGTCAGATCTATGGCGATGATATTGTATCCCTCTGACCGAGCTAGTGCCAAACATCGCTGGCAAGGCGGTAGGTTGCTCAGCGCCTCGTCTGCAGCCTTGTCGACATCGGCACCAAGTTGGGCGGCACGACCCAAGCCAGTGGGTGACCGGCCCGTCGCCAAATGCAGAGCATTGACATGCGAGACCTCTTCGAGGGTCTCGAGGCCGCTAGGATGGGGTATCGTTGGTCTCCGCAGATGTGTGGCTGCTGCTTGCCGCGCGGCTGCATAAGTGTTGAACGCTAACGCCGCGTTGGGGACGTGGTAGGCGACTGGGAGCGTTGTACTGCTCCCACTAGCTGTCGGAGTGTCTTCCTGGGGCATCGGCATGATGGTTCCAAGCTTTAGCGTCCTCACCAACACTGTTTCCCTCAGTGCCTCCAGCCTATGACGGACCAGGGTGCGCGCAGCGGCCTCTTTGCGGTCGTCGCCTGATTATTAATGAGTTGACAGGTGTTGAAGAAAAGTTCAGCGCTACTCGAGGCTCGAGGTCAAAGTGTTGTCCTTTTTCTCTCTCACGCGTATACGGGCAAGTTGCGTCGGGCTCTCCTCTAGTACCGCCGCCCCAGTCTGCCCTCGGATCAGAATCCGCATCCAAGCAAAACAGAACTGTAAACACTGCAAATTGGAGCTCCTCGATTGCAACTTAATTTATTCCAAAGCTGCTACCTTTTCGCCTGTACATGCAACTGTCCCCGCCAGATACTTCCGCCAGAAGGAATGGAATTCTAAGCAAACAAGGAGGATAAAAGGGGAAAGGGGTGGGAACAAGAGGAGCGATCCGCTGTCACCTGGCTAATGTGACGCGACATGATCTCAGTCCTGCTGCGCGACGGTTTCCTCTGTCGCCACAGCCTGAGCAGCAGTGTTCGTCGAGTTGGATGGCATGGGTTGCGGTGGGCAGCAGGCTGCTTCAGCACAACTTGCATCGAGATCACACGCGAGCAGACATCCAATCCCATTTTTCGCCAGTTGATCCTGCACCAGCTCCCCATTCTCGGTGACCAACCTCCCTTGCGCGTCCACGCCGTCCCCGGCAACGGCAACACCGCTCAGCTTAGCCGCCTCGAGCATCCCTCCCCGGACGAACTCGGGCTGGATCGTGCTCGAGTGAATCCCCCAGCTGTGCAGCACACGCCGCATCTTGCCGGCGATCTCCACATATCGATCCATCTGCCCGCTGGAGCAGTCCACGAGGACATGCACCGAGGCGACGATCTTGCTTTCGCTCAGCTGCCAGATGTGCAGCTCATGTACGCTCAGCACCCCATCGACGTTCAGCATGCTCTGCTTAACCGTCTCGAGAGGGACAGTGGGCGGAACACCTTGCAGCAGGATGAACGAGGCCGACTTGACCAGCGGCAAGGCAGAGTGGAATATAATGATGGTAATGATGAATGAGATGAGCGGATCCATGTAGAAGCGCCAGGTGCCCGAAGCCTTGAGGATGATGATACCAGCGCCAATAACACCGACGTTGCCCAGTGCATCGCCAAGCACGTGAAGAAAGACGCCCTGCATGTTCATGCTCCCGTCTTGCGCTCCATGACCGTGCCGGTGGCTGTCATGCGAATGCCCATGTGAGTGTTGGTGAGCGTGTTCGTGCGCGTCGTGTGCGTGGCCGTCTTCGTGGCTGTGCTCTTGCGTGTGATCTTCGGCAGCCTTCTTGCTGCGCAGACGTTGTAAGATGCCGGCCTTCTTCTTTGTAGACGATTCCCCCATAATCTCGCCTTCAGCTTCGAGGTCGTACTCTGAGCGACCCTGGGAGGCATTGCTGTGGCGGGATCGCGATACACGGGCCTCGAATTCAGAGGCGGGTATTCGATCGCGCTCTCCGCCACCGATCTGAATGGCGCCCTCGCGAGTGTCATACCCCATATCGTGTGCAGCCTGCACGACGAGCGCTCGTGTATGAGCAGGATGACCGTACAGGCTCCCGACACTGTCCTCTCGTGATCTTCGGAGCACATCTTCTGGTGAACCTTTGCGCGGTGCGCACACGATGGGCACAGCCTCAGCGGGCTGCGTGGGGGCGTCGGCAGCCAGGTCGTCACGCAGAGTTCCGGTTAGGGAACCCGACACTTCGATCGCAGCTACAGCCGTGCCGTTCGGAGTCACATGGCCGTGCGAGTGTCCACCGTGAGCATGGCCATGCGCATGTCCGTGATCATGGAAAAGGAAGAGGCCTACGATGTTGCTCGCCAGACCGAGGGAACCGACAATGATGACGAGCTTCGGGTTCTGGACCTCTTGGACATTGATAAAGCGTTCGATGGCTTCCATGAAAATGGAGAAGCACAGGGCGAGCAAAAAAACGCCATTGATTAGTGCACCAAGCACCTCAGCGCGCTGCCAGCCGTACGAGTACCGAGGATCCTCGGTCGTGCTTTTGCGTTTCGAGAGCTTTGGGAATACCAGACGAGATGAGTCTCGCGCCTTAAGCATCAAGGGAAGAAGGCTCACCTTAAGAGCATAGAAAGCAACGATCAAAGAAATGACATCGTTGAGCATGTGGAACGAATCGGCCACAAGAGCGAGAGATCCGACAGCATAGCCTGGAGGGAACCTTTGCAGCGTTAGACAGAGGTAGCACATGCCCAGCTCAGCGAGCTAACAGAACATACCAGTTATGATTTCGACAAAGAAGAAGGCAATGTCGATGATCAGCAGGACTAGAGCAAGATGAGAAGATCAGTCAGGGCGCCTGTATTTGCGAGACAACATGAATCAAGCAAAAACACTCACGGATCAAGCGTCCTTCGCGCCCAAGTGTGAAGCCCATCTTTCTGGCGAAGCGCTATAGATCTGGCACGCTAACACTGTCGCCTCTGAAGGGTAGCAGTCGGCGAGGGCGGCGTATACAGCGTTCAGGCGATGTCATTTGACGGCAAGTGTGCAAATATTCGAACGCGAGGACATAAATCGGATATAGGAGGTGTTGCTGATGCCTGATATGCCTGTGATCAGCACATGGGGGCTAACAAGCCCTGCCCAGTTGCCATCATTTTTTTTCTTCTGCTTGACTGTGCCTGTGGGCTGTGGGTCTGAGACATGACTTGAACGTTTGTGCGATGTGATGTCCGCAACAATGAACAACCCTACTTGATGGAAGGCAATTGACAGACAACACTCGATGCCCATACTTCTTCCCACTCTTCTTGGGAACACTCGACACTTCACCATATACTAAGCGTAGATCCTGCGACTTGGTTTGACAGGCCTCCTGACTACGATCATTTGGCAGTCCGTCATCTGCATGCGCTCCGGATTTTCCGCGAGTGCAAGCTATTGAATATCCCTGTCTGGACTCCTGCGGCGGCCGCCGCACGAGAAGCTGTTGGCATGAAGCAATGGGCGGCGTCGTGCCTCCCGCTGCTGGTGCGACAGCCAGCAGCGATGAAGCAGCGGCACCTGCTGCGCCGTCAGTCGAACAGTCGCAGACCAGACCTTCTGATGCTCGGACCCAAGCGACTGTAGGGTCGTTTTCTCCTATACCGGCTGCTGAACATGTACCGGCCTCTGTAGGGATAGCGACACGGCCCTTCAATCTCTCCGCAGGTGATCAGCACGAGCAGCAGGCACACCCCGGGCATAGCAACAGTGTTGGAAATGCGGCTGGGTCGTCGATCGCTAGATCAGGCCTTCAAACAAGCCCTGTATTAGGCGATGCAGAGGGTCGCCCGACAGCCTCTCGCTCTTCGGGCCGGCATATCCGCCCACCGCTCAAAGTCCGTGAGGCGAGACGCGCTGCTGAGGCTAGCGCTGCCGATGGTGACAGCGGGCGTACAGGATACTCATTTCGTACTAGGGCGCGCACTAACAATGGCCGGGTGGCTGGTTCTTCGGGAAGAAGCGGAAGTGGTAGCAGCAAGGCTCCGCGGCTCAAGCTGAGCCTTAAGAGTAGTCAAGCCGGACTAGGGACTGGTCAAGGGCCCAAGACGGCGCCTTATATGCAAGGATATACTCGCGAGCTTGACAGCTCGGACGACGAGACGGGAGAAGGACTGGCGTTCGAAGAGCAGATTATTTTGCGCTTCCCAGAAGGGCCAGAATGCGACCAGCTGCGCGATATGGTTCAAAAGCGGCAGATAGGCGAGCCCGGTGCTCCATCCGTGTGGTTCAAATTCAAGGACTCCAGGCGAGCAGTCGTGCGGGTCGGCGATGCGCTCTTTGCCGCTAAGCTTGTCGACTTACCGACCATATCAGAGACTCACAAGACGCTCGACAATCGGCAATTTTTCAAAGTCGCGGACATTTGTCAAATGCTCTTGGTCACCGAGAGAATCGAAAATGAGAGCGAAGTTGGCTACCACGTCAGTAGCATGGGCGACCTCGTGGATCCAAAGGAAGCAGAGATCATCGCAAGAGTCAAGGCAGACCTGGACGCCAAGGCGAAGGAAGCTGGTTATCTCGTCACCTCCAGCACAACCGCTACAAGCTTGACAGGGTTCGACACCAAAGACTTCATCTATCCGCACGGTGTAACACCCCCGATGAACTGGGCGCGTGAGCGTCGCTTTCGAAAGGTCATTCCAAAGCGGCGAGGCCAGGAAGCGGTCATGCGCGAGGTGGAGCGGCTTTTGGCGGAGGACGAAGATGCTGAGGATGTGCAGATCGACATGATGCGCGAGGAGGATGCCGAGGCGGAGCTGAGTGCAGAAAAGGAGGCTACAGCTGCCGAATTCCGCGGTACTGCTAGTGGGCGAGAGCATCCTGGGCCCGACAGGCAGGGTTCGCAAGCGCCATCCGATGCCGACATGTCTCTGGCTGCAACACCTGTTGCAGGTGGAGAAGAGGAGTCGATTCTAGGGGATGGCGACGACGAAGCGGAAGGCGAAGGCTCTGAAGATGGTGAAGTCGATCGAGACTTGGCCGCTGCACTCGACGCCGTGCTGGACGAAGACGAGGACGAAGAGGCATCCGAGCTCGCGAGCGTCAGCGCTGGAATGAGCGGGCGGCAGAGTCGTGCGGAGAGTCAGGTAGATGATGACGATGACGACGATCTGTTTGATGGGGATGATGACGATGCCTCTGCGAACGATGAAGACGACGAGGAAGAGGATGACGACGATGAAAACGAAGAGATGCACGAGTTCAGATCTAGGCAGCGCCAGCTCGCGCAGGAGATCAAGGACATTGAAGTCCTTGTCAAGCGACGGCAGGAGGAGATGGACCGTCACCAGAATTCTCTTTTGAAGGTCAGCTACATGGCCTCTTGTCAAGTGTAGTCGAGTGCTGATGCTGATGCCTCTCCGGCATTCGCCTTTCACAGGAGCGAGCGCGAGTGACTCTGAACAAAGCGTTGGCTGAGCTCGATTCCAAAAAGTCTCAGCTCGCAGAAGTACGGGAGGAGCGGCGGCAGGCCGTTGCAGACATGCAGGCCGAAGAGGAGGAAGCGCAGGCTCGCGCAGACGCCGCCGCCGCTGCCGCCGAAATGGAGCGCGACCAAGAGCAACGCGAGCGCGATCGCGAGCAAGGGTGGCAGGCTGCTGCACCATCGCAAACGTCAGGGGCAGCTGCAGGGACTACGGTAGACGAGCAAGCGTCGCTTCGCAAATCGGGAAGCTCGGCGAAGGAGCAATGTGATGGCGCGCCGCAAGACAAGGCGAAGGCAAACGAAGCTTCTGCACAGCAAAGGGCGGACCATCCGGCCTCGGCTCCAGGCGCGCCTACAGCACTTGATGTCCCCGAGGCTGGTGCCGCATCCATCCCTATGGACGTTGATGAAGAAGACGAGGACGAAGAAGACGATGAGGAGAACGACGACTTGTTTGGAGAAGACGACGAAGATGAAGGCTGATGGTCCGCAACCACTCTGTAGCATAGCAATACAATTCGAGCATGGAATATCTCAAGCGTTCGCCTCATCTGCTTTTGCTTCCCACGGTTTCGCTCTTTTTGGCATTGTCGCTTCCGTGGGCGGCACCTCGTTAATCTGAGATCGAAGGCCAGTGTAGAAGTACAGTTGGAAGACCAATTAGTTTAAGGAAATTCAACGATCAGTAAACACAATGCCTACAATTACCTTCAAAGGAACATCTTTGATACCTGGGATTTCATCCGTGCGCCCGCTCGTGATCAGCTCGACAATAGCATCAAATGAAGCAGGATACGGCTCGTTCGCAGGTACGCCTGATGCTGCAGAATCCGATAGTTGGGCTTCTTGCGACGATATCGCACCGTTCACAGTCGTAGATGGCTGAGCTGGCCGGCCTTGCTTTGCGGATCGCCAAGCGCTATACTCGTCGTACGATATCGGGGAGCCGATTCTATTTCCAAGAGTTAGCTGCTAGCATTTTAGGACATCTTTTTCGATGCCCTCACTTGTTTGAAAAGAAGAAGACCTTCGCTTTCGCTTCTGTGGCTTGCAGCTGCTCGTCTGATGCACACTGGGCTTTCATGGACTCGAGGATCGCCAAAATTCCCGACTGTAAGTCCTCAGCAGAGGGCAGGAGTCAGCATGATTGGGTACTTTGAGCCACGCTTCAAGGCCTGCGCACTTGGAACTCTAGATCAGTCCAGTCGTACGAGTCCAGTTGCTGAAAGACATGTTCTGGGCCCTGGTGGGTGACAGGGTTGCTGGTCGATGCATCGACCAGCATGCTGGACAGATAGTCTCGATTCTTGATAGACTGTTTGACTTGATGAAGTGGTTTCAATTGTCACCGATACTCTGTGGTCCAAATGCACTGCGGACTGTCCTAACTCAGATATTCAGATGTGAACTTTATTCGTAGAGCTGGATCTAAATGCCTGAACAGCGGACGTCACACGAAACTGAATTCAGATGACACTGGCTGGAACGTTGAGCTTGGGCTAAACGCGAAGCCGATGTTTCCAGTGCCGTCGCACACATGACACATCTCGCTTCTTGATGCGCGCAACACTGTAAAACGGATGTCTCGGCGAGAGCCGCGAGAAGCTGTCAAGGCTTTTTGGATGTCATTCATGGCCGCCACTACTTCACCGCCGTGGGAAGGACCATCAACAGTACGATGCATGCACAGATGATCTAAAGAGTATGTTCCACCGGACGTCGAGGTTTTGCAATAGCAGCAGAGCGCCACAGCGAAGCACAAGGACGATACAAGAGACTGCAAAGCTGCGAGCGATCAAGAGCGTCACAAGGCTGTCGTAGCCATCATACTTCCCCCGGCCTGCTATCGTGGCGCATATATTCTGCAGCGCCTCAATCAATACCAGGCACGGTAGGATGCTGCCTTTGGCTGATGGCTGTCACACTTTACGTTTGTGCCCCCATTCACGCTTTGTCCTGGAAAGTCGACTGGGGCCTCGGATGCAGCTGCTCGAAGCACTGGGGTACATGCTGTCCTCATCTCGCCGAGACCAGGCACGAATCGACGGCCTCTGTACGTCCCTTCAACTTGATACTCGATCGTTGTGTGTATGTATGTTTAATTTCGTTGAAGCGATCCTACAACATACAGATGTGACCGATACCAATACCAACGGAAAGTGAATGGGCCAATGAACATGGAGCGCTGCCAAAGCCTTCAGAGACGCACACGCTCATGATGCCTCACGGAACCGTGCAAATGGCATAGGTCAAGATTCAGCCGCCTGCTAGCGAGCGCGAGTAGAAGCAATTACTGGGCTTCATCCTCCACGTCAGCATCGATCAAGTACACCCTGCCGTGCAGAAATGCCGGATGATGAACTTTGCGAGAAAGCTGCTGATAGAAAAGTTTGTCTTCCGTGCGGATCGCTTTCAGCTCTTTGCCAAGTCTGACATGGCCACTGGCCCGTACAACTTGATCGAGGATATCATTTTCTAAGGAGCGTCGAATTTCACGCCATAGATGACGGCCATAAAGCATCTCGCATGCTCACCGATTGGCGATGGGCACCATTGGTTCGCCCCAACTGCAATCAAATGGCCGTACTACAGAAATATAACACAATCAAATAGTAATTCAGTACGTCCCAAGCATCCCTCATGATGTCAAAAAGCACCGCGCCGCACCGACAATGACTCCCGCTGACGGAAACACAATTCGGAATGAGAGAAAATGCAGTCGTGCACCTCCAAGGTCAGGCCGGGTCGAAGGTGCTTGCTTCCGTCTCCAGCGTGGTGGCAAGCCCTTCAGGAAATGATGCTGCATGTGGAAGAACGTCCCGTTTGAGTGAGCAAGTCGACTGGCGCTTTGGAGAGTGAACTGGTGCGTAGCGCACATCTTCTCAAACACTGTTTCACTCCTGCTGTGCCGCTGGAGCCCCCAACAATGGCAACGCGACCGCACAAGAGCAAGGGGTCTTGCGAGCGACGTCTCCGATGCGATATAGTGTTCACAGTGCAATCGGCCAACTTTGCCACCTCCATCCTCCGGAAGGGGATGGATTCATCCAAGTGGTAGCCGCCTGTCGTGCTCAGCTGCAGGGCTTTGTGCAGTAATGGCGATGCTGCCAGCGGAGACACTCCAGGAGCTAGTTGCAAGACCAGTTCGCTCTCCAATGGACTCCTTGCGGGAAGATTTGAAGTCGTTCGATAGGACTGAAGGGATGCGGATAGTCCATGAGTAAATCAATCTCGAATAAGTCTTTCTGCGCTACAGATGTGGCGTCGTCATCAGAAGCGATGCCGAAGGTGGGAGATGCACAGCTGGAAGGTGGCTGCCGTTACAGCGTCCCGATCCGCCCGCTTGCTGTTAGAGCCCGAGACCGAGCAACGCGATGCGGTCCACACTTGGTACGAATTAACTCGGCTGGGTGTCTCGCTCGTCAACTACCGGGATGATGGAGCTCCGCTGTTGACTGTGCATGATGTCCATATCCTGGCCAAGGTGCTTGGAGGCCTGACTGGACTCGTGCTTGCCTTGCGCGAGCGGGATCACAAAGTCTGCATCAATCCCGAGCTGGGACGTACGCGATGCAACCAGCTGAAACGCATGGCCGGCAGCAGCACGTTGTGCACTTCGCTTGCATCGCCGTGTTCTCTCTTCAACGCTGAGCACAGGCTGATTGCAGCGAAGGGTAGCGGAGAAGATCAGTAGAAAGCTGAAGCTGCTCGTCGTTCATGAGACCAGAGATACGAGGATCGAGTCCATGTGTCCGAGATTGCTGCATGCCACACTATCGTATGTGATGGCAACCGTCCAGAGTGCCGCGAGGAGGACACCGATCATCCACAGCTCGATGAGAAAGAATTGGATGGACAGCATTTGTCTGATACGGGAGAGATTCATCGCACTGAGCGTGAGGCGTGCAACGCGGTCTCTTCCAGGCGAGACGGGTAGTAAGGAACGCCTGCTACTTGGATCTCCGTCGAACATGAGCCTCTCCCCTTTGCCCTTTGGACTTGATGAAGGGGGCGGATATTGGTACTCCTTCGGGCCTTGCAACGTACATTTGGACCAACAGTCCCCCGCGAGCCCATTCTGCTGTCCCTTATTGGCTACAGAAAGCCCTTGGAATGTCTCGCGAGGTCACAGCCGCAGGCAGTGCAGCACATGTATTCAAATGGTGGTATAAAGCATGAGCAAAAGGAAAGCTTATCCGCACGAGGCGATGAGAATGTATACGATATGGCAGTAAGCTCGGGTTAGTGCTGCCATCGCTCTAATGCCGATATCTGCGTCCCTTGCCACGCGTCCACGTGTAGTCGGAATGAATTCGTGTTAGTGCCTTGACTCACCGCGGTCGGCGCGATGATGGCATTGCACGGCAGGAGGGATAATGCCCAGCAGCAGAGACTGAACAAGTGTAGGTGAATGATGAAATGTGGTCTTGCATCTGACTCGCTCGCCGCCTGCCTTTGGTCTGGCCTTGACGAGTGTTAGCGCGACGCGTCGAGAATAGAACTTAATGTGCCCCAGGGTGCCATCCACACTCCAGTGAACAATGGTGCCCCTATGGTCGAATGCCAGATGAAGCTGGTGTGCCGGTGCGCACCCTCTCTCTTGTACCCGAAGCACATTGAGCAATATGCAACCCAGATGGCAGTGTCGATTCCTTCGACGAGCAAAAAGAACAGGAGCGCATTGGGGAAGACACGCGTGCCCGTTGGTTGTGCGGTAGCTTGCACACAAAGTACTAGCAGCTGTCATGGTGTCACATTTGCATTTCAGAGAGAACTCACATATTCAAGAGCCATGTCTGGCCTTGCAGTGCTCTTTGTGAGACGATTGCACATGGATCCCAAATCAGTATGAAATAGGTCAAGCGCAACCTCCCTGCACCAAATTCCAAGCACCTAAGCTTGCCCGTGTGCACCTCCGATAACGACAGAAAACAAGATCAAGCCGATGCAGTATAAATCTGAAGCGCAAAGGTTGGCACACAGTTAGTCTTAAGGAGTCCGCGAATACACATAGCGCGTGCCCTCGCATCGCTCGGGATGAGATCCTCGGGCAGGCTGGAATCAAATAGTCGGAACATCGTCCATCCGTTGCAGGTCGAGCAGCCCGCATGCCGGAGACCTCTTTGACTTTGTTGGGGATATCCTGCAGAGGGTATATCGCTCGCAACGAGAGTGTTGAAGGATCCCACACCTCTTCCAGTGTGCCTCAGGGGTAGCACCACCGGATCCGGATGCAATATGATTGGTGGGGAAAGCGCATGAAGCAGAAATGCATCGATAGGGTTAGTCAGAACTACATAGTTCAAGTCAGTCAGTTGTAGCGGCCAAGAAGTATCAAGCTCGTAGCGAAGGAAACTGCGGCGCCGATGGGGCTCGAGCGTTTCCAGCGAAATGTTGTCGTGCTTCTTCCTTTTCTGATTTTTGAGTGATGCTCCGGCTGCAGCTCTACTACATCCATATATGCTAGAGATTAGCTTGAAATTGAGAAGGCAGACGAAGGAAATGATCGAAGGGTGCGTAAGGAAAGAAAAGGGGTCTAAGCGCGCGCCAAGCATATGAAAGGAAGAGTCGTCAGCGTTTAACAGCTGATTGTGCTCTGTATAGGTGATTACCGCATGGCAGCCCAAGCGAGACATCTGGGACGAGAGACAAAGCCCTGGTGGAGGTAGTGAGTGCGTGTCAACGCATCTGCGCTTGTTGAACTTGACGTGGCATCAACTGTGAAGACTTGATGTCGGCTCTCATGGTCGCTTTACCTAGGTTATAAGAGGGCGAGCGCGGGTTGTGTGTACATAGGCCGTCAACGTAACTCGGCTCTTGCACCTCTCCTCACTTGCAGGAGGTGCGTTGCAATGGTCGAACGCCGAACCAATTCAAAAGATAGTCGAGATCAGACGAGACAGCGAGCCACTTGTGTGTCCACTCGATGGTGAGGAGCTTAGCCCTTCCACTGCATCTGATCACGATTTCCTTGCATATGGCTCTGTGCTTGCTGCTGCCTGCACTCCGATCGACATCGCCGGTGATGACGGGGTATGAGACTCCCAACAAAGAGAAGAAAGCAAGGACGGATATGGATGAATCTCCCCTTCTCGCTTCGCGATTCTGCTGTCCAGGTGTCACGTGCCTGAACCTATGCACAGCTCGATGAACCCCGTAAGTAGGAAGGACCCTCTTGTCCAGCACCAACCTGTCAAGAGCGTCGCTTCGTAGGAGTTCGTAGTGTTGTGAAGGACAGACAGGAATACATGACCACGCGTTCAGCCCCGCCGCGGCATGGGCCCCACCATTGGCATCCCCCTTAATCCCTCATGGTTGACTATGGTATATGCACCTGTATGTTCTCCAGACTTGAATGAATCTAGCCATTGTCCCTGCCTTCGTAGAATGCCTCTGCACGTCATGGTATTGGTCTACTGACCACCCATGGTTTCTACAGGAGTCAAGGAGGACCCAGTCCATGGACAGCCTAGTCAAGCGTAGACTGTTCAATTTGCACCGAAAGCCAAGGTAAATATAGCCTTCTTCTTCCCTTAAGAGAACTTGACTTCTGTGCACCACTCCCTCCGTCACAAATCATCATAGTCGCGAGGCACAAGCAGGCTCTCTGCCAGTTTGTCCCAGTGTCCACAGTCTGTCAGTCTTCACCCAGTTACGCTAGAGCGCTTAATCTGAAAATTTTCATTCGAACAGATGTGAAGGAGTCCCAGGTTTGCAGGATCTTGCTCGACATAGGTGTCAACGCCGTGCGCCGCAGAAGCGCAGATTTCATCAGGCATGTTAAGGTTCACTGGGAATCAATTATCAAGGTGCGAGTGCCGCCGGCACTATGCTACATTGCTCCAGTCTTCCAACGTCACGATTTGAAATTGGCGCAATATTTGGGTAAATTGAATTACAAACGCAACTCGGGTGGCTCTTGAGAATACAGTCCAGATACCTAAAATCTTCGTCAGGCCCCCCGTATTCTGGTGGCTTGCGGCGCAGCATTGCTGCCTTCCCGGTTTGTTTCAGAAGTGTCGATCGTCTTTACAGGCAAAAAGGCTCGAAAGTCCGCTTTCTGTTCGGCGCTCCGCTCCTCGCCCTCCTTGCGGCGCCACATGCAACCTGAAGGTCAAATATTGTCTTTCTTCCTTCGCCAAAGGATGTCCGTATGTATAGCCGGCCAACCTACTCGTCTATCCCTTCGTCACCACGACCGTCCAGTCGTGGGTCGTGCGAATCGATTGCTTGATTGCAACATCGCCCACAGGCCTGAGATTGTTCGGCTGCTGGACGCCTCTTCACGCTACAGGCCCCTTAGCCATCCGCTCTTACTTTCCGTGCCCGGCGCTCCGTGCTCGCCGTTCGGCTTTGGCAAGGTGCATTTGGGACCTGTGCAACACCCTCGCTCTTACACTCTCCACAGGGCTCTCCCAGAGCGAATTGTAGAATCTGCAAAGCTCATTTAGCTTTTTACGGAAAACCGAGAGTTACGGCTTTGCGACATATATATCAATATATTGCGCCCGTAAGTATGAGAGCTCATAATATTGTACGTGCACATGCACGGGCTGATGTGAAGGTCTCCCCCTCTGCTCACCAGAACAGTACGCGTTTCTCCATCGAGCGTCCTCCATTGATGCCGCGAATCGCTGATAATCAGCCATAATGAAGGCCTTCAAGTCGCTCGGACGCAAGTCGTCTGCGTCCGAGCGAGATGCAAAAAGCTCGCGCGAACAGCTGCGAAATGTAACCGCAAGCGCCTCTTCATCCTTTCCTGTGCCTCCCGCGACACGTCCAGCCATTTCGGCGGCCGGCAGTTCAACAAAGGCATCCTCGCCACTGGCTGCAGCAGGGACAACGAGCAGTAGCGCTCGCCTCGGAGCGGCTGCTTCCAAGGCTGGCTTACACCGTGGTGGAGGCGCTGCTACTTCTGGCGTTTCTGATCTACCCGCACTGCCCAATGGACACCCAGCAACGCTTGGGCAGGCGCAGATGTCTTCGTCAGGAGCACAAAGGCAACAAATACCGGCTCAGCAGCAGCCTGAAACAGCTTCAATGTCACAACTGCGCTTCTCGGGCTTCAACTTTGACTCTCTGATCCCTATGCTCGGCGCCGATGGCCATCAGCAACTTACGCGAGGCACAGGCGGTCCCTATGGCATCGCAACGGCTGCCCCGCCTAGTCCGTCCAGTTCGTCTCCCGTCGGCTGCTCGAATGGGGTCGTCATTTCCGCAGGAGGCTCAGGGCCAGGGCAGGGATTAGGGTCGGGTATAATCGCACCGCTACAACGCTCGGCGTCGGGCTCAGGTGCGGACACTATTCGCGCTGCATCTCCCTCGCCCTCGCCCTGGTCGGCCGCTTCGCCCTTTTCGACACCGCGAGGCGCATATCCGCCTGTGGCGGCGCACATGCAGCCGCCCTCCCTGCGCGCCACCTCACCCACCCCACCAACCTCCAACTCGCATCTGCAGCAAAATACCACAGCGCAAGGGCTAGGAATCGGGGCGAGCAACGCAGATTGGGTCATGCCGGGCACCAGAGAGATACATTGTGTGGTCCCTGCACCGAGCGTGCAGCCCCATGCCGCAATGATGTCTCCGCCGGATGCTCAAGCGCAAGTGCTGACACATGCACAAGCGCAGGTACAAACGCAAGCAAAAGCGGAGGCAGCAGCTCACGCTAAGGAGTGGGGCAATGGAAGGTCTGAAGGAGAGCAGCAACTGCGACAGCAAGCACAGGAACAGGTTAACAGTTCAGCCCAAGCTCAAGCGTCTGGCGCAGTGAAGAGTCAAGCTTCTGTGCCAACAGCTGTCTCGACAAAATCAGGTCCACCAAAGTTAGAGGATGCCAAACCGCCACAGGCTGCTTCTTCTGCAGCCTTTCCAACGCCACATCAAACCAATTCTGCTGCAACCGATGTACAGTCTCCAGTGGCAGGCTTGGCGCCCACTTCAACTTTGTCGACCAACCCTGGGCAAATCAAATCAAATAAGGAATGCGCGCCTGCATTGCCTCTGCCACAGTCGCAGCTAATGGCCCCAGCAAGCAAGGACGCCATGCGTGTTTCGAGCAGCGGTGATTTGCACGCAGCGCAAAGGGCTAACGACGCGGCTATCCCTCCACAGCAACTGAGAGCCGCATCGACGTCAATAACTGATTTGGTCAATGGAAGCGACAACAATTCCTCGCAAGGAGTCGCAAACGGTACTGCAGGTGAAGAGCGGCGGTTGCGCTCAATGAGCAAGGCTGCCAAACCCGCCGACAAGAGGAGCGCGTCGGCTTCGATGGCAAGCAGTAAGAGTCGAGCAAAAGCGGGCAAGGCGGAAAAGTCGAGTCGAGATACCACAGCGTCAGGAGCGCATGATGTGTCCATGTCATCGGAACAATCCATGTCTTCTCTCAGTCAACCTCATCGCCAGCGTACGACCTCTGCTTCTAGCTCGGCTGCAGGGACTCTGAATGAGACAAAGGAGAAGGATGAGAAGAAGAAGCGTCGGAACTCGTTAGTTGTCGCTGCCGCGAAGCTGTTCGGGAGGCGGAAGAGCTTCAACGATCTCAGTGGCGCAGCCACAGCAGAGCCTGTCCCAGCTCTTCCTCAGGGGCTCGCCATAGCGAATTTGAGGGGCACTGAAGAAGGGGAAAAAGCTCAGGGTCAGGCTTTTGTTCATGCTTCGGCGCAGGTCGCAGGTGCAAACTCGGCACAATCGCCATTGCTGCAGTCATCTTCAGCTGAAAGGCCGCAGCAACCGCCGGGCATCCTGCAAATGCCTGCCTCCTCGACTTTATCATCAGCGACTTCAAATCCTCAGGATCAAACCTCATTGGCTGGCGCGCTCGCAGGCGCGAGCCTTGCTGCCCGTCACTCGCTGACGCAGAAAAAGAACGCCAACATGCTGCCTCTAGCCACTACGACTTCTGTACAAGCAGAACATGCGAAGCGGCTCAGCGCGTTACCACCTGCCGCCTCTTCGGCACAGTTTTCGTCGCCCTCTATTCCGGCGCAGAGCACATCGCAGGTGAACAAGGGTATGAGCACGCAGCCACCAGCAGTCAACCCTACTACGACCCCTTCGTCATCAATCGCGATGCTCTCGACGGCGTTGATACCACTGCAGCGCTCGCCGAAGCGCATGAGCACTGTTCTCCCCGTCGCCATCCCAGATACACAAGCACTCAATGGGAGAGCAAGCGCGCCAAGTTCGCCCGCCACAGATATGACACAGCAAGGTAGAGCTTCTGATTGTAGAGGCGAGACAAAACAGGAGCAGAAGGAAGAACTGAAGGAGGAAGGGGAGGAGAAGATACCCACAAAGAAGCGCTTGAGCTTGTTTAGTCGAACTGGTTTGCCCGGCACGCTGGGAGCAGTGTCTTTGGTTCCCGGGCCAGTGCAGATGGTTGCAAGCTCGCCAGGTGACGATGCAAAATACGGTATATCTGAGACCTCCACGCAAGCCAACTTCAACTTCCCCCATCCACCCGAATTGATGCCCAACGAGTCCTTGCAGACTGTGGTAGCGCACGACAGCGATGCATCGGAGACGTCCAACTTTGCATCAAAGGACGGCTCCAGCGCGTACACGGAACCGGAGACCAATTCCGGCTCTGAGACCATGCCAGAGACGCCAGGGGACGTGCCCATGTCGCGCTTCAAGCCGAATATCAAGGATGCGCCTGTGGTCGCGGTGCCGCTGTATTCGCAGATGCGCTCGCCTCAGCAAGGGATCCCCTCGCCGCAGGCTGCTTCGCCGATGATGGCGTCGCCTTCTTCGGTAGGCTCGCCGGCGTTTACGATGAGTCCTCACCTGCGATCAACACCAAATTCACCAACGCCTGCACCGTCGAATGCACAAGTGTTTCCAATGCAGACTGTCACTCCTAAATCCAAATATTCTTCGGTCGCGCTGGAAGGCCTCTCGTCCGAGCAGATGTACGCGCTCAGACGTCAAGGGTTTTTTACGGCAGGCAAAGCGGACCTGTCGAAGGTCCCTCTTCGCAAGCGCACCGTGATAGAGAGGCGTCGCTACGATGTGCCTGTTCACAGTGCAACCAAGTTGCCTGACGAAGCGGTCTGGGTGAGAGACGAGCACGTCGCGTACTCGGATCTCCCCTTATTGGTCTGGTCGCCGGCAGCACCCCGGATCATTGCCAACCTTCTGGGACATATGGAAGTGGGCGACGTTAAGAGCATGCGACAGTGCTGCAGGGGTATTCGGGGCTCGTTAGATGAAGGAATCGGCCGGGAGTTGGTCCTGCAGCGCTTCTTGGGAGAGGTTGGGTATCGAAGGTGGAAGAGTCACAAGTCGATGGCTTCGAATGCCGAGCTTCCGACAGAGCCAATTCATCTCACATTTGCCGATGTCGAGGGTTTTGTCGTTGGGCATGATCTGACCGGCGAATACAAGCAGGTTGCTCAAGAATACATCAAGAACAAGGACCAGCTTGATCCTCGAATTCCTCAGCTCGCCCGGGCATCGACGCGAGCGTATAACAGAGTCCTAGCTCGATTGAGGCTGCAGCCTGGGTTCCGATACCCTCAGGCAGCGCCTGCGCCTGGATCGCCTTTGGTATCTTCCTGGACGCCGCCTCGTTCGCCGGTGCGATCTGCTCACCGCGCCAGCAGTCTCCTTCCGTCGGCCTCACATAGCTCATTGTTGTCGCCAGCCACAGGCGAGCAGCAGCCACAGAAGTCAAGCATGTCGCGCGCAAATTCTTACTACCCCAGCCACAGTGACCCAAGTCTGGCATGCGAAACACAAGCCATGCTGAGCAGGCGTCCTAATCCTGTGCGCTCGTCACCGGAATTGTCCCTCGCGAACAGCTTTTCAAGTCCACCGGCACTGGTGAGGCCAAGTCTGCCGTGCCCTTGGAAACCGGGCCGTGCAGCTTCCTTTCGCGTTTGGGTACCCTGCGCAGACTTTCAGACCGGCTGGCTTAGCGATGATGAGCTGACGAGGTGCGAGCAAGAACTGTTCAAGAGTGGGGTCTGGAAATTGCTTCGAAAGGGAGATGTCGTGTGGGACTGTGCACTTGGCTCGCAGCGCAACGAGGGCAAGTACATCTTCGATGGGAACTTTTTGAGGTAAGCGACGAGCACAAGATAAGTCTTTGAAGACGGGTTGTTGCTAACGTAGAGGGAATCTACAGGGACCTCTCATATGTTTTTGATCCGGCTGGACACTTGCCATCTTGGCTCAATTCGTTCCTCTACCCTCCGCCCCACTTCCACAACATTATTGCCTCGACCACCGCGCACCCAGTCGTGTTCCTGGACATTCTGCCTTTTCGCAACGAAATCTTTTCGTCCTTGAAGCTGCTACAAGACAATGTCGAAATGGGCACTTACCGAGTCAACAAGTGGCTGTATCGTGCGACCATGAACGTCACTGCCGGGCAGATCGTCTCTTACGAAGGCCTTGAATCGGTCGACGAGGCATGGCACGGAAAGGTTGTCATTGAAGCAGAGGGTACGACGGAAGCGGCTAAGGAAGTCATCGGCCGTTGCGCCGGTCCAGCGGCAACGCCCAAGCAGAAGCAGGACCTCATCGCGGCGGTCACGGAGGGCATCAGCGAATCTCTTCTTTTGCAGAAGCCGTTCATCCTCAATGCAGAGGGTGAAAAGTTGGAAACCACTACCCCGTGGGCCGTTCTCAGGGAGCGGAGTCGACCGGGTCTGATCTACATCAGCCCCATTTCAGCCGCACAGGCCCCACCAATCGCGTAAGGTCTACGATACATGCACCCATTTTTCCACGCCAGAGGGCCGCATGGGCGGGGTACCCTCTTTCCGCGATTGCTAGAATCTTGGAAATAGATAATATCACCAGCGCTACAGTACCCGCAAGCATTTACATCTTGTATTGTTATACCACTCGTCCGTGCACATCATACTCATCTTGCTGCCATTCAATCGCACGAGTGCCCGATGGGGTCGACTGTCGACGCCCCTGACACTTTCGCATTCGCGGCACATCCCCAGGTCAGACAGCAGTCAATAGCCAGTAGTCAGTGTTGGCCTGTTAATGAAAGAAGTTCCATGAAGAAGCCAGCTGTAGGAGTACCTTGAACAACATGCGAGTTGCAACAGTCGGAGGCGAACGCCAATCCAGACACGCCAGGCCGCAGCGAGTGGGAAAAGTGTAAAATGTTGCAGAATTTTACAATAGGTTCATTTGGGCAGATGCATAATTTGGCGCAAATCCATCGCGTACATACATCCGGATGTGTCTATCTTGATCTTGCTAATGACTGAGCTCTAGTCAAGTTTAGCTTCATGATCGTGACGTTGTGAAGAATGCCAACTCATGTGCCCTGAGGTGTTCTTGCATTGCGATCAACACCTTTCTCAATTACTGAAACAGCAATTGATCAGCGGAAAGCGCATTACCCCTGCACAGCAGGCTGCGGGTGCAAAATGGTAGGCAGTTCGGCACCGCGACCCGTCGTACTGGTGACCGGAGCCAACGCGTGAGTCGCCAGAAGAAGAATAGGCGTCGGCAGTCTGTTAACCAAGCGGGCTATTTGCTTGATATAACAGAGGTGTCGGGTTCGGCATTTGTCAACGGCTTCTGGTGCAATGGAGTAACCCAATCCCTTCTGATACCCTCGGCAAGACTCCTAGCCTGGCAGAGTCGGGCGCTGAGCCTACGCCTACCCCGTTTACAGCCCCCAATGGTATCGTCCTTCTCCTGGGCTGCCGGAACGCCATCAAGGCTCACAAAGCGAAGCAGGAGTTACAGAATGTGATCGATCACCTCGCCATGCTTCCGGATTATGAACCGACGCCGTTAAAGATTCCTTCGCACTGGCTCGAGCCGGTAGATTTGGACATAGTTTCCTCGATCGATGACAGCATCGACAATGCAACCTTGCAGAGTGCGGCAGCCGCCAGCCTGCGACGCAGGCGGCAAAGGAGTGCGCAAGTCATGGCTGCGGAAAACGGTAAGAATACAGACGAAGATGTCGATGATCTCTCCTCCAAGCTCCTGCTCGCCGGTGATGCAGACGCAAAGGCGCGGGGACGATATCGTCGGCGTTTCTGTGCGAGGACAGTGATCGAAATCGTATCACTAGACCTGGGAAGCATGGCCAGTGTGCTCAAGTGCGCGCAGCTCATTCAGGAACGACATGGGTACATCACGCATGCAATCCTCAATGCAGGGCTGGCCGCTTGGGAAGGTCTAGACTGGTTCAAGTTGGCGTGGATGATCTCGACGGGTTTCCGCCGCGCTGTGACCTGGCCTAAGTTCAAGTTGCAGCGCGCAGGTGATATTGGCACAGATGGGTATGGCTGGGTATGGCAGTGCAACGTGGCAGCGCACTACGTCCTCGTACGTTTGCTCTTGCCCGCCTTTAGGGCTTCACCCTTCATGGAGCCGTCACGCATCATCTGGACCGGCAGCATCGAATCGTACGAAAGCTTTTATCATCCGGAAGACTATCAATGCCTCGACAAGGTCAAGTCAGCGGCCACATATGAGGCCACCAAGTTTCAATGCGAGATTACTGCCCTTGGTCTCGATGAGAAGCTCAAGTCTGAGCGGATCCGGACTGTCCCGGGCACGCCATCGACTGAGCAACCACAGGCATCGCACTCGTCTTTGCGGCACGATCATGAGCCACGGTCGTACTGCTCTCACCCAGGTGTCGTCGCGACCAATATGTTCGAGGCTTACCTTGGGACCTTGCTCAACTGGGGTTATGCGCTGGCGCTCTACATAGCCCGCTGGCTTTTCTCGCCCCACCACGTTGTGACGGTCTACAAGGCGGGCATCGCAGCCAGCTTCCTGTCCCTCACGCCGTCCAGCGAGCTCGATACCACCATTCGCTACTCGTCGCAATGCAACTTTTGGGGGCAAGAGTATGTGGGCAAGGATCGCGTCGACGGTTGGGAACCAGATACGGCAGACACACAAGCCGGCAAGACCCTCCATTCCAGGTGCCGGCAGACAGTTGACCCAGATGCTGGTGCCGTGCAGACGGAGGCGAGGGGCATGAGTTGCGAGAGCCGACATGCTGGAGAACACACGATGGAGCTGGCGCGCGACTTGATCGACAAGCTCGAACATGTAGCTGGCGAAGTGTGGAAGAAAGCTGGCGTGGGCAAGCTGCCGCCGTTTGCAGACATGGGCGAAGGGGACACTGGCTTGCTCGCACCATTGGGCGCGCATGAGCTGCGACCCGTTTCTGACAAGAGGGACAACAGCGATGAGTGGGAGAATGTGGACAGATAAAGGATCATGCGCGTTTGTAGCTGTTCTGCAATAAAGAAGTGCTCTGGTTCCACGCTATGAAACGAAGGAGGTTCGGACCCCCTATCCGCCTAACGGGCCAAACACCGGTCAGAACGACCTGTGGTGACCCTATCGATGGCGCAACTTGATCGATCGCAAGGCAACGGAAACAAAGTGGGTTTTCAAAGGGGCGAGGAGAGGACAGAGGTGCATGCGTAAGCAGTTGGGAAGTACAGGAGGTAGGTACGAACGTAAAGGCGATGTTTTGAAATCATTGGCATAGTATATATTCTACCCGGAAAGTGTTTAAACATGAAGCCCGCCCTCTTAGCTCAGTGGCTAGAGCGTCTGCCTAGTATTACTAACCCTGGAAGCGGGGTTGCTAGGAAGCAGAAGGTCACTAGTTCAATTCTGGTAGAGGGCATTCGATTATTTTTTGCCTATCCTTCAACCATGACATGCAGTCTTGATGCAAAGTTTGGGTCGTTACAATATGCCCTCTTAGCTCAGTGGCTAGAGCGTCTGCCTAGTATTTCAAGCTTCGAATATGAAGTTGCTAGGAAGCAGAAGGTCACTAGTTCAATTCTGGTAGAGGGCAATTCAACTTTTTTTGGTTTTTTTGCAAACCTTTTTTTCCGGTTCTTGATTAGTGCCCACCGCAAACGAGCATTCCAGATGTGATCCGCGCCAGAGTGTAAATTGGAGCCTCGACTTGTACAACATCATCCACAGCAGACCGACCGATATTGTCTGACGTATTGCCCATTGAGTGAGATTTGTCGTTAATATTTCGGTTCCCGCTATAGACGCTGGTCATTGCAAGTTTTCTGATGATTCCGCGCGACTCTCCCCACACCTCACGGCTGGTGACATCTGACAAGGCTCCAAACGGTTGGCCGGCTCAATCTAGAGCAATGCAGCGAACTGGGTGCAGCTGATGAAGATTCGATTTGTGTTGACGTGCACCCAGATTTCAAGGCTTCTTGCATCCGACAAGGTGTCATACTTCCTGTGCGTTTTTGGTTCATGCGCTATATTTAATGATAAAGCTTTCACGCCACGCTAGAGTTCAACATGCAAGCCTTCTCCCATTTGCTACTTCCCAAGCACGAATCTCACACTGTCGCGTGCTGTGAGAGTGCCTGGGAGTGCAGATGCGGCCCAGCCAGGTCCTGCACTCCCAACAACCTGCCGGGGTGCTGGCGCCTGTGAACCGCGAGTGTGTACTCCTTGGAAGCGTTGAGTGGAGGCGACGAAGAGAGGCTCGAGGTTGCAGTGTTGACCGTCTGCTACGGGCGATGTGCCCCCTGGCAGGGCCACTTTTTTGTTGCAGCAAATAATGGGCCGCCATGGGCCGACGTGCGGATTGCGGGACTACGCATGTGGAGTTGTTACATACTGCATATTGCTGTGTGTGTGACGGCGTGCCGATTGCTAGTTTTGCGGTGGATTGTGTATGAATCATTGTTGTCGCTTTCACCGAAAGACGCAACCTGAGGCGACTCGCCAAGGCGGCGAACCGCGGCCGGCCAGCTGGCAGGGCCGGGCCACGCATGCCGCGGTTGCCCATCCACTGTGCAGAGACTGCAACACTTTGCAAGTCACAAGAGGGTCACAAATGTCTCTTCTTTGAATGACGCGAGATCAGAACGAGTGCGGGGATGGGGTATGGGATCTCTTCAATCCAATGTCCTGCGTCATTCACGTGTTGCTGCAAGGCAATGCGCTCAAGCAGCAACACCAAGGGGTGCATATTCGTTTGTGGACTAGTATATATGGAGCACATTGCATCGAAAAGCGTCCTACACGCACGCACCCACGCTACGTGGCCGCTAACCATATCCAGAGTTACACCCAAAGACGACCATGGCTGTCACGAAATGCCCGCTGGGCTTCGAGGGTGAGGTACCCAAGGGCCATCCCTCCGTTCCCGGCTTCATTGCCGAAGCTATGTTGGGGACGCAAGGAAACAACTCAGACCGCACGATCGCCTTCCTCATCTTTGATGCCCTGCTCGTCGCGCTCGTCGTCCTCTGTGTCATCTACCACGACCGCCCGATTTTTGTCACGTCGCGTCCAGAGCTGCCCAAAGTCACTCCCGCATACCCGCTTGTCGGCAACCTGCCCGAGCTGCTCAGGAATCTGTGGCATGACCCGAAGCGGCAGTATGGCATGCTTCACCTCATGGACAGTTTCCAGAAGCAGTTTGGAAAAGGTGGCATGCCGTTCACAATGACGGCCCCGGGTGCATCCTTTGGCGGTCGTACCGTTGCCATCAACCGTCCAGAATACATCCAGTGGGCACAAAAGACCAACTTTGAGAACTATGAAAAGGGCTATCACTTCCGCAAAAACATGCAAGATGTCCTTTCCGAACACGGCATCTTTGCTGCCGACGGCCAAGTGTGGAAAAAGCAGCGCAAAATGGCGTCGCACATCTTCTCCGTCGGCAACTTCCGCACTCATGTGCAAAAGACCGTCCAGAGTGACTTGGAGCTGCTTATGAAGCTTGCAAAGGACGCCGCCGACTCGGGCACGCGGCTCAACCTGCCAGACGTCATGTTCCGCTTCACGCTCGACACCTTTGGCGAGATGGCTTTCAATGCGAATCTCAACTGCCTGCCGACCGAGACCAAGGGCCTGCAGGAGGAGGTGCCGTTCGCCACCGCCTTTGACTTCGCCCAGCAGGTCATGGTCGAGCGCTTCTTTGACCCATTCTGGCGCTTTACTGAGTGCTTTTCTGCTCAGGGCCGCCAGATGCGCCGTGCCGTCAAGGTCCTCCGCAAGACGTGCTTCGAGATCATCGACAAACGTCTTGCCAACCAGGCCAGCGGCATGAGCATGGGCGCTGTCGACAACAAGGAGGGCAAGGATCTGCTCCAGCTATTTATGGACATGGGCCTACAGCGGGACGAGCTACTCCCCGTCGTGCTCAATTTCATCATCGCCGGCCGCGACACTACTGCGCAGGCACTCTCTTGGGCGTTCCTCGAGCTGCACAAGCACCCAGACATTGTCAAGAAGATCCGCGAGGAGGCCAGTCGTGTCATCGGGGACCGCTTCATGGAATACGATGACCTGAAGCGCCTGCCTTACACCAACGCCGTCTTTTACGAGGTGTTGCGGCTGTATCCTTCAGTGCCCAAGAACATCAAGGTCGCCGTCAAGGACGACATCATCCGCCCGTACGCGCAGGACCTCGATCGCACGGGGAGCGACGAAAAGGAGGAAATCATGCCGACCGAACGTCTGCCAGACATCAAGGTGCAAAAAGGCACGACAGTAATGTGGTCCGACTGGGTCATGGCCCGCATGCCTGAGGTCGGTAGCGTAGCGTGGGTTTGCGGGCTGAAGTATTTATTGACTTTGTTCTTGTTTTCTTTCCTCTTTCCTCTTTTTTGGCTGCCCTGCAGATATGGGGCGAGGATTGCAAGGAGCTCAAGCCAGAGCGATTCCTCAAGGCGGACGGCTCCCTTCGCACGTATAGCACGTACAAGTTCCACGCTTTCAACGCTGGCCCGCGTCTCTGTGAGGATGCTCCTTATCTTTGCTCCTTGCAAGCTCGACTGACAGCTGTTCCCTCTCCAGGCCTTGGCCAGACGCTTGCGACCTACGAAGGCATGGCCGTTCTCATTGCCCTTTTGACGAAGTGAGCGCGAAAACGCCGTGAGCCTAACTCGCATTGCACTGACGAGACCGCTCCTTCCGCAGGTACGATGTTGTGCTGGACGATGAAGAGCTCGCGAAAGACCCGCCGACCTACGCAGAGAGCTTGACGCTGCCCATCACCAACCCGTACATGGCTACGCTCCACCCGCTATGAATTGCTCTTCCGTACAGGCTTTGCAGCGCGCATTTGTATAATTCTACATCAGTTGTATTTTAAGTGCTCTCCATGACTTCCGTAAGAATTCGTGTAACTACATGAAAGTCCTGCTCATCGGTCGACCAGTTGCTCACCGCGAGACGGATCGCACCGGTGCCCATAAAGGAAGTCGGTGTGACATACATTTGACGGGTTGCCTTGATGGCGTCCGTCAGCGCTAGATGGCCCGACTGCGCATCACAAAAAGCGGGCACAGGGCAGAGCTGAGGGTGGGCACGAAAGAGGACGATCGTCGTGCCCCACCGGCCAGTCCACCGCGTAGGGCCCTTGATCCCTGGCGGTGCAACGCTCGTCTTGGGCGTCAACACCTCGTAAAAGCCCTTGCTGTCCTTGCGCATCCACGCCTCAACGCGTCGCGCAAAGTCGACGTTGCCTTCCACAAGTGCAGCGTAGCCTGCCCTGCCTTGGCAAACGAGCCCGGCATACAGCGGCAGCGCTCTGAAGCGGCGCGAGTTTTCCTGCGAGTCGCATAGCGCATCAGTCTAGCACCAGGGCAGTTATTCGCTCTGCCACCTACTATATTCATGTTCAATGGGCTCGGCTGTTGTGCAAGCTCTGCATGGATGGCGTCCGCGTCGATCCCCTTTGTGGCCTGGGCTGTGAGGTAAGCGGGAGCACAGCTTTTTCCTGGGCTGCAAACGTCGTACAGCTCGCAATCGGCTGCAGCACCAGCTGAGCGAGTGCGGATGAAGAGTAGGCCCGCATCGTACGGCACATTTAGCTGCTTGTGGGCATCGCTGGTGATGCTATCGACGAGGGACAGGTGCTCCGATACCCAAGCAAATTCTTGCAGCAAGCAGACAAAGGCAGAGAATGCTAGCGACGAGCGGATCAGTGGGTCTTTCAGTTGGTGTACAGCGTCATATACTCACCCGCATCGATGTGCAACCATGCTCCGTATCGATTGCATAAGCGCCTTAGCGATGGAATTTGATCTGTGAGAGCACCCTGTCATTGGATTGGTCGAATCAGTAACCGCGGAGGGAAATGTGCTGATATGGCATGTCACCTACCGTGTTGACTTCTCCGAGGCCAGCAATAACGATGGCACCCTGCTGAATTTCTGTACATGCTCTTAACTCTTCATCGAGGCGGTTCAGGTCAAAATCGAGGGCCTTGACTTGCTCTTCGATGGGTGCTCCTTCCAGAACCTTATGCCCCACATCAATGACGTTCTTGCGACCGACTCCGACAAGGGAGGCCGCTTTGTGGACACTTGCGTGAGGCTGGGTAACAAATACTTTAATGCCCGGAGAGCCGGCCAGCCCATCCTCCGACACTTTCAATCCGTACTTGCGAAGCACTGCTTCACGCGCGGAGGCCAACGCGAGGACGTTCGACGAGGTTGCACCTGTGGTCACAGTCCCACTCCAGCGGTCTATTTGCAGACCCAGCAGCTCAAGCACCATATTGATCGACAGGCGTTCGATGTAGGTCGATAGCGTCTCCTTTGGCAGGTGGACCTGAACATTCTGGTCGAAGAGGCTGACGAGCCAGTCCGCTGCCGGTCCGATAGAACGTCAGCTGTCCGGAGCGTATGGCTGTAACATACTGCTTCCTAACCTACGAGCGCCTCGGGAAGCACACCTCCCGTGACAAACCCAAAGTAGCGGCCTGTTAAAGAGCGATTGAAAGCGTCAAGCACCGCACAGGCCCTGCCGGCTAGGATTGGTGAAAGGCTCACTTCCGGCATGGCCTGGTGCTAATGCGGGAGCGACCTCCTTGCGCAAGAGGTCCCAGGTGCCCTTAAGTCCTGCGCCATCGGCTGGCAGCGTTCTTGGCAGGGTAGACAGAGCATGCTCGATATCCGCCGCAGCTGCTATTGTTGGTAGGTCGTGCAACTGCCTGGATCGCGTCACCGCCAGGGCTTTCAGCTCGTCCAGAATGTCGGACAGCTCTGCCATCTTCCACCGCCTTGAGACGAAAAGATGTTGAATTGGTGGCCACGTCCGCTACCGAGTCGAGCTCGTGCCTTTGGCCATAGAGGGATTAAGAGACCAAAATGGTTCTTCGCACAGAATGGAGTATATATTGGAAGGGAACTGCGGGTATGTTGCCGTGTTGGTCACCAACATGGGGTCGACGCGCCGCACAGCGCAGACTCGGCTCGTACCCAACGCCATATATATTCAGCTGCTGTGCGCCCAATTCAGCATGATTTCCAACTGGCGTGAGGCATTCACAAGGAGTGTCATTTGGGAGCGTCAGCTTGTAGCTCTGCTGACGTCGAAGGCCATGTATCCTGTGTGCTGCCTCGCGGATCGATGGCAAGTATTGGAGAGCCGGAACCATTGAGCTGTGTGCGTGTCAGACGCAAGCATTGATCGCCTCGGCTTGATCGGCCCTGCCCTGGCGACCTTCCCGAAATGTATCAATTTGACGCCCATAACTCCCAGAAGGAGCTGCTCGTCGACTTGCTCAAGGTACGATCTCGGCAGAGCTGCCGTGCGGCCGTCACAACTAGATAACTGACATTGACACCCTGCTTCAACCTTGCAGCCCAATGGAGCCTTTCCCGCATCCGTATTTGTGACGGACAGCGTTTCACCTGGGTATGGGTCGGCATTCGTCACGTATGCGCTCCAATCGCTCCTCGCTGAACCGGAACATGCCCACAAGCTGCGTCTCGTGCGTGTATCACCTGTATCATCGCCAACCATTGCGATGCTCTCCAGCACCATCTATCGACAACTTGGGCAGCCGCCGTCAGGGGCACGTGCCGACGCCGCCAGACTCGTTGCCGGGCTCACAAGTGCGATACAGAAGGGGACGCGCGTTCAGCCCGGCGTTAAGTTTGTGCTGCTGGTAGAAAATTCAGAGCGCATCTTAGACTACTGGTCGCCAGAATTATTGGAGGTTCTGCTCCGGCTCGATGAATACGTGAGCATACCTTCGCATTCGCGATAAGATCCGCTCCCCAAGCCGCATTCGCTGATACCGAAATTGTTTCTGACAGTGCTCATGTCGTGGGAGACTGTGTGTGCTCATGCAGAGCGCGCTTCCTTGGTCCCGCTTTCGCACGCTCTCCGGAAGGTCAACTTCACTCGTACCGTTGACAATTGATCTACCGGCTCTTCAATCCCATGGTGCGCAGGTCGTGCTGCAACGGGCAAGCGCGTCACTAACTTTCCCCTTCACTACGATGCTCACAGATCTTGCGGTGTTCTTTGAGAGACATATGCCTGCCACTCTGGAAGGAGCCAACTTGCCTCGCGACGCAGCTACAAGATATTTCGCAGGTTATTGGAAGGTCGCGCACGACACGTTCGCAAGCGAGGTCCGGGACCTCGAGGAGCTTCGCACACTTGTGCTTGCGACATGGCCTATCTTTTGTCTGCCTCTGCGACAGAATCCGGGTGAGTTTGATGCAGGTTTCACTCACGTCATCTATAGCTGTAGTGGCGTCTGACCATGCTCAACTGCACCTTGTAGCGCTCGGCTTCGAAGGTCTATTGGCACAGCGCGGCATTTTTTCGGACGCGCTGGCGCGCCTTGCCTCTCGCAAGCTCACTCCACAGGCATGGTTGGATGCATTTGAAGAAGGACCTGTTTCAGCAGGCGCTCATGATGTGATTGGCGATTCTTCAAGGCCCAGGAAGAAAACAAGGCGATGTGGTACTCCATTCTCTGAGCCATCGATCATTCGCACTTCCCGCATTGACCCCTACTTTGGTTCTATTTGCCACAGGTGTGACTTCACAACCTTTTGATGACTCGCAGCCATCTAAACTCGGCGCCTATATTCTCATCTGTGCCTTTCTCGCATCGTACAACCCAGTCCGGCTGGACACTCGCTACTTTCAGCAGACTGACGAGGACGTTGTGAAGAGCAAACGAGGGCGCGGCGGAAGGAGAGGCGGCAAGGCGGACGACGATGCGGGCGAGAGCTTGGATCGGCCGCAGCTGCAAGGACCAAAGAGCTTTCCCCTGGAGCGCTTGCTTGCGATATTCGAGTCGATCCTCACTTCCGAGGAGCCGGATGGACTTGTGGATGATCGTCTAAAAGGTGACCCTGAACGGTGGCGCGTGCTCGCGCGGAGTGCTGCGGTTATGACCCAGGTGCGTGTCTGCAATGTTCTGCCTCATTTTCGCGGCCCATGCCCATGATCTCTATCCTTTTTGTTTTACGTAAACGGCAGATCAACTGCCTGGTGGGAAGCGGGAGGGTAGCACAGACAAGTGGAGCGGGCAGCCTGGACGGCATGCAGTATCGCGTGAATGTCTCGTACGCATACGTCAGGGCGCTGTCCACATCACATGGCTTCGACCTGGGCGAGCGGCTGTGGAATTGGAAGTAGGCGCATACATGCATGTAGATGTAGAGCAAGTAGGGCTACAGACTGCCATTTTAGCGCGTCAGTCATCATCCAGCGCAAATGCCGCTTCATCTCCCCCTGCAACGATGATTTCGTCGGGCAACGGGTCGGCGGGCAGCATCCCCGTCTCGAGCGCCCATAGACCCCACGCTTGCGACCCGACTCGCGCACCGCCCAGAATCGGTCGTGCGGAGAGATCTGGCGTGTCATTGATCTGCGGGCGCACATGAAGCTGTTAAAGGGTAGGTAGTGGGGTCAGCATATCGTGTGTGAAATGGTAAATAGGGAACAACGGAGAGCGCCCTCACTTGATGCATTGCGGCCCAGGTGGGCTGTGTGTTGGAGCTGAAGTGCGGTAAATGCGTGTACGGCTCGTACAAGCCGACGGGTGGCATGCGCAGACGCTTGCGCTCGTCCTTGGTGAGGCGCTGGACTTTCTTGGACCCGCTTGACAGTGGATCCAGGTCCACATTCCCGTCCGCGAGGCCGAGCCTGCGCTTCCGCTTGGTATTCGGGGATGCGTCGGCGTCCAACATGTCATCCTCATCATCATCCTGATCTTCTAGATCGTCCTCGTCCTCCTCAGCGTCGTCATCATCTGAATCCTCCGAGTCGTCTGTGTCAGACGAAGAGCTCTCGACACCCTCTCGAGGCATGCGAAAGACGACGAGGCGGTCGCGCCGCGTCTCACGCAGCTCTGAGTTCATCCCTCGCACGCTTTCCGCCATGCGCAGCATCCAGTTCTCCTCGCTCACCTCGTCGCGCGCGAGGTGCTGCATGCGCACGACGTGTCGCTCGGCGCGCACGAACGGGCTGTGGCCCGCGTCGCCGAACGTCGTGACGACGCTCTCGCCCGTGATGGGATGCGTCGTGTAATGCGTGTTGGCGTCAGCGCGTTTGCGGTGCCGTTCGCGGTCGCGGTCGCGCTCCTTGCGCTCAGCGACGGCGTCGTCGTGAGTCTTGGTGTCGACCGGCTCGCCTTCCTTCTTGCCGTCTGCGCGCGCCTGCGCTTCGTAGTAGTCGTCCGTCACATAGCGTCCGTCTGCAGCATATGTCATCAGTGAATCACACTTGTACAGCCGGCCAGACGATCCCAGGAACAAAAACCAACGAACTTACTTTTGATGATCTTCGCACCGTGCGTCTTGAAGACGTTGAGTATGACCACACATGTCACAGCCCTCGTCTTAAGGTGGTGCGCGATCCTGCCGGCCTCAATGAGCATGTCCTTCTCCGATGGCTCGAGCTCTAGCTTGATGATGTTGGGATTTTTGCGCAAAAAGTAGAGCGAGTCACGGTAGCCCGCACCGCGAGCGACGTCGATCGTCAGCGCGTACACGCGCTCCGGATCCTCGCGGCCAGGCAGGTTGAACGTCGGACATTTGAACTCTCTTCCTGGAATCGTCATTGTGGTAGCGAGCACTTGGCGTCGGTCAGCAGCTCTCTTATTTGCAAGCGGTGCGGAAAGCTGACACTTCCACGTACCTCCCTGCAGCCGGCCCTTGGAGTCGATCTTCTTATCCCCATCCGGATCGCTTGGCAACACGAGCTGTTCGTCCTTGAACTCATACGTTTCGCCACGGATGACGTATGTCTCCTTGCCGGACGGATCCTGCCCTTCCGATTCCGCACCACCGCCGTCGCCATTGGAGCCACCGTCATCGTCTTCTGCCTGGCTATCACGCCCCGCCGCCGACTTTCGCGGGCGCTTGTACGCCGGGCGGTCACGCGAGGCTGCCGCGGACAGCCCACCTCCGCGTCCTCGTCCTCGACCGCGTCCGCGCCCTCGACCACGCCCGCGTCCTCGGCCGCGTCCACGACCACGCCCTACACCCCGGACGAGTGCTGGCGGTCGCCCTCGCCGGCGAGGAGAGTGTGGCGCCATGTCCTCGCTGTTCTGGTCCTCCTCCTCCTCCTCCTCTTCCTCCTCGTCTTCTTCTTCTTCCATACCTGCCCCTTCGTGTCCTTCTTCCTCGCCGTCGCCGTCGCCTTCTGGGCCCCCCTCTTCATCGCCGTCTTCCGCCTCTGCATTATTCACCGCCTGCTCTTCGTCATCGTCGCCTGAGCCAGCAGCGTATGCCCCTATAGCATCATAGTGCCCGTCGCGGCGGTTGGATACTACCCGAGCAGGCCGTTTGCGCGAGCCGCGCGCCGACGTGAGCGCGGCACCTTCCGCGTCGTCCTCGGCGTTGGACACGTCCGGGTCCTGCTCGGCGGATGCCATCGCCGCCGCCGCTCTCCGTGCAGCACTACGTCGAGCCGAATCGCTCGGCTGCTGTGAGCGCGATTGCGATCGGGATGCAGAATGCACTTGCGTCTGCGACTGGGACGCACCGCGGGACGGCCTGGAGCCGCGGCGCTTGGACCGCCCGGCGATGTCGCCGAGCGTATCCGAGTCGAATGCGAAGTCCGAGTCATCGAGCAGACCCGCCTCCCAATCGCGCTGCGCGGCGGCAAGTGCGGAGAGCGACGAGTGCGCTGCCTTGCGCCGCGGTCGCATGGAGGCTGAAGCGGATGCATGAGAGTCTTCAATCGTCACGTCTTTTGCGTCTTCTTCCGCTGGAGCAGCCGCAGCCTTCTCGTGCTCGTCGGGATCGTCTTTGTTCACAGTGTTGCATGATGCTGATGACAAAGATGAGGGTGGGTTGCGGATGCTGATGCGCGGACGCTTGTGGGCCCGGCCGCTCGCATTGGATGCTGTTGCTTCTTCCGCTTCCGAGGCCGTCGGCGTCGACGCCGTGCTCGCTACGCGCTTCTTCAACACTGTGACACGCAGCCGCCCGCCGCGAGACTTGCTCGCGCCATCCTCCGTCGCTGCGCCATCTTCGGAGTCTTCTGCGACTGTGGCGGCACCGGGATCGACATTGGCATCGGCACTCGCAGATGTAAGTGTTCCGTTATTGTCATCTTGCGGCGATACTGGGAGGCTCGCGCGCTTGGACTGCCTGTTCGACAGCTTGATGGTTCGCGCCATGTCTGCAGAGCGCAGAGGGGAGATCTGCCTGCACACCGGCTATGGCTGAGCGGCTCGCTGACGGACAGTCGTGGTGTTTGCTGGGTTTCGATGGATGAGGTATTCGTCAGTTCCTACCTACAACCACTTCTACATATGGGACAGGAAGCCTCGCTCTCCTTTTGTGGCGGCGAGCGCGTCGCGTCGCGAACCAAGAAACTGCAGAGCAACACACTTACGCACACGATTTTCGACGCACCTACATCCCACCATCGTCTCTTATGATAGCTTTGACAATGATGAGTAGATGCTATTTCTTTGTACATAGTTAAGATGGAGTGAAGAAGGGGACAAATACAGTGCGGGTTAAGATGGTCTGTCGTCCCCTGGCTATGCTGCACTTCGCGACTTCGCTGCCGCTGTCGCTGGCCCTCTGCCACCGTGCTCGAGCCTATCGAGGGCTGATGCTGGTGGGCTTGTGCCGTGCGATAGTTCCCATCATGCGCCTACGGCGTGAGGTGGCATTGTGGGCGCCTTCAATTTGAACCGGCATCTGCATGGGCACAAGCGAGAGAGGGTCGAAGATGTTTTTCTGTTGAGCTAGAGTCAGTGGACCCAAGAGTGCTGGTTGTAGCAACCCTACTTTCCTGGAGGGTGACGGCGGGGCAGTGCTGAGTCTGGTTGCCAAGCGTCCGCGTGGCTGGCTGGCTGTTGTGCAGTGTCCACAGAGACAGGTGCGCAAGCCGGTGGCTGTGTGCCGTGTGGTGCGGGCCAGAGTCAGCCGAGTCCGAGGAGGTAAAGTGACCTCATCTTGTGATCGCATCGCTCCTTGACCCTTGGCTGGTCTCGCCTTCTCTCTCCCACCCCCAAGACCTGCGCTCAACGTACGAGGTTTCTATCCGATACAATTCAAAGAACCCCCGGGGTCCGGACGCAAGCTACCTGCCCACCACCATGGCTTTCCAACATAACCCGTTCCTCTCTTCGCGGGGAGAAGCTGCGTCGACGACGAATACCACCACCACCAATCCATTCCAGAGCTCATCGGGCATGGCGTCTGCTGCACCCATCGGCGATGGCAGCCGCGCCGGTAGCTACCACTCAGGCTTCGTCGAGAGTCCGTCTTCTGGTCATGCAGCCCCGGCCCACAACCCATTCAGGGTCGCACAGTCCCACCACCAGCCGTACGTGGACTCCAATGGTGCATTACCACCCCCTTCCTCGCCATCGACCAACCCATTCAGGAATAACGGGATCGCCACGCCCGTCGAACAGCAAGGCTTCAGCGCACCACCGCCGCTCACAGGCGGCACAAAAGCCACAATGGCTGCGTCAGGTTCGGGCACTGTCCATCATATCTCCGACGACCTCGCTGGCCTCGACTTTAGCGGCGCATCGTCGAGCAGTGCTCTGCAGACACAAGCTCCAGTCGCAGCACCCCCCTCCGGCCCGTCGTCTGGCGAAGGATCAGCGTATCCAGATCGTCGCATACTGGGGTACGACGTGCAGAATGGCTACTACGATGGGGCGGCCGCCGCGTCTTCCTCTCATGCGGTAGCAGTCGGCGGAAGCTCCAGTGCGGTAGGCGCAGACATGCTCGACCCTGCTTCCGCTGCAGCCGTCTCAGCCGCTGTATCCGCCGCAGACGCAGACTCGGCACGCCAGATCCAATCGCAGACCGCCGGCGATGAGGCATTAGCGCGAAGGATCGCCGAGCAGCAAAAGGTGGAGCGCAAGCTCGGACACGGCAGGCAGGCTAGAGCTGTTGTTGCGGGAACCAATGGCGTCGCCCCTGAGGAGGAAGCGCTGTGGAATACCAAGGATGTCTACTGGAGAGGAATCGAGCGAAAGATCATCACCCAGGTGAGAGGAGCTATCTCGAAAGCGCGTAGCTCAGTCAAGCCGTTGACACATATGCCTCCGCCCACCGCAGAACGAGAATGGCCCCTGCTCACTGATAGCCCTTTGCAATGTCCTCCTCCTACGCGGAGATCTCGTGATCACACCAGCAGATCGACCAGCAGTGTCGTACTCCTACCTCTCATCCATGCTCGCCGAGTACCTCCTCACGCGCCCGCAGCCACAGGGAGAAGACGGCGTCGACCTCTCCGCAGCGCTGTCTATCCTCCCGCGAACGCAGTATGGCCTCGACGTCAACGTCCGCTTCGACGCCGTCGACAGCTTCACACCCGCCAGCAGCCTAACGCCAGCAGCATCAGCATCAGCAAGTAGCGCACATGCTGCTGAGGCGGTAGGAGCTGGGGCAGCAGCGACAGGAGAGCTTGCGCTCTTCAAGCTCTGTGGCGTCAAGCTCGTGCACGGTTGGCTACCAGATCCAGCAGATGCGGAGACATACCGCGCAGTTACTGCGTGCGGAGATTACGACAAGGCGCTTGACAAAGTTGTCGAGGGCGACGAGCTCGCCAAGGGGCTCGTCGTCGAGTCCCATTCGCACACCCACAGCGGAGGAGGCGGCGGTGGCAATGGTGGGCGTGCTGCTGGCGCACTGGGTAGCCACTTAGATCGTCTGCAAAAGGGAAAAGGCGTGCAGCGCGCTGGATCAGACGACTGGTCCGATGAGCACGCGAGCACAGTCAAGGATGCGCTGCTCATACGCGACTTTCTCAGCTCCACGTCCACCCAGCTCAGTTATCATGGCCTCTTTGTGCTCGCGCATACGCTGCAACAGGGCGAAGCTGTTGCGCTCTTCCGCAACTCGCACCTGTCTGTGCTGTACAGGCGCCTGCCGCATGAAGGGATGGAGGAGGAGGAGCGACCGCAGGCGATGGGTGATCTGAACAGCGGTAGTACGAGCGATGCGGCGCAGCCAAATGGACATGGAAGCAGCAGCGCCGCGAGCGAGATCCCGCAGTTGTTCACACTCGCGACGGACAGTGCGTTCCTGATGGAGGACGAAGTGGTGTGGGAGAGCCTGGCGGACGTCGACCAGGCCGCGAGCGAATTCTTCGACGGAAAGTTCCGCAAGACCCGGATCGAGGGCGACTGGGTTGGAGTCGACTCAAGGGGCAGGAGAAGGCCCATGGGGCCCGCTGCGGCTGCTGGTGCTGCTGCTGCTGGAAGCGTTGCCTCCGTCATGGATGACCAGGGAAGGATGATCTTGCCGGGTGAGGATGCAGAGTGAGTAGTCGCGCGATGTCTTTGTCTTTCGGCTTCCGTTTACTATCGTCGTTGCTGACGAATTCAATTCTTTGCCCGATCTTTCGGAAGCTTTGCACTCGCCGCACAACTGCAGGAGGAAGAGCAGCAGCGCGCAGCGATGCGGCATGCCCGCCGCTCAGAGCGCCATCAGCAACAGCGCCAGGCTGATGCGCTCCTCACGTCTGGCTCGCAGCCTGCACCAGAACAGCGCTCTTCGCAGCGCGAGAAAAAGCTGCCCAGTCTCGGTGCGCTTTTTGGGAAAAAGAAGGACAAGGCGCCACCCAGTGCACAGTTCCAGCATGCCTTAACGCCGAGTACTGGAGGAGCAGGAGAAGCGCCAAGTGAGAGTCTGTTGGACGAACGGGTGATGCTGGGCACCGACGCGCAGGGCACACCGACCTCTGGCGACGGCAGGGATAAGGAAAAGTGTGCAGTCATGTAGTTCGAGCCCCTCTTTCAGGTTCAAGACGAAAGTAGAAGCCTTCTGCTTGCCCGATGTCATCATGGGATGCGAAACGATACCATCTGCTGATTTACAAGAAGTTGTCGTGCCGTGGTCAAGTAGGATACATGCATACATATAACGAGGGCAATGATGGGTGCAGAGTGCTAATTCAGCATGCCAGGAGGAGCTGGACCCTCCCCCTTACTGCCCGAACAATCGTGCCAGCCTTTGCTCGAACGCTTGCCACTCTTCCTTTTCGATGCCAATCTCCTCCCATCGCGTCTGGTAGCTGCCACTAGCAGGGTCGAGCGGCTTTCCCGACAGCTCATCCCTCACGCGGGTGAGCACCGCGCGGTCCTGCTGATCGAGTGCAACACTGCGTCGCGCATCCTCTGTAGCACGCTCGACAAAGACGAACAGCGCACGCGTAGCCTTCTCTGCATAGTCCAGGTCGCTGCGTGCCTCTTTGTCGCCGTCCTCACCGCACGCGGCCACGCTCTCCCAAGCGTCCGCGCTCGAGGGGGGCGGCAGGAGCGACAAGGCGAGCGTGCGCAGCAGCCCGCTGCTCTTCACGGCACGTGAGACGTTCGGATGCGCCACGCCAGCGCGGTACGTCTCCGGCCCCAGCTCGAGCGGTGCACACCCGCTTGGTGCTGACGAGCTCGGATTGGCTGACGACGCGTGCGGGACGACAGCTGTTGCGCGAGACGGCGTCGAGGTGCCTGAGGTTGGGTTGCTCAGTGCAGGTGAGGGTCCTGTCGCTACGCTCGCCGGCGTGGCGCTGTCGCCCTGGTCTGCATCTCCAGCCGCTTGATCTTGCAGCAACAGGCTGCAGATCAGAAAAGCCGTCTTGCGGCGGAGCGTGATGTTCGGATCACTAAGCGCCGCCTGCAACTTTTGCCACCCGTCGCACTCCTCGGCAAAGACCTTAACCGCCTGTGGATTGTGCTTAAGGATGCCGCTGAGCGCGTACATTGCTTTGCTTCGCACCTCGGCCTTGTCACTGCCGTCGAGAATCTCGAGCAGACGCGGCAGTGGATCGAATGAGAGCACGGCCATCTGCGCCTTGTCGTTGTTCTGCACTGCTGTCCCCACAATCCATGCGGCGGCAAGCTGGATCGACGGGAGCGGTGACTCAAGAAGGGTAAGAAGTGGCGGCCACATTTTCATGTTCATGATATTGTTCGCATTGTCCACTTGTTCGATTAGCTGTTGACACCAATCGCCAGAACGTGTAAGCTGTCAATGCGATCTAAGAAGCTCGGCCGCAGTGCAGAAACGTACCATCTCGAAATTGTCTAATGCAGTACATCGATCCTCTTCCCTTCTCCCCTCATCCAGAGCGACTGCCAGCTCCTCTTGCATCATCTGTGCCTCACTCTTTCCCATGATCGCCTGGTAGAGGTTGGGGTCTGACAGATCTGGCCGCTTGCCCGCTGCAATGTCAGCGCTAATGGCGGCGATCGAACTTGGCGCGGCCTCAGCGCTCGCGCCAGCGCCGTCGCTGCCATCTGTCGACGGGCCAGCAGAGTGTCGGAGACCCCACTTGAGGAGCTCGTCTGCAGTTCGGTTGGATGTCATCCTGACTCTATCTGGCGCTCGCAGAATCGTACTTCGGGTCTTTGGGTTAGACTGAATACTGCGGGCATGCCATTTGAAGCTGTCGCAGCTCTCGACCGCATTTATGACCAGCAGCAACACGTCCAGGATGATTTTTCATCGAACAGCATCGAATGCGAGAGAGCCATTCTAGGGCTTATGTAATTTCTTCGCAGTTCTCCCATAGGTGTGCCAGGTGACTGAGATACGTTCCCTTCCTTGCCGCATCAGCTCGGCGCCTGGTCCTCGCACGGACAGGCTGACACCCACGTGGGTCTCACTCACACGGCACACGCGCCCAACCGAAATTTTGGCCTGCCGCGCCCTCTCCGTGGATATTTGGTATATATCGCACCACAGATCTTCCTCCACACATGTCTGCGTCTGCTGGCAACAGCTGGACTCTTATTTACAACGTGCGAAGAATGGTGTGTCCGGTGTACACGGCCCGTTCGCTGGAGGCAGGCTCAGGTGTGCTCGGCAGTCTGCTGCATTGTATACATACTCTGCACCAAAAAACGGTGTGCTTGGTGTGGATTTCGTAGTGCTGCGCCTTGTGTGTGGGCTTGAGGGAGCCGAACATTCGTTCGTTTTGCTTGCGCGACCACGTCTCGTCTTTGTCAACGCCGATCATTCGGGGCAAATTTGGAAGCAGGGTATAGCAAAGTCACTAGGCAGAGATATACATAAAAAAAGAGACTGGAACAGCAAGGGCTTCATCTACAACATATATATATATACTTTCTCGGCAGTTGGCGGCACGTAGCACACCTTGCAGCCGAGAGTGCAAGAGAGTGGAGGCGGATCGGATACTACTTCTCATTCTCCTTTGCTATCTTTGAACTGCACCTTTTTATTCTGAAGGCAACCTGTCTCTGTTGCAACATCTTGGTGCGCATGCACAGCTCTCGTTCCCCTCACGTCCACCCGTCATCGCCTTATCCATAGCCCGTGCAAGTCCCCACTAAGCGCCTCGACTGCCTGGCTGTTCAAGATGGCGTCGACACCGTTTTACGATTTCACCATTTCCCTCTTTCCGGTCGCCCTGCGCAAGTCGTTGCCGCTGCACCTGCTCACATGGCAGGCGGGCGTTACGCCACTATCGACGCTGACCAGCATCAGCGCTGCAATCGTCGTGTACCTCGGCACGATCTTTGGCATACAGGCGCTAATGCGCGGTAGGGCGCCTTTCGGGAAAGAAGGCTGCTTCAAGCTTGCGTTCCTCGTTCACAATGTCGCGTTGACCATCGGCAGTGCGTTGCTCTTGGGATGCATGTTGGAGGAGATCTGGCCGATTTTCAGGGAGAGGGGGCTTTTCTACGCCATCTGCGGAGCAGGAGCTTGGACGATGGTGAATGCGCAGAAGCTCCCTGCCTACTTGATAATCTAATTTCTCACTCTCGTTTTGTACCGGATGACCTGCAGCGCATGGAGACATTCTACATCATCAACTTTTACTTCAAATTTTGGGAGCTCATCGACACCATCTTCCTGGTCCTTAAGAAGAAGCCTCTACAGTTCCTGCACGTGTATCACCACTCGGCGACTGCTCTGCTCTGCTTCAGCCAGTTGCACGGGCACACAAGCGTCAGCTGGGTCGTGATATGCTTAAATCTCGCGGTTCATGTCTTGATGTGTACGTCAAGTCTATCAAATGTGTATGCGGAGAGCGTGGAACGGTAGATGATTGACTCTACTCGTCACTTCCGCTGTGTACAGACTTCTACTACGCTCTGACCTCGCTCAAGATTCCGTGCCCTTGGAAGAAGGCCGTCACCACCTCGCAAATCGTCCAATTCGTCATCGACCTCTTCGTTGTCTACTTTGCATGTGAGATGCAGTTTTTCATAGTGTGGTCTGTCTCTTTTTGACACACATTGACCATCATCTTCGCTACGATCGTTCATTTCCCTTGCAGCTTACAACTACGCAGCAAACACCTACCTCCCGTGGCTCCCGCACGTGGGCACTTGCGCTGGCGCAGAGTACGCCGCCATCTCGGGCTGCGTCTGCCTCACCAGCTACTTGTTCCTCTTCATCGCCTTCTACCAAAGGACATACAAGAAGGCCGCAAACGCGAGGGCGAAAGCAGCGGCCAACGGGAAGGCCCTCGCCAACGGATACTCCAACGGGAGCATCAAGAAGGCTCAGTAGAAAAGCACATGATATTCTATCATACCTTCACGTGCGCATTCGCAGGCGTATAGCCTGCTTGATCGCTGGCCCTCCTGCATGGCGGGAAAGGGAGCAGCTCCAGGGCCGGGTCGGGTCTCAATAACATAACGCAAGGTTTCCCATGCAATGGCTCAGAAACGCGAAACAGTTCTATAGATGTATGATAGAGTCTGTGGAACCCCAACCCACACCTCTTGTCTCGATCAACCTCCATTCACATCGCGTAGTTAAAATACACGCGTGGTTAGATGACCTGCTCGACGTTCCTCGAACCTCTATGTCTACGCGAAACCTCCCTGCTCGAGCTTGCGATCCTTGTCGGCGGAGCTGTTGTCATCCTCTTCTGCCGGCGTTCTGCGCGCCGCGTCCGTTTCGAGCGCACCGACGGGGTACTCTCTGTGGTGCGGCGGCATGATGACGTCCTGGCCCGCCTCCTTGACCTTGAGCATCGCCTCTCTCTCCTCGGCCCACTCCCGTTCGCGCTCCTCCTGCTTGCGCCTCTCTTTTTCCAGCGTCGCTTTCCGGCCCTCCACGTACGCCTCCAGCTCGGACGGCTCCATCTCCCAGAAGCGCCGCTTGCCGCCAGCAAGGCGCCGCAGCCACGGCGGCAGGATCGCGAGCAGGCGTGCTAATGTCGAGGGCGATGCGCCCGAAGGCGACGACGATAATGATGACGAAGGGAGCTCGCCGGAAGTCGCGTTGGCAAGTATGAAAGAGGCGCTGTACGGCTCTGCTTGCTCCCAGCCTTGCGGCAGCGGGATCAATCCTCGAGACGCCCAGGTCAGCAGTAGCGGTACGTTGTGCAGGACGATCCAGGTGCAGATGGCGGCGATAAGCCCGTACGCGATGTTGAACGAGAACGGGATCAATGTCATGGCGATGAAGGCGGGGATTGCGTCTTTCGGGTGGTTCCAATTGATAGCAGACGTATTGCGCGCCATCATGGAACCGACGATGACCAGCGTCGAGCCGGTTGCCCAGGATGGGATGCTGCTGAAGATCGGTGCCTATGGGGGATGTTGCTCCAAGGTCAGTCGCGGCGCGCGATGCGGTAGTTCTCTCGCGTCGTGAGCAACTTACAAAGAAGAGGGAGAGGAAGAAGACAAACGAGACAGTGATGGCGGTGATGCCGGTGCGGCCGCCTTCGGCAATACCCGAGGCTGACTCGACAAAGACGGTTGAAGGCGACATACCGAGCAAGGCGGACATGCTAATGCAGAAGGCATCGACGAGGAACGCAATCGAGGAGCCTTCAAAGTCGCCCGACCGGTCGTCCATCAAGCCAGCATGACGTGACATCGCAAACAGTGTGCCTGTGTTCGCGACAGCGTGTTTGTGAGCCAAGTGCACTGCCTGGTGCCAAAGGTGGAAGCGACTCACCCGTAGTGTCCATAATGTCTACGTAGAGGAAAGAGATGAGCGCAAGCCAGACTTTTCCGTTGGCGTAGTCAAAGTCGATGTTAGACACTGAGATCTTGGAGAAGCCATGCCATGTGGCGACCTGCTTGAAGAAGTCCCAGTTCGAGTCTCCCTCTGCGGTGTGGGGGAAGAGCGTGACGGCGTTGCCGCCACGCGGCCAAGAGGAGATGGCGACGAGCAGGATAGGCCAGAGGAGTGCACCCTTGACGCGGTAGACAAGTAGCAGCGCGGTCAGCATGCCACCCAGGAGGATGCCGACCCACATGCGCGGGTCTTGCAGCACGTGGCTCTCGCAGAAGCCGTTGGCGTCCTTGTACTGTGCGGGACAGCCGCCGAGGCCGACAAGGTCCGTCGCATTGCCACCGATCGCGCCGAGCCCGCTCGGCCCCAAGCCAATCAAGCACAGGAAGAAGCCAATACCCGCGCCCGTGGCGAGGTTCAGCGAGCGTGGCAGCAAGCGCCCGACCCACTGCCGAAGGCCGATCAGAGACAGGAACAGGAAGATCCAGCCTTCGAGAAAGACAGCGGCGAGAGCTTGGCCGTATGGCACCAGACCCTGGCCATTGTACCCGACTAAAAAGACCAGAGGAAAGGAAAGCACGTCATCAGTTTTTTTCGCGGCCCGGTGCTTGGCACTCGGGAGATCATGCGAGGACGTACCAACGCTGAATGCAAAGTAGCTGTTCACTCCTAGCCCAGCTGATGCGCCCAGGGGTAGATTGGCCAAGGCCCCGAGGAGGAACGTGACCATCGTTGAGATGGCGGATGTAGCGGTCTATACGGGATGCGGAGCGGTGTCAGCTTTCCGCACGGAGTTCTCACGCGGGCAGAAGTGTGCACGCACGACATAGTCACGCCGTAGCTGGAATTTCGTGTTTATTTCATTTGAGACGGTATGGGAAAGCATCAGTGATATGCTGGGGGTGGGGCCAACTGCATCCGCGTGCGATTCACCTCGTTCTTGCAGATGTTGTACTCTGCATTGTTGTCGCAGATGGGGTCGTCGGCGGACGGGTTGCTGCACACGCATGGGCCACCGGACGCGGAGAGGATGCTAGCGTTGACCGAGATAATGTAGAGCATCGCCGCGGCTGTGACGAGGCCTGCGCGGATCTCGGTCGAGAAGCGCGAGTGGGCGCGCTCGAGCGGATGGCCCGAGCCGGCGAGGCGGAAGTGCCTGCCGAGTGGGGAGCGCGCGATGCGATCGTTCAGACGCGCGGTAAGCGCCGATACCTTTGTGCTGCCGGTCGCCATGTTCGACGTCTCTCTTCTCGGCTCGCTATAGGCCCCTTATCGGTGTTTGAATGTGATGTGCAAGGGCAGAAGAGGGAGTGCCTCTCATTCAGGTCAGACTTGTTGAATACAACGCACAAATAGGATCTCAGGCGGCGATATGTCGTCCGTCCAGGCTTTCCCGAAGAGGCCAGCAGCGATAGCTAGCATCGATTGGGTGGGAGGGGAGTGGCATGATAGACAGTGCAGCTGCAACGGAGAGCCGTATAAATACGACGAAAGCTGGTGAAAGACGGACTTACTCATTGTGGGACGGGTGGGACGAGTGATATGAATGTGACCAGCCAGTTTTTCATCGCAGGCACGCGAAACAAGAGAGGGAGACTGGCAAAAAAACGCAGCAAAGCGAGCAGGCGGTCGCGATAAGAAATACCGGGAAGATTGCACTCCGACCTGTGCCGTCACCAATCTATGGATAAAATGCGCATGGAGGCAGTCAGCGCCTTTTAGCGCGAGCACGAGGGATGCGAAGCAGAAGCGGACAGGACGGACTGCGTGCAAGATTGGCAAGTCGCTGCCGGGAGTCTCTCTCTTTGACCGTTTTTTTGCCAGTGAGTCAGTGCGTGGCCAAACTATTCAGGTGAGGACGGACACCATAACCAAAGGCAAGTCAACCAATCCATTGAGTCCATTTAATTTTAATTTTGATTGCGGCCTGTGTGTGGCGTGCCTTCTCTTGCCACATGGGCAAAAAAATTCGGGGTGTACGTGCCTGTAGTTTGACTGCTATCACTTTGACTCTTCGATCAGCTCGTCCGGGGAAAGCCCCTGTAGTGGTCGTGTCCAAGGACGGTGCCTGTCTGAGCCAAATCTCCCCGAAAACGTGTCACACAGCACATCGCCACTTCGTGCATGTTGCAGTGCCTCGGACCCAGTCGAATCCAGTGAGACTGCACGGAGGAGATGGGGTAGGGTTATGTGTATCGCTGGTTCTTCGCTTGGTCCCGGAAACCGAGCCGACACAGCCGGAAGGGCCACGCTTCAGCACATTGCACACAGCACACTCACCCTCACACCTCTCGACGACATGAGCCGCCTAGCAGCAGCAGCTGGCAGCTGCAGCTCTTTGTCAGACTCAGGATGGAAAGGACACCCCTCTCAGAACTGCCATCGGTCAACGGGACTGCCGACAGAAGAACAAAACAGAGCTGGGCTGACAGGCAGAGTACCATTCCAAACGTCTCGTTAGGCTGACCTGCAGCGGGCTCCTCACTTCATTCCCACATTCGGCGCACCCCATTGTTGTCACGCCGCTGAAGCGTTGCTACACGAGCTGGCTGCAGGCGCTGAACAAGGACATTTCACTCTCAGTACCCAGTACCCCGTGGACGTAGCCATCAAAAAATGGCCGCATCCATATTTGACGCGGACAAACCATTGCCCCTCCCACCCTCCTTCCCCACTGTGACGGGCACACATGGGCACGGAGGCGCGCCGCTCTGCTTTGTCCTCAACAGGAAGAAGATCACCCTGCGTCCAGGCTGCTTCAACCCAGATCTGACCCTGCTCGAGTACCTCCGCATCTATGCCGGCCTCACGGGCACCAAGCTCGGCTGCGCAGAGGGCGGATGCGGCGCCTGCACCGTCGTGCTCGGCAAGGTCGCTCCTGTCCCTCGTGATGCCGCAGGCGCGCAAAAGTACGAATACAAGGCCGTCAACGCGTGCCTGCTGCCCATGGTTGCCGTTCATGGCGCTCACGTTCTCACCGTCGAGGGCATTGGCACCAGCTCGGACCCCCACCCGGTGCAGGAGCGCATCGCAAAGATGTTTGGGAGTCAGTGCGGCTTTGTGAGTGCAGTCTCACCGGTGTATTGCCTCGATTGGACGCCACTACGAGTAAAGCAGGTGCTTATCGATCACTTCTACAGTGCACTCCAGGCATCGTCATGTCCCTCTATGCCACTATCCGGACTGCGCACTCGACCGGCAAAGGCCTCACCGAAGCGCAGATCGAACACTCTCTCGATGGCAATCTCTGCAGGTGCACGGGGTACAGGCCCATCCTAGACGCGGCGAAGACGTTCGCATTTGTCCCTGCGGTTAATTATGGTAGCACAGGCCCGATCAGCAACAGCGAGAGCGGCAGCAGCCGAAGCGACAGCGATGACCTCGACGCCACGCGTTCAAAATCGAGCGGCGCGTCCGCGTTGCCGTCAGCCTCCACGGACATCACGACGTACGAGACAGAGCAGGAGAAAGAGCAGGCTGACCTCATACGTCAGGCGACCGGCGTCGCCAACGCAGGTATGTGCGGTAAGGGCAAAGACTGCTGTCGCGTCAATGGCAACAACACCAAAGGACATTATCCTGCCGCGCCACCTGGAGGATGTACCTTGACGCCCTCCAGCTCACCCGCCACGATCACAGCGCTGGCGGCCGGGGAGCAAGTGTCCCTAAAAGAGTACCGATACGCAGATGAGATCATCTTCCCACCCCACCTGCTCAAGGCGGGTACTAGCTTTGACGCGGAGGACCTGGCATTCCCCAGCATGGCCAGCGCCGACAACAGTGACGACGACGAAGAGGATGGCGCCAAGAAGGCAGAACCGGAGCGACGCACGCTCTGGCTGCGTCCGGGCTCGCTTGCCTCGCTGAAGGACGTCATGTCATTCTACGCGCAACTGGGCCGCGCAAGCGCCGGTGCGAAGGCAACGCAGCCAGTAGCCAAGCTTCGCTCCGGCAACACCGAGACCGGCATCGAAGTCAAGTTCAAGCACGCACTCTGGAATATCAACGTCTTCGTCTCGGATCACCTGCGTGAACTCGCCGGGTTCGACGCGGTCGTCGCGCGCGCAGGCAGCATGACACATGCCGGCGCGGCAGATATGAAGATTGGCGCCAACCTCTCTCTGCAGGCGCTAATCGCGGCTCTCAAAGCGGCAAACGCAGCACCGGCGGCCCCAGATGCAAGCGACGGCTACGCAAAGCAGGTCCGCGATGCAGCGCTCGCGAACCTCAAATACTTTGCCGGCACACAGATCCGCAACGTCGCCACCCTCGGCGGCAACATCGCGACGGCCAGCCCCATCTCCGACCTGAACCCCGTCTGGGTGGCCACGAACGCGGTTGTTGCATGGGTGCACCCGACGTCCGGCGGCGCGTCGACAGAGTCCAGCTGCAGCATGCGTGACTTCTTCCAGGGCTACCGCACAACGGCGCTGCCGCCGCACGCCATCCTCACCTCGCTCGCTGTCCCGCTGGACGGGCCCGCGCGCACGGCGCCGCAGCCGGGCGAGCAGCGCTTCGTGCGCGCGTTCAAGCAGGCCAAGCGCAAGGACGACGACATCGCCATCGTCAACGCTGGCTTGTACGTTGCGCTCTCACCCGCGCCGCAGCGCACCGTGCTCGACATCTGCCTCGCGTACGGCGGCATGGCGCCAACGACCGCCGTCGCCAAGCACGCTGGCGCCTTCCTCCTCGGCCGTAAATGGGGCGACGAGAAGGTCCTTAGGGAGGCCATGGCGGTCATGGCCGAGAAAGACTTTGCGCTACCATACGCTGTGCCGGGAGGCATGCCCGCCTACCGCAAGGCACTCGCCCTCGGATTCCTTGCGCGCTTCTGGTCCGACGTCTGCGCCGAGCTCGAGCTGCCGGGCTTTGGCTCTGCAGCTGCAGCGGCAGCCGAGGACGCACTGGCACTGCAGGAGCTGCCGGGCAGCGAGCCGCAGCGTGAAGGGGTCGTTACGACTGGCTCGCAGGACCTCGAAGGCGTCGACCTTGCAGCGCCCGCGACCAAGGCCGTCGGCAAGGCGCTCCCGCACCTGGCCGCGCTCAAGCAGGTCACGGGCGAAGCGGTGTATGTCGACGACATCCCGCCCGTCGCGAACGAGGCGTACGGCGCGCTGGTCGTCTCGCAGAAAGCCCACGCCCGCATCGTCCGCATCATTACGGCGCCCGCGATGCAGATCCCCGGCGTCGTCGCCGTCGTGACGAAGGAGGACATCCCACCGAACGGGTCAAACATCTGGTGTCCACCCACCATGGACGAGCCTTTCTTCGTCGGCCCCGGCGAGGAGGTGCAGAGCGTCGCGCAGATCATCGCCGTCGTCGTCGCTGAGGACAAGCGCACTGCCCAGCGCGCTGCGAGGGCCGTTATGATAGAGTATGACGAGCTGCCGCACATCCTAACCATCGACGAGGCCATCGCTGCCGGCAGTTATTTTAAGCCACGTCCGGTACTGCGCAGAGGCGACGTTGAGAATGCCGATTGGGGTGATTGCGAGCGCACCCTCGAAGGCGAGACGCGCCTCGGTGGCCAGGAGCACTTTTACTTGGAGACCAATGCCTGCCTCGTCGTTCCTGGCCGTGAAGACGGCGAGATGGACGTCTATGCGTCGACACAGAACCCGTCCGAGACGCAAGCGTTCTGTGCTTCGCTGCTCGGCGTCCCCTCCAACCGCGTCACCTGCCACACGAAGCGCCTCGGCGGGGGCTTTGGCGGAAAAGAGTCACGCACCGTCCCGATCGCCGCGACCATGTGTCTCGCCGCGCGCAAGACCGGCCGCGCGATTCGCTGTATGCTCGATCGTGACGAGGACATGTGGTGGAGCGGCCAGCGGCATCCGTTCAAAGCGACGTGGAGGGTCGGCCTCACCTCTGATGGAAGGCTGCAGCGACTCGAAGCGACCGTGTACTGCAACGGCGGATGGTCGCAAGATCTGTCACAGGCCGTCCTCGAGCGGGCCATGACGCACATCGATAACTGCTGTTTGATCCCAAAGCTGAAAGTGCAGGGCTTCATCTGCAAGACCAACACCATGTCCAACACTGCTTTCCGTGGGTTCGGGGGACCGCAGGGCATGTTCATCAGCCAAGACTACTTGACCAAGGCCGCAACGTCGCTCGGTATGCGCACGGAAGATCTGATAGAGAAGAACATGTACCGTGAGGGAGAGCGAACGCATTATGGGCAGGAGCTCGTCGACTGGAACGTTCCAGCCCTGTGGTCCGAGCTCAAGATCACGAGCGAGTACGACAAGCGCAGGGCAGCGGTGGACGCTTTCAACAAACAGAATCGCTGGAAGAAGCGGGGGCTCAGCTTAATGTGCACGAAATTCGGCATCTCTTTCACAGGTGAGCAGGCCTGAGTACAAGCGACTCAAGGAATGGCATCGTTCTCACACGCCCTTTGTTTCGCAGCTATCTTCCTGAATCAGGCGTATGCGCTCATTCACATCTACCACTCTGACGGCAGCATTTTGCTCTCGCACGGAGGCACGGAGATGGGACAAGGACTGCATACCAAGATGGCGCAAGTGGCAGCCACTGAACTGCAGGTTCCGATCGAAAAGGTGCACATCGTCGAGACCAACACCCAGCATTTGGGGAACACCAGTGCAACGGCAGCAAGCGCTAGCTCGGACCTTAACGGCATGGCCATCAAGAACGCTTGCGAACAGCTCAACGAGCGCCTCGCCCCCTTCCGCAAATTCGAAAACGGTAAGGCCGCCGTTCCCTGGGAGAAGGCATGTCACGATGCGTACTTTGCACGCGTGCCGCTTTCTGCCGTGGGACATTACAAGACCCCCGATATTGGCTACAATTGGCAGACCGGAGAAGGCAAGCCGTTCTTCTATTTTACCCAGGGCGCCGCCGTGTCAGAAGTCGAAGTGGACTTGCTCACTGGCGACCATGTGATCCGCCGCGCAGACATTCACATGGACATTGGCCGTTCCATCAATCCGGGTATCGACGTCGGCCAGATCGAAGGTGCATTCACCCAAGGTTACGGCCTCGTCACCACCGAAGAGAGTCTTTGGCTGCCCAGCGGACGGCCGTTCAACAACGGGCCGGGCAACCTCAAGATTCCCGCCTTTCTCAATACGCCGCAGGACATGCGCGTCAGCTTCCTAAAAGGTCAGAGCCGTAAGCTGCACAACTTGCGCACGATCCAAAGCAGCAAAGGTGTGGGCGAGCCGCCGCTCTTCTTGGGCTGCACCGTCTTCTTCGCCCTTCGCGATGCGATCGCCAGTGCTCGCAAGGACGCTGGACAGCCCGACGATTTCCAGTTCATCGCGCCGGCGACGCCGGAGCGCATCCGCACTGCGTGTGCAGACGAGATCATGAAGATCGCTGAGAAGGGGACGGAGCGTCGCAACGAGAGTGACAAGGCATTCTTTGTGAATATTTCCTGAAGCAGCCACAACTTGCAACCCATATCCCCCTGTAGTCTACATGTGTTGTATCCAACGACTTGGAACGCAGATCATAGTCCTGAACATTTGCCCGCACGTGCTTGCTTGTGGGCCGTGTCAAATATTATTATTGTCGCCAACGAGGTGCTGCGCGCTCGAAGTTGCGGTATGGATGGATGCCCCGTCCGTCCGGCTGGGAAGCTCGAGACCGGCCGTCGGGCCGCTGTGTCCCACGATGGCACTGCGCCGTTTTCGCCCGAGGGCGCGCCTCGCAGTGAAGAGTACTGCGAACAAGATTGCCATGGTACCGAGAGTGACGAACGCGCCGATCAAACCGGCCGTGATGGGGCTGACCCGATGCCGACCGTACGTCGAGGTGTCTGGTGCGAACCCGGCCCCGCCTGTTCCGTTCAGCGCAGCGAGGATGTCGCACCCGCGCGCATCCGTCGTGCTGCACTTGTCGCACCACGCTGCGAGGCCGTTCAGGGAGTGCCTTTGCAGTGCTTCCTCAAACATGACCAGTGAGACCATAGTGTTCGATTGGCCGAACAAGGTGAGCGGCTGGTATATCGCGTTGACGGTGCCATTCCGGAAGAGAGCTTGGATGGAACCGTTGTTGTAAATTTCAAAGACAAGAGAGGAAGCATAGTCGACCACGGAAGCATTCAACTGCGGGACGCCCAGTAGGGACCCGAATGCTAGGAAGGGCTTGTACGCAGTAGCCATGGTGGACCACTTAAGCGGATCAGATGCGTTGCTCAGCTGGTTGATCGTCGCTAAAACCGGGGCGAGCATCGCGGTGCCTGCCACGTTGCCGACGCTTTTCGGGTCGGGATCCGAGAAGCTGCCAGCTTCGTGGTAATCGGCATAGTAGCGAGCAAGCTCGACCGTCTGCTGTCCGATTTGCGAGCTCAACGTCGCATTGTGGATGAACTGCGTGTGGGCAAGAGTGCCGAAGTGAGCTACTCAGTGTATTAGAACTTAGCGCCGTAACCTATTCTTGCCCACCTCCACGTTCAAGAAGTCGAAGATGTTCCAGGCATTCTGCAGAATGGCAGGCCTGTCCGCGCCGAGGATGCCTTTGATCGAGTTATAAAATGGCTGGGCTTCGGCGGCTTTGGCTTTAAAGGCCGGCGAAGCGTACCAGTTGTTCAGGCGGGTTTGCCATGCATTGCAGTCCGTGTATCCTTCCAACCACACCTCTTCGTCGGGCTCGACAGTCTCCACCTGGATCAGCTGCGCCCTGCTACCCCATGAAACCACGGAGCCGTTCGCGAGAGTGATCGATTCGTCGAAAGGGGGGTAGAGGCCCTGCAGAAGGGCGTTGACGCTGTCGACGATCACGGTCCCCTCTCCACCGGCATCGGCGAAGACTTTGACTTGAGCGTCTTCCGCCTTAACGGGGTCGATGCCCTGGATCTTATTGTTTCCGTCCAAGTAACGAGCGCGGAGGTCGACGCCGTTCCGGTATTCCTGCAGATAGCCAAGAACCGTCAAGTTCGTCTGCTTGGCCGTGTAGGAAGTGGGTGACTTTTAGCCGGGTAATACGAGCGATGATACCCACAGCAAGACCGTCAGCTTTGCATTCATATGGGCGATGTAGCAGCACCTTTTACCTGGTAAAAGCCCATACGGTCGCCGTGTCGGACGATCGTGAGTACACCAGCGAGCGACATGATGACAGCTGGATTGACTTGTAACAGCTACAGGATTCCAATCTTCCGCAAGGCAAAGTTGGCCGCTGAAGGCGAGTCTCCCGTTGAGAAAAGCTATGACCAGAAGCCTTTACCGTTCAACTCCCTCCACGCAGCCAAGAGCTTATATAGGACAGGAATACATTCGAGAGTGTAACCACATCCTACTTGAGGACGGTTTAAATTCACCCAAAGCAAGCTTCGCTTGCACTTCATTCCCCCGCCCAGAAATCGAAAGGACTTTTAGATCTTACTGGTCGCAAGGATTAGAACACTGGGTTTGTTGAACTGTCATCGACGCAGTGAATGAGACGGATATTCGGTGGTCAGCGGGCTCTTTGGCGCTTTTCAATTCGTGGACATCGGTATCTTGGGGGCCGCCATTAGGGTCTTTCGTCAGAAACTCGGAACGGACTAGACCACAAAAAGCAGATAAGGTTTCTATCACGAGAACCGATGTTCCTGCAAAATAGTGTTTTTGAGCTTAGTTTCCTCTTTACGAAGGGAAGGGTCTATCTATCTGCGCTTGATCCAGAAAGCCCTTGGCCTTATTTCGGCTATTTTAAGGAAAATAGGCCCCAATGGCGATTATCTTGACAAGCGCCAAACTGCTCGACACAACGTGCCACAATCAAGCACCTGCTCCTTCAGCCAATGACTATGAACGAATGAAATAAGGATATTAGAGGCGAGACGTTCAAGTTGCAATGGTTGCAAGATTTGCTATTGACGTTCATTCCGACGTCAGATAGTTTACATCGCCAAGATGGCGGTTCGTATGCTTTAACGCCGATGAGTGCGATGATTATACAGAGTATTCGGCCCATGGCTGGGCATCATCTAGCTGTCGTATTCCTTGGTGCGTACAGAGGCATAGGAGACTACGCTAGACCGTCTACGTACCGCCATGCACAAGAGTTGGCTGGACTATCAAGTGGGTCGCGTTCGGGTTGCGTGCAATGACCTTGTTGTATTTTGTGGACACCGGCCTCCAGACGTCAAGCAACACGGGAAGGGGCATCCACCATGTGGTTGACGAAGCGCAATCTGTACTTAGCGTCACTCTGGGTAGTACCGTGAAACCGGCTTAGAGTTGAGCGTTGAGACGAGGCCAGAAAGAAAGCAACTGCTTACGCCAACTGTGCTGAAGTCGAGGAGAGTGATGGGCTTGCGGACACTCCGGGGCTCAGAACGGTTGCAATGCAGCGAGCAGAAGACTGTACGAAAGGCAGAAATCAGGATGATATCACCAGAATATACATCCTTTTCGAAGAACTTTTCGCCATGCAAATCGGGGCAAGGTTGTTCGGTCCGAAGGCACAAAGGGTGGGGGAAGTGCGAGGCTGTGAGAGCTGTTGCGCCTCGTGAGGAGAAAGAGATCTAGAGCCTGGACGATGCAGGTTGGAAGGCATGATGGAGGTAGAAACTTGCAATTGGGCAAGGGCCCTTGTCGCTTTTGAGTAGAGATTACACAGAAACCGTGCGGGCCTCTGATGGAAACCCCTGAATTCGGTAACTTCTGAGCCCTTTTCCCCGGTGGCTAAGGAGCTTCGGAAAGGCCTGAAAAGCCTCCTGGTCTCGAGCGGAGGGTCACCGCTCTTTTCAGGCCCTTGAAACCCCCAGATCCGTGCTTGGGAGACAAATTTGGAGGCAGATCCAACAAAATCCTCATCTTTGCTAGCAAAAAATGAGATAGTTACATAAAGGCTTTCCAGGGGTTACTGGGGCTCGATCTCCAATAGCCGCTTCCCTGACAGACTTTACGGGGGGTTCCAGACCTTTTTTTGGTTCCGAAGCCCTGCGTTTGCGAGGTTTCCGAGCCAACTCTACTGTTGAGGATAATAACGTTGCCGCGAAAAGATACTGCGATTGGGCAAGCAGTACTGGCAAGTTGGGCGCGTTGCTGAACAGGATTGCCGGGGAAAGGGGCTTGCTGCCCTGCCGGCTAGTGCCTCTGAATGGGCGATCTTGTTCAGCTCCGATCAGTGCTCGCCACTTCCAGCTGCTGGTCTTGGCTTTAGGGGAGCAACCAAAAGACAGACTCGTCCAGTGCCCGACCGCTCGCAATCTCCGTCTCTTCCACGAGAGATGCTTCATTAATTTTTGGCAATACTAATGCGGGGAAAAAGAAGATCATGAAGATTGTGGTGAAGATGATGGGGATGGCCGATGTCAAATTGATATGAGCGAGTCAACCGCTTGCTTGCCCGTATGCCAGGGCTATCCACACCTCTTGTCGGCTCCTTCCACCATCCGGTTCTCCCCTGATATAATACCTCCTATATACAGCGTCTAGGACATACCCCCACCCCACCCACGCCTCTCCTTTCCTTTGCAGAGAGTCCATCCCCCTGCAATTGCACTTTCACGTGCGTCATTCCTGCACGTGCGTCATTCCTGCACGTGCGTCATTCCCGCTGTCCGACAACAAACCCGCCCCTGGAGGATCTCTGTTGCAGTCAGAACATCGTGCCCTTCCACACACCGACCTATTTCGCGCAAGCATATCCATCGCCTCACACTGCCTATTGTCTGTCTGTGCGGCGTCCACCCTGCCAGTTCCAGCGTGACAAAAGGTTCCCCTGATCAAACGCACAAAATGCTTAGCGGCGTAACTGGCGTGCCAGTCCACTCGGGTGGCGTGCACCCCGAGTACGCGTCCACATCACACGAGGCGACGGACGATGGCAAGCAGGACCTGACAATGACGCTCAACGCCGTGCGCACTAGCAACGACTTCCCCGTCGCCGAAAGGAGGAAAGGCTCCGACGATGACGGCGAGGCGCCGTGGGTTAGCCCGCTGACGCCAGAGCAGGAGCGCAAGGTTCAATGGAAAGTCGACATGGCGCTCATCCCATGGCTGTCTTTCTTGTATCTGCTCAGCTTTTTGGATAGGTGCTTATGGTTTGACAGCATGGCTCTTGCTTCTTCACTCACCACTTTTTTGCTTCATTCCATGTGTCTTTGCTTTGGACAGATCTGCGATCGGCAATGCTAAACTGTATGGCCTGGAGAAATCCATTGGTCTCACCCCGACACAATACAACATCTGTCTTACTGTATTCTTCATTCCATACGCGCTCTTCGAGGTGGGTCTTGATCGCACACCACCCCTGTGCGGTTGCAAATGCTGAAAATTTGTCCGCTCGCTCCGTCCGCCAGATCCCCTCCAACGTCCTTCTAAAGCGCCTCAAGCCCTCCATCTGGTTCCCGAGCATCACGATTGCCGTCGGCATCTGCATGTTGTCGCAGGGTGTCGTCAAGAACTACGGCGGTCTTGTCGCAGCGCGTGTCAGCCTCGCTATCGCCGAGGCCGGCCTCTTCCCTGGCGTCAACTTCCTCCTTTCGGGCTGGTACACCCGTAGTCAATTCGGCATCCGTGCCGCCATCTTCTTCAGGTGAGCGCGAAACAGGGCTGCCGGGCGCTGTTAACATGTTTGCACATCGAGGAGTAAAGCTGACGCATTGCAACACTCTTCTCCTCGTCAGCGCTGCATCTGTCGCAGGTGCGTTCGGCGGTCTGCTCAGCGTCGCGATCGTCAAAATGGACGGCGTCGGTGGATACGAGGGCTGGCGCTGGATCTTCATCATCATCGGTCTCATCACCTTTGTCGCCGGCGTCGCATCGTTCATCCTTGTCCCCGACTTCCCGGCAGACTCCAAGTTCTTGAAAGAAGACGAGCGCGCTTACCTCATCGGCAGACTGCAGAACGACCAGCAGTACAGCGCTAAAGGCGAGCACTTCTCGTGGGTCAACGTCGCCAAGGGCTTTCTGGACTGGAAGATGTGGGTTGGCGGCCTGGGTGAGTTCTGCAAAATTGTGATGTGCGAAGACGACCCCGGTAATTCACTTACACGCACACCTCGCACGTGCCAGTCTACGCTGGTTGCGACGGCCCATTGTACGCCTTCAGTCTCTTCACACCGACGATCGTCAAAGCCACGTTCGTCGGGTCGAGCGGTACGAAAGCGAACCTGCTCAGCGTACCCATTTACGTGCTCGCCTGCCTGCAAGTCCTCGCCGTCGGCTTCTTCACTGCGCGCTACGGCCATCGCGCGCTGATCAACATCATCATGATGTGCATCGGCGCGGTGGGCTACATCATTCTGCTGGCGTCAAACAACAACGCGCTCAGTTATTTTGCCATCTACATTGCTGCGACAGGCATCTACTGCACCATCCCCAATACCATCGCGCTGACCAGCGCTTCCATCGAGGGCACGTTCAAAAAATCCGTTGTCATGGGATACATCATCTCCTTCGTGCGTTATCTCAAAGGTGTGCTCCCATTTTCAGTTGCTGTGAACTAAGGCTTTTCTCGTCTCTGCCGTACTCAGGGAAATCTAAATGGCGCAGTGACCTCGGGAGCCATCTACAAGGCGAAGGATGCCCCACACTATCGCCTTGGTCACGGCATCGTGCTTCTCTAGTGAGCCTTCCAGTTTCCACTTCCTCGGTGTCCATGCCCGTTGGAAGCAGTCATCCTGACACTCTTGGCTCTCTTTCGAAGCATCTGCATCGGCATCATCTCCACCGGCGTCTACTGGTGGTGCGTATCGCGCGAGAATCGTCTGCGCGACGAGGGCGCGCGCAACGAGAAGATTCTCTCCTCGAGCATCGCGCGGGAGGAGCGACAAGAGCTCGCCGACAAGGCGCACGAGGAGCGCCTGCATGCGATCCGCGACGGCGACTCCAACGGCTTGGTCAAGCAGTTCCACCTGCTCCTCGCTCGGACGCATAGCTTGCCCGGAGGGACGTACGCTTCGGTCGCAGATGCCAAGGCAAAGAAGGGCGATGACTGGTCCGGGCACCGGTACTCTACATAGCGGGAACTTCGCAGCACAGGCGAAGGGTTTCCAGAATTTGTTCTTACATAATAAACGGAAAGGAGAAAATGTAATCCATGCACTGCTGATGGCAAGACTTTGCTACTCTTTCAAGCTCCCCACAGGTAATGTGGGCCAGTCTGTCGAGAAAGTCCGCTTGTGTTTGTTCCGTCGCTCAGCCAGGCTCTGCCCTTGCGCACCAAAACTGTTGCTCGAGCTGAGCTTCGGCTTGGGGCTGTCCAAGCAATTGATGCGCCGAATCGCAGGCAGCACTGGCTGGATCTGCGAGACATGCTCATGACCCGCCGTGGCGACGGGCGGTGCCGGCGTCACTGGTGGCAGCACCATTTCGGCCTGTGAGGCTATGTAGGAGTCGGCCTTGGGCAGCGAAGAGAGCGGTGGCACGAGCTCGCGGCCGCCGAAGTTGAGCCTGGTAGGTGCAGCACTTGGCAATGCGGGCGGTATCTGCTGGCGGACCTCCTTGCCCTTGACAATGTTATCCTCACCCTCATCATCTTCGTCTTCGTCATCGTCTTCGCTTCGATCGATCGTGAGGTGCGGCAATATGTTCGATAATGGCGCGAGCGACATGTCGCCGGACTGGGCTTGCTCGATGCGCGCGCGTGCGCCACCCTTCAGCAGCAGTTGTGGCACCTTGGGCTGGGCCTTGTTGCGTTTCGGTGGCGCAGCAACCAACTTTGGGGGCGGCTTTGAAGAGCTGAACTGGTTAAGGATCTGCACTGCAGACGAAGGCGAGGAAGGCTGCACATTTTCTTGCTGCAGTGGTAATGGAGAAGGTGGCGCTAGTGGTTGTGAAGTAGAGGAGGAGGTTGACGTCTCTTTCTTCGCCTTCTCTTCTTTTGCCGGGATCCCTTTCAGCTTTGCCTGAGCTCGCTCCTCCTTTGCGAGGGCCTCTTCTGCCTCTTTGCGTTCCTCTTCTGCGCGCATGCGCAGCCACTCTTCCTCACCCATGACATCAGCGGTCCAGCCACCAGAGTTGGGCATCCCGACCGAGCGCTGACCCTGCGAGTGAGGGCCCGAGATGTCGCGGCTGCGAAGCTTTTGCGCTTGCACAGAAAGGACGCGCTCCCATTCGACCAGCTGATATATCAGGCTGCAGTTGGGTGAAATGCTCGAAGACGCCCTATGTCAAAAGGAAATAGCACAAGCAATACGGTTTCATGTCAGCGTCGTTCTGCTAAAAGCTTGTAAACCAGAAGCGCAGTTGAACGCACTCTTTCACTAGATTGTAGCAATCATGCATCCCCTGCAACGTCTTTGTCGCCTCAAAACCGTACCCTAGCGCTGCAGCTTGCATGACGAAAGCGATGACGAGCGTTGCGCTCCTGCTGACGCCGCATTGGCAGTGCACGAGCACTTTGCCGCCAGAGCCACTCGGCTGCTGCGCTGCTGCTCCGCCACCCAAGCCGGGGAGCAGCAGGCCGCGCGCATCGACGGCGAGGCCGAGGGCTTCGGCGATGACGGCGCAGCCGTGTCGGAATCCGCCATCCTTGCTCGCGAGGTCGACCTCGTCGTGGGTCCATGGAAACTTAATGTACCGCAGCGCGTTCACGCGGCCATCGGGATCGCCTGTTTCTTCGCTGCCGGGGATATACAGCACGGTCGAGCTGGGAGGGAGGTCCATAATAGCCGAGTGAGGCCTGGCGCTGCCGCTATACGGTAACGATGGATGCCGCGAGTTAAGCGCTAACATATCCCCTTCATCAGATCCACAGTCCTCCATCTCCACGTCTATCTCCGCCGTGGGCTCAGGCGTCGAGGAAGACGAAGCATCCGCATCTGCACTTGTACGCGTACCAGAGCGCCTACGCTCTGGTTCATCAGACGAGGCCGGATCGGTATCAGTGAATCCATCATCTGAGGAGGGCGATGGAGCCGTTTCAACCTCGTTCACCGCGACAGTTGGTGTCGCCGTTACCTCCTTGTATGCGCGCTTGAGGTTCGGCGTGGAGGTGTGCGGCCGGAGCGGACTGCGCCCACCGGAGCTGCTGGTGCTGCTCTCTGCGCCGGAAGAGTTGGGCAGAAAAAGCAACTGCGGGCTGCACGCAGAGAGCAGCATCTCCGAGCTGGTATGTACACTCAGCCCGGCCGGGGGTTGAGTGTGTATTCCCTGCCGACCCGATTCTGTCGGTGACGCAGGCGATGGGAGCGAGATATGCGGCCCGGGCCCGCGGAGCAGCGGCGTAGCAGTGTCATTGAACTGAAAAGGCAGCACGGTTTCCTTAGCGACGTTGAGGATGGTGGTGATGCCGAGCTGCATGAGCATCTCCTCATCGCAGGCATTGTGCTCGTCCCCGAGGAAGACGCCGGGGAGCACCTCGATGGGGCCAGCGGCGTAGACGCTGCGCGCGTGCTGCAGCGTGCTTCCGGCGCCCGTCAGGATATGTTCAGAGGGGTCGCGCCATGCGGCAGGCAGATTGTTGCTTGCCACGGGTACGGCGCTGGCGATGACTTGTGATCTGCACATGCACGCAATGCATCCGTATTGCTCTTAAATCAGCGCCAACGTCCGAAGCATTTGCGAGCGACAGAACCAATCCACTCACTGTCGTTGCGAAAAGATCAAACTGGGGCGTTTCCGCGGTGCGCCCCGAAGGGTGCTAGCAAGCTCCTTCCTAGCTTGCACGGTACCTGCTTGATCCTCCTCGCCATCCTCACCGTCAGCACCAGTGGTACTCGACCCTTTGTATTGGTGGAAAGATGGTGAGTTGGGCGCACTCTTCGTTGCGTTCAGTAAGCTAAAAGCATCGCTGTTGTGGCCGCCAATGACATTGCTGTGGCCTCTGTGGGAGCTGCCGCTGTGCTGCGCGTGCGTAGATGGCGGCGACAGGAGGATAGGTGCCGGCTTCTTGTTCCTGCGCGCCGCAAAGCCGCCCCTGCCGGTTGGACTGCTCGTGGCGCTGGCGCTGGCCAAGCTCATCACCTGGCCGCTGCTCAAAGTGCTCGGCGACGGACTGAGCAGTTGGAGCTCCGCATCAACAGGCGTGGCGCCCTGCGAAGAGGAAGTCGTCGCCCTCGTCTCGGCGATAATCTGCGGTGCCGGTCGATCCGGAATGAGAAGCGACAAACCGCGCGGTTTGCCCTTTTGCAGCCGATGGGGGAATGGGGATAGCTTCGAAGGCGATACTTCCCCCTCGTCACCGCCTCCGTCGCCGCTAGAAAGACTTGGCCCTGTAAAGGGCAGCCGGGTGGTGGGCATGATAGCGCTGTGACCTGACGAGGTTGGTGGGGAAGACGGCGAAAGAAGAAGTTCTGCCGATTTGCTGGGCACGGGAGTGTCCTCCTCGGCCGGCGGCGCCATGGGCTGCGTCGAGGCGAACCACGGCGCAAGTGACTGAGGTTGGATGGGTGTCATGCTGGCGTCGTCTTGGCTGCCAACGTTGTCCATGTGCACATCTAGCGAGCACGCAAGGCGCTGCGGGCAATAAGGGCCAACGGGAAAGCACAGGCGTGGGTGTAGCACAGCAACGGTCGTCACAGCCCGTTTGCGTCGGATCTGCTGATGCTGCCCCCGCTGCTGATGCGGTGATGATGGGAATGATGAGGGCAAACACGAGAGACGGCACCTCTTGGCTGGCCGTTCTCTTACCGGGGAGGAGGAATCACAAATATTCACCGCGGGTGTAATGAGCGAGCACGGCAAGAGCTTGCCGCTGCGATAGAGCGAGCTGACTAGCGAGATGAAGCAAGCTGCTTCCAGCTTGGGAGATGGGGTGCTAAAAGGTAGACAATACGAATGCGGAGAGGAAGAAGATGCTGCTGATGCTCCTGCTGCTACTGAGCCAGAGCGCATGGGCTCCAAAATGGAGAAAGGTAGCGGCTGGCGATCCGCGTCGATGTACTGCGAATGGCGTCGCTTTTGCGGTCGGGTGCTGCTCGATATGGCCGAGGTGGACATCTAGGCTGCCGTTTGCGTTTGGGTTTCGGGCGAATGTCAAAGTAGGTGCAAGTTGTGATGCGATGTGGTTTGACACGGGATGGTCGCAAGAAGGACGATATTCAGACGAGGCGTGATGGCATTTGTTCGTCAGTGATCAACGATTCAGCAGAAGGAGTCGTGCGAGGTATGGAGGCTGAGATGCTTGGATAGGGTGCGCTTTGCAAATTCATGCGATCCAATGCGACGATGCCGACTGGAGCGAAGCGGGTGAAGGAGGAAGGGAAAGGGTGCTCACCATCACGAGCAGCAGCAACCAAGTCCAACATTGGCAAAGATGGCCATAACGCGGTCCTTCTGGATCAGCTCAAATCAGCGGCGACTTGTGTCTATCATGGGCTTGAGCATGAGTGGTGGATTGGTCCTTGGGCCTCTTACGGTGACCGGGCGCAGTGGTGGGCACCGGTGTATCCACAGACACAAGGCTCCTGGGGTTGGGCAGGAGGGGGCTTATGCGCTTGCAAAGCACTGATGGCAACAGCGGAAGTGGAGAGGTGTGGCTGTGGTCGTTGCGGCTGCCTTTGGAAGTCAGCGACAAAAGCGCACAAGGGCCCAAGCGCTCCCTTCTGGACTGCACCCTGCACAAGATGTGGGTGGTCCTTGTCTCGGGATGAAACGGTGGGGTTTTTGCCTTTGTCGGAGGCGGCAAGGCAGCGCGCAGAGCGAGCGAAAATCGGGGGGCCCAGACAAGACACAAAACTGCACCACCAGAACCAGTGGACGACGCCCTCTTGGCCCTGGTTGTTCGCTGAGATGCGAAAATGCCTTCAGGATGCAAGTGAGCCATGCCTCGCTGTATGTACATACATACTCATTGGCTTGAGGTGTAGCAGAGAGGAGAAGGGGAAGCAAGCATGCGAGAGGGGACGCTCGCTGCTCCTCTCCCTGTAGGCTGGCTGACTGCAGTGAGTCTCTCATCAGCCGACAGGGCGATGGGATTGCAGCCCCACCTCACCTCCCGCCCCGCCTCCGCCCTCCGCCTCTCTTCGCGCACATCCTGATCCCACCTGTTTTCCCAGTGATTTTTTTGTGCAAGTCACTATGTGGCACACTCGACTCGCACCAGATTCAATTGCAGCACCACTCCATTGTGGTGGTGCACTGCCATGTGGCGCCGCCGCACAGCACCGCAGACCGAAGCTGCACCGATCCAAATCACGCCCAGAGCCTCCACCATATTTGCTATAGACCTGGCCAGAATGCGGGGCTTTTACGATTAGGCAACTACCCCAAAGGCAAAGCGGACCCGATTCGCAACTTTTTTTTTCATCGGAGGACCCGAGTACTGCGGAGGCCAATGTGGGAACATCCACACAAGTACTTTCCTTCACGTATCAGAAGTGCTTTCATGTTATCAGTGACCACCTTTTGTCCCTCTTCCAACTAACATGTCATATGTATCGCATATGTGGATTTCTCAGATGCCAGCACTGCACCGAATCCACCGGTTGACCTTCACGTTGCGTCCATCCTGCACATTGGCACTTTCTTTCCTGGTCGACGGCGGACGGCTGAGGACGGACCGTGTGGTTTACCGAAGGCGCCGAAAGGAAGCGTTGTCTGCTGTGGTCTGCCGTAGTGTGGTGTACAGCGGCAGGGGTGCCGGGACGAGTTAGAACGACATACCACATATGTACACATTGTTCAAGTTAATTTTCGAAGATGGGGAGGGACAACTCACATGCTCGCAAACGGTTGATGAAACCCGGCAAAATGTCAAGAGCGATGGCGAAAGGCTGCGAAAAATGGCCGGCTTTCTGCGTTGTATACGTGCGAATGCGCTCGGGAAGTGGGAAATCATCAGCGAAGGACGGGAGTCAGGAGGGCATCAGACGTCAGGACTCATGACGATGACGCGACAACATGCGTGGTCGGCGACGACAAAACAGTGATTGTTGAACGTCACGGTGTAAGTTGTGAGCACGTGAAATGTGGTTATTAGATACTTGGAGTCTTCCCAAATGGTACAGCATTGGCCCTACGCTTTGCAGTACGGACCATGTAATTACACGTTTAAGCTTCCAAGTCTTAAAGGTGCCAGACGGACCTGGACCAATGGATGTACATTTGACAGCCACGAGGAGCCCCGGCAGGAGATGCTGCGACTGTGAACAGCATTAAGTGTTGAATAATTGAACATTCAGCGGGCTGGCGCCGGGCTGCATACCATATAATATGTTAGATGCACTAAGAGACGGGCTATGTTCGGCTGACTGTTGAATGAATGCATGGTATCATTGATGGATGAAAGACTGCGAACATAAAAAATACAAGTATGGCGTAGAAATAGGGCATCTGCCCCACAAAAGCTTGAAACGGCACGTGACAGTGGGCTGCCGACGACATGGGGAGCGGTAAAGTACGAACGGCAAATGGCGTGACGTAACCCGCATGCAGTCGTGCGCGTTTGCCCGGGATGTGCCAGGTTGGCGGATGCGTGTGGCAGTGATGGAGAGGACCAAAGGGAGAACGACCGCTGTGAATCACCGCCGACTGCCATGTCCCAGCAGTGGCGACGTTTCTCTCTCCTGATGGCGATCCAGACCATCCTCCACGTTGGCAGCAGCATCCTCCCTTCCTCTGCCCAACAGCCTGCCAATCCATGAGCCATCCAGTTGCAGCTGGCCTAACCGCTGCCGAAGTGACACGACGTCCAACGACGGCAGTTCGATTCGGAATGCAGACGAATTGTCCGCAGCCACCACGCTCCCACCTCCTCTAGCTTCCATCTCTGCTGCGACACGTCGGCCGCTGGCTGCGTGTGCGTAGCTGTGCGGAAGCACGTCGTCCTCATCTTCGTGATCCTCGTCGGAAAAGGTGCGCAGGTCCGCTTCAGACATGGACCGCCGCGTCTGCCCGACAGGTCGGACGTATGAGCTGCTGCCTCCGCCATGCGCATGTGCAGACTGGAGATGGAACCCGGGTGAAGATGCCCTGCACAAGCATCGTCGCAAGGGAAACGTCAGGATTTCTTGTCAGCGAAGACCGGTCACTCGCGATCAGTTTGCGCCTGCGGAAACTCACGCAATGCCGACGCTGAAGCCGCGCTCAAAGAATGTAGAATAAATGGCCGACGCCGTCGCTCTGTGTCGCTCCTCCTCTTGCGCATGCACGCCCACCAGCGTATTGACACCAAGCGCCAAGCTCGGCGAGCGTCGGCGGATGCGAGCGCTGGAGATGATCGGTGATGTGGGTGCGGTAGGGCTGCATGACCCCTCGCAGCTCATCGGTGACGCCAGGCTATCCGTCTCTGCGGAGGTCGTACTTGGAAGCACGCCCGGTGCTCCTGATGTTATTGCCGTCATGTTCTCATCCTCGCTGTTGAGATAACTCTCAGCGCTTTGCGCTATGGCCGCTTCCTCCACCTCTTCCGCTTCGGGTCGCCGATGGAAGCTGACCACCCACACACCCAGGAGTAGCAGGGCTGTGCCCATTGCGACGCATAAGATCTCCCACCATCTCAATACGCCTACTTGATCGAAGTAGACAAGTCCTGAGACACAAGAATGGCAGTAATCGCTTAGTTGTGCTTGTATTTCGATGCCGATGTGCACAGGGACTCACCAAGAGCAATGGACGAAGTATTGTAAAAGCAGAATGCCAGGGGACATACGATTGTAGGGTCTGATAACCGCAGACTTTTGTTAAGATACCAAAGCTGCGCCGTTCAAGTCGACATGTCTTGTATCAGAAATTTCCTTGCCAGCGATGATGGGAGTTCCACAAGCTCCCGCACTTGCGCAACTCACTTGTGCTAGCGCCACGCTAATCATGATTCCGACGAGTCCCCAGCTTTGCCACCTCTTGAATTGGTTCTGGCCCGCAAAAGTCAGCACGAGCAGCTCCACGCCACTTTTTGCAAGCAGCAGGCAAACACCAGAAAGCGTGCCGCTCGCACCTCCGTACGCTATGCTAAGGCCGAGTCGCGTGCGCCGCACCACCTTCTCGTCCGCTTTCTCTTTCTTCATCTGTTTTCGGCGCTTCGGCCCATATGATGATGATGATGATGATGATGATGATGATGATGATGATGATGATGCTGTTGCTGTTGTTATTTTTGTAGAGTCAGCACTGTCCGAGCTATGCGCACCGTTGCTGAACTGTGTATCCCGCGGATACGACGACGGGGGGTGATGCTGCTGTGCCAGCCTCCCGTCCACACTTGGCTTGTTTGATGATATGATGCTTCCATACCCCGCCGGTTTCTGCTGTCGCACTTCTGCGATTGCCGGACCAAGCGGCGCGATGCCATTGACTGACTGGGCAGAAGCAGAGGCAGCAGCAGCAGGCACTAGTCCGCTTTCCCTCGCGGCAGCAACGAGCCGCTCGGCAGGCAAGCCCCGCCGCGCTGCCTCGTCCACGATGGCTAGAATTGGCGTCGCAATGCCAGAGGGGTTCTCGTTCACCTCTGCGAGGGTGGCAAGCGTTGGTGCCGACCAGCGCCGCTTCATATCTTTGCGGCTTTTCCGCCCCTTGCTCTTTGACACCTTAAGAGGCTTGCGATTGAGTCTCATGTACAGCTGCCATTCCGCTAAGTGCGACTGCGGCAGCATGTGCTTGGGAGTTAGCAGCTTTCTCGTGGTAGCGTCTTGAAGGTCATGAACTTACTAGTGCGAGGACGCCGAATAAGGTAAGGCTGAATACAGCAACGAAAGCTACAAAAGCTGGTCGCGAATAGAGGGCGAGCAGTTCATCCAGCGTATGAGGATGGTCTGGCACGGTGCCAAAGTACCCGATCATGATCGCGCCGACGGCGATGAGGATGGTGCCTACGATTGGAATAAACAGTAAGTCCGACGACATATACAAACCTTTAAAGGAACCGAAAACATACCAACTATCATGTACTGCGTGAAGATATCATTGAGGAGCATGCGAGCGAGCAATGCATTGTATAGCAAGCTGACAGCGCCGAGGGGAGCGAGCATGACGATCGGCAGTGCGCCGATCTGAAACACCGTGCCCGCAATGTTCGCAGTGATGAAGATAGCAAAGCCGATGAGCCACAAAGGTCGGCGCCACTCTGTTCGGCGGGACTGGACAGGAAGTGTCTCATTTTGCAGGTGCGACTTGCGTTGGATCGTCAAACCTATGTTAAAGGGACCGATATCCTCAGCAAAATTGCTTCTGTCGCATGATAGTCATGCCTGCATCGACACGCGTCTCACCTAGCGACTGGATGAAAGAGGCAAGGAGACCGAGAACGATGGCCGCAGGTACAGGGATGCTGACGCCGGTGGGCGTTTCAGGTGGTGGATCGAGTGCCATGGTCGCATTGAGCGCCATCATGAGCCCACGGTCGCGGCTCGTGTGCAAGTGCACCAGCCAGAGATTAGACCTTTGAGCCGTTTGATATTAGCGAAGCGGCGGCAGCATACCCGACTATGCGATATAGATGATGGCATGCGATTCTCCGTATGCACGCCAAGACCAGGCATCTGCTTGCGAAGAGCGTATATGTGATTCAGAAATGTTCAAATGATCGAAGGGTGCCAAATCCAAGGAGCCTATTTATTCTCGCAGGGTGCTGATGCCTGTCCTGTACCTTCGACCGACATCCAGATGCGCAACGACTTGTGTGCCCAGGCGCCACAGTCAAGGCAGCAGCCTTCAGAGTGCGTCGAGAGAGCGGGGCCCTCTGTGGGGAGACACACCATCGGGATTCGGGAGTTGGGGACTTGGGAGGAGTGCAATTCGGTGCAATTTAAATGGCACAGCGCGGCAACACACAAATCTACGACCATATCTCCTCGCCAAGTCCCACAAGCCGACACAAGTCAAGCAACGTGGTCGCGAAGCATAACGCTGACCGCCGACCGGCCGAGGTCGAGTATTCGACACTCAAGATCTTGCAACGCCTCAATATCAATTTCAGTCGGGTTGTATCGACTGCTGTCGATTGCCTGCCCGCTACGCTAGGGACTTGTTGCACGAGAGTCTCTCCGGAACCTGTCTGTCATACAGGCTTGACGCGCAAGCCGATGTGGAGTCTACCAACAGACCGGTTCTGCACACCTTGAGATCCGCTGACAGACGCATTGACGAGGTACACCATCATGGCGGCGCAAAGGGAGCAAAGCATTGTAGAGATCACGCACACCTTCCTGGAGAGGCCGACTGCTAAGCAGAAAATCCTTGCCAAGCTTGTGAGTTTGGTCTGGGTTATGTAGCTCGTTGTCTTTGCTCGAAAGGAGCCTGACTTTTGTAGCGCCCTCATGCCGGTATTAGTTCCATTCGCAAGACAATTGCTTCCAGCCGTTTTGCGAGCATCTCACCCGTGCAGAATGCGATGCAGCAAGGCAATTGGTTGCAACAGCCACAGGCATCGATGGCACCTCTTCTGTAGCCATAAGGAGTTGCAGAAAGCTGCACTTTGAGCCTGTGCTATATCCGCAAACCAACCCTTCCCTAGGCCATTGCAGTTATTTGAATACGTGCCATCGTCTCACAAGCTGCAAGTATTTTCATTTCCGGATAGCTCAAGATGGACAAACACCCCCCTTTGAGTGGCAAGCGCCATATCCCGAAAATAGCGAGGCAGCAGTCAACGCACCTCTCCGCAACCCGTTGCTTGCACTTGAACGCGCCGGCTTGGCTGACGACTGGGCCATGCAGGGCCCAGCGCGCGCTCCTGATGGCGGTCTCCTACCGGCACAGTGGATTGACTGCGATCTCAAAACTTTTGACTTCTCCATACTCGGTAATGACTGGAACGTCATCATCGCTGATCCACCGTGGGACATTCACATGTCGCTACCGTATGGTACGATGACGGACGACGACATGCGCTCGATGCCCATACCGTTATTGCAGAAGGAGGGGCTTATCTTCCTCTGGGTTACTGGGCGGGCCATGGAGCTGGGAAGGGAGCTGCTGCGAATTTGGGGTTACAGGCGCGTCGACGAGCTCGTGTGGGTCAAGATTGGGCAAACGCAGCGCCTGATTCGCACAGGGAGGACAGGGCATTGGCTCAATCACACCAAAGAACATTGTCTGGTCGGAGCCAAAATTCACGCAAGCGCTCAGGGCGCTGGCAATGCACCGACGGCGCCGTCTGCGCAAGTCAGCAATGAGCCTGGGGTGCTCATCTCCGACATTCTGCCTGCCTGGGTTCACCGCGGGTTTTCCGCTGACGTGATCGTCTCTGAGGTGCGCGACACGTCGCGCAAACCGGATGAGTTGTACGGCATGATCGAAAAGCTGTGTCCCGGCGGCAAGAAGATCGAACTGTTCGGAAGGCGAATGAACTGCAGGCCAGGATATCTCACGCTCGGGAATCAGCTCAAATCGGATAATGTATTCGATCCGGTGTTAAGGGACAGGCTGCAAACTTTTAGACAGCAGAAAGTTCAACCGCATAATTACCAAGAGCAGTGACAACTTCTCGCTTCATGACGTCATAGACCTACATTGCAGCAAATATTGTAGCATACATTCACACGGAATGACCTAACGCCGAGGCGCAAAGCCAGCACGGATATTATCGATATCGAATGCTGCATAAAGGTTGCGCAAGAACGCATCCCCCAGGACCCAACCATCCAGGAGGCCAATGCCGGATCCAACAATACCGGTAAGGATGAGTGGACCATCCTGAGCGAAATCGATCGCATCGCGGCTGAGCATGTACTGCTGACCGTTGAATTCGAAAGTGAATTGTGGTGGAGCCATGCCTTCCACATAGCCGCAGAAAATATCTGTGCCTTCCGCAATGACGATCCCGCCTGCTTGCAGGCAGATTAGCGATACCTGATCTGGGGCACCAACGATCACGGTGGTTCCAGTATCAATGATTGAAGTCAGGAGGGGAACACCGTTGAGTGTGCCTTGCGAAGTCTGCCAGAAGCCATTCGAGTCGTCAATGGTGACCCAATTGATATCGCCCTCGTAAGAGTCAGAATCCAGCGTGCCTAGATCAAGCCTTGCATTCTCCTTGGAGAGGCCAAAGCCAAAGACGCCACGGGAGACAGCACCTTGCTTCCTGAGCGTGTAGAAGAAGGGGTCGCGCTGAAACTGGGCGATGGATGGAAAAGCCATACCTGATATGCCAGCAGATTCACTACCAATATCAGAGGAGGTGGCATCTCCCACTGCCTGGCCGAAGGCTTGCAGCCCGGCGACAGTCAGAGTGTCATTGTAGATCTTGCCGCTCGCGCTAGTCCCGTCACCGTACTGGACACTGAATGTCTTGCCCGTGTCACGCGCCGTTGAGCTCTTTGAAGGATTGTAGTACCCAGGATTGACAAATGTGCTGTCAACAGCAGAGAGAGGAAGACAATTCCTAAGCGCAAGCGCGCCAAAGCCGAAGTAGGGGTTGTTACACTCACTCCGACGAGCCTGTGTCAAAGTCTTGACCACCAGCAAAGTACTGGGGTGGAGTTCCAAATGCTTGTGGTCCGGTCCAGAGCAGCTCACCATCGATGTCAGTGAGGCTATCAACCCCTTGCTGACGTTTTGTTTTCGATCTACGAGGGCGGACAATGTCGTGGACGAACGATGTGTTCTGCAGCTTGTTCACATTTCCTGTGTTCGCCAGACTATGTATTCAAGGAACAAGTCAGTGCTTGAACGCCAGCACCTATTGCTCTATGAAACGTGTTGTGCAGACTGACTAGTTCTTAAAGGATTGCTGATACTTCGCCTGCGCTCTATTGATAGCTTCTTTCAGCTGAGCCTTTCCACCGCGAGCCTTGGGGTGCCCTCTCGTTTTCGAAAGCAGCACAGCGTGGTGGGGCACATCACGCTCTACCGCCTTGTTGGCGGTCGAATGAGCGAGACGTGCCTTGTGCTTGGAATCAACGCTGTGATGTGAAGCAGCGAACGAGCGTGTAGTGCAAAAGGTGAGTATGAAAACGACGGAGAGAAGAAAGAGCTTCATTTCGCAGCTCAGAGATCGACAGGGTAAGATCCGCAAAGCCCATAGGATAGAGACGAGTTCAATGACCATGTTCTGGACGCACCTTTATATCTCAGTGTTTCTCCGCTCGTCAAAGACGCCTAAAACAAAAGATCGTGCTCTATGCGCGTTTCTAGGTCCCTCATTACGGCCTGATTGCATTGACACCACTAGAAGCCAAGCCGGCGGTTGTGGTTAAAGCTCCGAGCATGGTGTGCTAGCGAGATGAAGCAACGTCGCTGAACTAGTCTCGCGCTCGCGCTGTATGCTGAATGACAGCATGGAACCCTCGTTTAATTTTCCCATGACTAGTTGTGGCATGCAAATCGGAGGTGTTGAGCCGTGAGCTGTCGTGAGGAAATGGAGAGTATGTGTTGGATGTTGGCGGGAAGCATTGCAATTCTCAACGGTTGCACAGAAAGGGGCGCATGAAGTGCATTATTTCTTAGAGCACGCGACTCTCCAAGACGCCAACGACTCCGGGCGCATGGTCCATTGCATTTTTTTCCCGAAATACAGAACTTGTGTCCATGGTGCTCCGCATGGGCACCAACCCATGGCTGAGAGGCTCCGTGCCATGTGAGGCTGAGAGAAGCTGCAAAAGTGTTGTTCCTCGATGCGACCTCTTCGCGACGCGCTTCGAATGCTTCCCTGTGTAGCTCACACACTGGCACAGTGCCCACTGGTGACACCTCACGTGATGACTGGTCCTTTCACTTCATACCATGTTTGGCCTCTGGGAACATGCTCCTCTCGATGCTTTGATGGTACCCATTTAACAAGTTACGGATGTTCGATGTGTCAGATTCTAGAGGTTAGCGCCCGCGAAGGTGTCCATCAGGCATCGTCAATAGTTCCCTCATCGGTACAGCCAACGTCTATCCCTCCCGGCGCTGTTGCTTGCACATAAGTCTCGCTTTCTGCCGAATGCTGCCTACGCATGTGATCCGCATGGAGACATCTGATGCACCCAGAGAGGCCTCTTATCCGCCTCTGGGGACAGTAGCCAATGGGTTTTCAGCCAGCCATAGCGAAGGGACTTCCGGGTTGCAAGAAGCGATCTTTGGCCCACGAGGCATCACGTCTCTCACGGTAGATCCATTGGATTTGGCGGATCAAAGCCGAGGTCGAGCACAAAATTCAAATCGACCTTTAACCGCGTCGACGAAGAATTTCAATGCGCTTAAGCCTTCACGGTGGCGAACGCCAGAGTATCTCTTCTATGGCCTAATTTTCATTGTCATAGTACCATATATGGCATGGATACCGGTACAATTGAGTCAATGTAAGCTGGTCTCCTTGGTGCAAGTCTGGCAGCGCTAGGTGTTGCTAATTGAATTACGCTGACTCCCGTTGTCATGAAGACGACAACCCCAATTTCCCGAAATATAGCAATCATCTCAAGCAAGGGTGGCTTTTCGGGCGTCGCAGAGATGACAGCGACTTCCAATATCGCACATTTAGAGACTATGTTCCTTTGCTCGCAGCTATGATGATCATCTATGTTGGCATCTCCTGCCTTGTTGAGAAAATAGCTGCGCCTGAAGGGGGTAGGTATGCTCAAGTAGGCGAAGGGGCGCCAAATAAAGGCCCTAGGCCGGGTCGCAAGCTGTTTCTTGCGGCTTTTACAGCCATCTTTGTCCTGGCGCTACACGGCACGAATACGCTCAAATTAGTGTTCTGCTGTGCCCTCAACTACAGCGTCGCAAAAGCGCTTGGTGGGACCGTGTTTGCTACACCTGCGATCTGGACATTCAACATTGGAATTCTCTTCGCCGTTCACTACTATAATGGCGTTGACCTAGGCCAACTTGGCCTTTCCTTTTCTCTGCTGGTAAGAGACACACATTTCTTTGGAGACGGCAACATCCACTAAGCCCTTTTGCTCATGATAGGACGGATTCAAGGGCCTGCTTCCACGGTGGCAAATCAATTACAATATTACCATGCTTCGACTCGTCTCTTTCTCGCTCGATTTTCACTGGGCCAGACAAGCTGTCTTTTCAGGCGCATACGTCTCCGAGAACCGAGCAACACAAGGAGATTCCAAGGAACGAGGGTTAAAATCGCATCCCTTGGAAGACTACAACTTTTTCAACTACCTCCTCTATTCTCTGTATCCTCCACTCTTTATTGCAGGGCCAATCATGACCTTCAACGATTTTCACGGCCAGGTAAGGCAGCTTTGGTTGTGAATTCTTTGCTATTATTTGTGCTCACCAAGCGCTCATCCCATAGCTGCTGTCACCGGTCGCAATTACTCGATCGACGACAGTATCTTATGCGATCAGGTTCGTTTTCTGCCTTATGACGATGGAGTTCATACTCCACTTCATGTACGTGAACGCCATCAAGGACTCAGAAGCCTGGGTCGGCGACACGCCGCTCCAGCTCAGCATGATCGGATTCTGGAATCTGATCATTGTCTGGCTCAAGGTGAGACGCACTGGGACCATACCACCAAGGCTGAAATTCTGATGCGCACTCCCATTCTGAATTACCTCTGGCAGCTCCTCATCCCATGGCGCTTCTTTCGCTTGTGGGCGATGGCTGACGGCGTAGATGCGCCAGAGAACATGATCAGGTGCATGGCGAACAACTACTCTACGCTCGGCTTTTGGCGCTCCTGGCACCGCAGCTACAATCTATGGATCGTGCGGTATATCTACGTGCCAGTTGGCGGAGCCAAGCGCGCCATACCTGCCACGTTGCTGGTCTTCACGTTTGTCGGTCTATGGCACGACCTCAGCTTGAAGCTCCTTACTTGGGCTTGGCTTGTCTCATTCTTTATCGTGCCAGAACTGGCGTGTAGGGCAATCCTACCTGAGAAGAAGGTGCAGAAGATATTGACAGGTATGATCTTGAGGCAGACACTGATGCCAGCTCTTTTCCTTCTCACAGTTTGGACAGCGATGGTGGTACCGTCACGTTTGTGCTGTCGGCGGCGTGCTCAACGTCCTAATGATGATGACGGCGAATCTTGTAGGATTCGTTATTGGGGTGGACGGCATCAAGTACATGTGGGAGCAAATACTAGGGTCGACAGACGGTGTGTCTCATTGATCCCTTCACCAAGCCTGGCAGGTGCTGACATGATCTCCCGGTGCGCATTTGTGCGTACAGGCATGACATTCCTGCTCGGGGCGTGCGCAACACTCTTCGTGGGCGTGCAGGTCATGTGAGTGGCACGTTCGCTTCCAAGCATTCCATCTAACATGATGGCCAAGCTGATCACTCGCCATTAATATGAACAGGTTCGAGTATCGTGAGGAGGAACTGCGTCGGGGGGTCAAACGTAAGTGCTAGTGCACGCTCGCTGAACCTGCAAAGCACCATGTAATTAGCCCATGCTCGTCCATTAGGCCTCATTTCTGCATACAATGTATGGATGTCTTCCGAGCTCCCTAATGTCTAACCGCTCCTATGGTTTCCATCTTCAGTCGAATTGTCTTCAGTCGCTATGAGTGGGACTAATAAGGAAGGAGCATGAGATGTGCTCCCAAGCCCTAATTCCCAAGTCTCATCCGCACCACCCACTGTCGTTCCGCCTTACCCCGAGAATTCGTATAGCACCTGCCACTGTACCGAGACTCTGACTCGGCAGTCGGCACATCCAGGTAGGTGGAGGCACGCGCCTATCTTGCACAGGGCCCAGCAGCCACGCAGCAGCTGTGTTCTGATCCACAGCGAGCATGCAGCCTACTCTCCGTGCTGTGTTAGGCCGCCAAAAAAGACCAGCTTGAGTGTTACAAGTGACCCGCATCGTGAAAGGCAGTTTATGGGAAGCCAGCAGCCAAAATGTCCGCATCGGTCAAAGCTGCTCTCGCAGCAAAGCGGGCGGGAGTAGCTGCACATGGCAGGGCTTTGCGATCCGCTAGCCCTATCAAAAGGAGCGGCAGCTCCAGATCGACCCTCAACGAGTCTAGTGACATGTCAGCACACACCGATCATGCAGACCAAGGCGACGTTGTTGAAGAGGCGGACATTTCCGGTTTCGCCCAGGTGCCAATGGACAAGATACTACTCAAAGCCTGTCAAACTGGCAGAGTCAACGTTGCAACTCGGTTACCTGCGCTGAAAGCGCTCCCGGAGGAGATCTATGCACTCATCAGCGGATCAGAGCCGGGATGGTACGATAGAGGGGACAGTGATCGAGCATGGTACGAGCGTGAAGAGATCCGATCGCTGCAGGCGAATGGGAATGCTCTGCATGAGCTCGACGAGAGAATTGGCGAGTTCCGTGCTCTGCTCAAAATTGAGGTGAGTGTATCTGCCTCGCTCAACCATTGCCACTTTGCGGGGTACACGGCTTCCTGGGGCTCACGACACATTTCGTCGCACAGCTACAACAAAATGAGCTCGTTGCGCTGCCTCAATCGTTCCTCAATCTCTGGCATCTCACTGTCCTCAACCTATCAGCAAACAACCTGACGTGTTTTCCGACGTGCCTACTTGCGCTGGATAATCTGAAGAATCTTGACCTGTCTTCAAATAAGCTCAAGTCCCTCTGGAGCGCAGAGGACATCTTGGCTTCGAGAGGAGAGAAGAAGAGACGCCGAGCCGAGTGGGAGTCCGAGAATGGCCCGATAGACGAGGATGGGATGTGGTCTGGCTTTTTATCAGGACCAAGCAGTCCGATCAAGAAGAGCAACAAACTGCTGCCACAAGCAGTTCTGCCACCAACAACCCCCATGCATGCACTCAGGACGTTGTGCCTCGGGAGGAACAGGCTTGGGGGCGCAACGTTCGGCTTGGCTGGAGCAACCGCAGAGTCAGAAATTTTTGTGTTCCCTTCGAGACTGCGCGTGCTGGATCTCAGTGACAACGACATTTGCGGGCCGGTCAGCTACGCGCCATTCGCAGCGCTGCCAGATCTGCAGGAACTGAATCTCTCTGGCAACGGCGTTTCAGATCAGGTCTTCGCCATCCCAGCCGATGAGAGCGCACCGTTATCGACGTTGCCCGTCTTCTCCTCCCTTGCGTTGCTTCACTTAGCAAGATGCGACATTGATGACCTTGCTCCCCTTCAAGCAGTATTCGACAGCGGGAATATTCGCGAGCAGGACTCTGCAGTTTACGCAGCGCAACAGGAGGCGACTGGACACAGGAAAGACTCTGGGAGGAGAGTCATCGCGCGAAAGCAGATTATCAAAGTTAAAGGCAGCCCGAGTCAAGCACTCAAAGACACGGAGCTACACGTCGTGCTGGACGGCAACCCGCTGCGCGAGGAGGAATTCAAGAAGAAGAGAACTCCTGGGTATAACATGGCGCAAGCCCAGGCTGAATCGAAGGGGGCAGACACAGGACCTGGAAGCGGCAGCAGAGGCCGGAGCACTTCCCGGGACGGCCTGCGGGGCAGGCAGAGCAGTGGCTTTGAGCCCGTTGGCGGTGATCACGGCAGTCCAGGGACGCCAAATATGAACACTTTGAATGAGAGCGGGGCGTTCAAAGCCCGCCGTTCCCCTTCCACGGAGGGCTCTTCGCTCGCCTCTCATGCAACAGAGCAACCGTCCGCGCTTGCTATGCAAGCTCAAATGCAGGGAATTCAGATTGACAACGCCGCTCGTCAACAGTCTATGGCTTCAACGCAAACAAAGTCGGTTGCAGTACAGAAAGAAGAGTGGGAGCTGCTTGCAGAGGCCGGACTGCTTACCGAAGGTGGCAAGCGGCGCGCGCGGGCCGAGCAAGCGCGGCGAGCGCGAGAAATGCAGAATCGCATCGCAAACAAGGCCGGCATTCCAAGTTTTGGGAATACTGAAGTCCTCCCCACCAAATCGCTAGCCCAGGGGCAAGGCCTACCCAATGCGGAGAGTGGTGACGATACTCTTTTTGAAGGAGAGGCGGATGCGGGGAGCGCACTCGCAAACGCCAAGCTAAGCAACAAGAAAAAGGAGGCGCTTTCGCAAGTGCCTTGCAAGTTCTTCCGCAGCAACGGATGCTCAGCGGGCAGCGCATGCCCTTTTGCACATACCATCCCGGGTGAAGGTTTGCAGAAAGCTACGTGCCAATGGTTTTTGAAGGGTAATTGCCGCTTTGGTCATAAGTGTGCGCTTGCGCATATCTTCCCGGGTCAGCCGATCAGCGTGAGTTGGCTTTGGGCTCTGAGCTGTTGAATGATGCACCAGTTGATATTTTTAACGCGTGCCTATTTGAAGATGGACCGTAAGAACAAGAGGGCAATGCAACATGGCCTCCCACTGCCATCGCTGACGACCGAGCATCAGCGAAATGATAGCGAGATCAGCCGGGCTCAAGCACCTCAGACTCCGACACTTGTGCCTCCCTATGGTGTTGACCCATCCTTTATGCAGCAGCAACAACAGCCAAGAACATGGCCTGCCCCAGAGGGCATTATGGCTCCTCCAGCGCGAGACGGAGACCTTATGTTTGGCATGCCCGATGACCTTAGAGGACCCTCCTCGGCTCGCGAGATTCAGGCAGCCTTGCCAGGAACCAGTCCGTCAGCTCATCGAGCTGGACCCTTGCGCTTCACGGCAGACCAGGCCATCCACTCGGGTTCGCCCGGGTCCAGGGCTTTCGGGACTAGCCCCTTCAGTCAAGGTGGTCATGTCTTTTACTCTGGCAGCCAAGGGTCGGATGCCGACTTCGCTGCACAGGGACAAATGAGGTTTGACCTCCACAAGAGCCATGACGACGATGATGAGCAGCTGGAGGAAGACTTCCTCCCTTCCAGCCTATCTGAACTGCTGACGCCGGAGGAGCGGGTAAGGCGTGCGCGCTCGAATAGAGCTGCGCAGAGCCTGCCTACAAGCACGGGTATTATCAAGGACCAATGGCCTGCACAATCTGCAGATGATACGAAAAACAGTGCTTTGGAAACTGCGATGCGCTTGGGCTTGTATAGCTCCTCTCCATCAAACACCCCCGGTGGCTCGAGGTTTGCAGGGTTAATGGCACGAACTGGTAGCGGATATAACACGGTGGATGGGTCCTCCTCCTTCGGCGGCCACAGTCCAAACCCTCTACCACCGCACGCATACAGTCCCGCCAGTCGTGCTGCTCTCGGCCAGCACGCTCCGGGACAGAGCTTACCCCGCGGCCTCGCAGCCGGCCTCAGCCGCTTACACCTCAAGCAGGGAGAAGAGATCCCCATGTCGCACGTTCCGACCAATTTGCATCCATTGTCGAGCCGGTATACGCATCTAGACGATCTCACTCCGATCGCTCCGTCGTCTGTCTTGCCACACCGCCAAACATTCGGCCTCGATGCAGGCTTCTCGTCGCTCGCTTCGCTCGGCACCAGCCCTCAGTCGTTTGGAGCACTGCGCGGAGAGCGGACCGATCTACCAGGTATGCCGATTCCTGCATCGAGCAACGGTGCACCAGCAGCGTTTCAGGCACCTCAAGTGTCACCTTCCAAGTCTGCGGTTAGCCGTCTTCGTGGCATAGGTCCGCTGGCTGGAAGCCCGCTCGCAACTTCAGGAGGCTCGCGTAAGGACGAGGACGAAGATACCATTTTCCAGTTCGAGTGATTATAGCGACAACAGAAGCGGCAGAGTGACGACTGCTTGTTTCTGAACGAGGATGATGTTGTAACATGAAGTTCTCAATAGACAAAAGAACGCCACCTGCTTCGTTACTAAGACAAGATGGCGACATGCAAATGGAAGACGGCCATTGTAGTCATGCAGCAGCGTGAGATGTACGCTGAATCAATGGGTGACAGTGGGCGACTCAAAAAAAGAGCCTTTGGCATGGCGCAACTTGGGCCAAAAGGGAGCACGTCTCGCCTTGTATGACGGCATCCTGCAGAGCTTTTCGCATTGAACTCGTCTCCGCGACGTCACTTCAGCACAAAAGAGACAGCAAGTCGACATGAAGAAGTGCCGAATTGTAAATACACTTGCGGCTCTGCGTTGGCATTCCCAAGAAGGCCAGCGCTCGGGTGAGGCAAAGATAATTTCGCGCTTATGGGAGTTGCAGACGAGTATCTGAGCATGGATAACATTCAGCACCACTTTAAAATTCAAGAATAACGACTTGTGAGCAGCCTACCCTCGAATGTGAATCCCTCAAGTACTTCACCTGGACCCCGATAGCTTGGGCATCACTTCTCATAAAAGGTTGCTTGGCTATAGCAATTCCAAGGCAGCCGCGCTGCGATTGTCCTTTTTGCAATCAATATTGCCGGTGCTGAGCCACTATGTACTTAAGTTGTTATTCTTGCGGGTCAAAGCTTTTTTGCATAGCATTGATTGCAGAGACGCGAAGCCGACACCCAAATCAATACTTTCGGCGCCTATGGCGCCTGCAGCTCTGCATCGACGCCTGTAGAAGTATGAAAAGATTCCCTGCGCCACAGACTGGGCGTTAGTGGCATGCTGATTACCACCGAGACGGCCCTTGCCTCCAAGTTGGGGACATCGGGCCAGAGTGGCCGGAAGAGTATAGCCGGTGTTCGTGCGGATTGCAACTTCGGGTAGCAAAGGTGTTGGAGTTGCGGCTGTCATAGTGATGGCGCATGTGGCGTTCGTCTGGCCGCCTATGATGTAAGAATTTTCCCCTGGACAGTCGTGGAGGGGGGTGGTGTGCAGCAAGGTTCAGTTGTAAGTGGGGATACAAGCAGCCAGCTTTTGCTCTTGTGCTGGCCATCTCTCAATTTGTATACGCGCAAGGGCTGCCCTGCCTTTGCGAAGTCCGTGAATCGGGAAGGAGGTGAAATGTCACGGTTATGAAGCCCATCCCGTATGCCGTCCTTCCCTTTCGACGCACTCAGTAGCAGTTCGCAGCAGGCTTGATTGCTGTTGAGCGCGGTGCGAATACGATCGACGGCACGGAGAGACGTGCTCGGGTCTTGCGAAAAGCGACAATTGCGTGAGACAGTCTCGTTGCGTGAGTAACCATTCAACGCCAGAAACGCATCCGTCTTCCGTCACAAGTACGATGGGATGGTCGCGCATCCTTGGGAGCAGAAGGTCAATGTTAAGGATCAGCCGCACGATCCATATATGTGTACGCCTCGAGAGTTCACCTAGAATTGGTGCGACAGAGGCATTGTCTCAGCCCTTCGACATCGTCAAGTCGGCCAGCTTGACTTTTCTCTGCCCTATCTGAAGAACTTGAACGAAACCCTTTGAATTCGTTTCAGTAGAACGATCGCACAAGGTGGCTATGGGCCTGTTGGATGGATACATCGATCGCCAAATCATCTGCAAATTGTGGAAGAACTGATTGCGAATATCTGGAGAGAAGATACAAGGACGCGTAGATTCATTAAGATCGGTGTCGTAGATGGCCTAACCAGCAAACTTGAAAGAGTCGACGGCTTTGGTGTACTAGCTGAGAGCAAAAGGTAAGCCATTTGTTCAGAAGGGCGCCATCAAGCTCATCGACTGAAGAGACACGTACACTGAGCCATAGAGCATGTCCAACTTGTGCTCGCCGCCTTCGCGGTCGGCTAAGTGCGGAGGGAACTGAAAGCGTATCAATTCATCGCGCAATCTTGATTAAGGGGGCCCTATTGAGCAGCATGTCGATGGAAGAGTATAGGTCCCTTCTGATGTCACTGATAGGGTGCGACTTGGGCTCATTGTCCCGCAGCAATGCCCAGTAGGGAAAGTTGAGCGCGGGCTGGCTTAGTCCAGTCAAGCTGGAGATATTTCCAGCAAATACATCACCAAGGGAAAGCCGACCGTACTGGCGCAGAGGGTTGGAAGAAACAAGACGATATGTACCAATGAAAGGGGGTTTAGCTGCAGGCACCAAGTTCTTGGGATCGGATTGAAAACCGCTATTATGATAGAAAACCAATGGAATCGGCGGTGCCACTGTACTCTGTAACTTGGCCGCTTCGTGTGATGTGTACAGCTGCCTGTGACTTTAATTCTTTAGACTTGACCATCGCGTTGGTACGAATTTTGTACCCTTTGCAACCATAACCTGAGTCTTTCCTTGCCAATGCTCGTCTTAGCAAATTCTCATCGGTCGTGTCATGCATTTCGGCGCTGGCTGCATCTTTGGACCGAGACTTGGCGCACGCAGGGAGATACTGATCTTCATATTTGAGGTCCTGGGACAAATTGCGCCACGACGACTCCGCAGGTCCTGCAGTTGCACTTTGAGTAGAGGATTCTTTGAGAGCGCGGCTCAAGCCAAAAGCATCATCAGATCCGCGCTTAGACAGGCGATAATTTTCATTACCGTGCTCATGCTGATCTTGCTGGCATGTACCCTTGCCTCCCGACCTTGAATGAATCGATCCAAAGCTGCCCATCTCCGTGTGGAACCCACTGCCACGTTTGAATCGTTCTATGCCACTTCTTTGACCTGTCGATGTTGCTGGATCTTGAAGTTTCGCAGCGGCTTGGCCAGAGCATAGGTACTGATTTGCTCGTCACAATGTTCGTCTTGAGCTTCCTCGTTGTCGTAGTAGTCATCATGCAGATCCGATCCTTCATCTATCAGACAAGTCCCGTAGCGGATGCCAAGGATTCTGGATTGTCTTCGGCCGTGCCTTCGCGCACCTGCCGATCTTGCTGAGGCTTTTAATACTCTCAACCGTCATTGCTGATGCCAAAAGATGTTGAGGGCATACGTGAGCTCTACTCGGAAATAGGCACGGCTTCGCCATCCTGGGAACCTGTGTGCCTGACACCTTTGATCAACGTCCAAAGGAATCGCGCTGTGGTTGCTCTTCTCTTTCGCATGGACGGGTGAATCGTGTAAAGCGGCGTGATGAGCGATGGAAAATTTATCCTTTCCTAATGCGATCCCCTTAATTGGTGCTGCAGACCCGACATTCGGCTCAGACGGATGCAGAGCGCCATTCAGCGGCGATCACTGGTCGCTGGAGCCCGAAATGGTGTTCCTTGCTACACACAGACTGTGAAGAAGAGGGTTCAGTGAAGACAGAAAAGAGAGGGCTCGATGGGCCGGGAAAGGCACAGAGACTGCAGCGTTATATGCCCTCGAAGAGGGACCTTCACGGTGACAATCGTGTCAGTAGCCACCCATGAGGCTTATCATTTAGAGGACGAAAGATTCGCAGACAAGGGAAACAAAGCATCGCCACCCAGCTGCGCCGATTGTCCCTTGCACAGCGCATTGCATCTCTGCTCCCCTCTATCCAAGCGTATCTAGAGCCGGATCTTCTTGCGAAAAGATGTGAGAACACGCTGCAGCATCGGCAAAAGAGCCCGCGCATTAAAATTGCGGGGTATATGTGATATGCGGGCGAAGCGATGCAGGGAATATCGCCTTCTGATGCAGTCTCCCATTGCTGCAGCCTCCAAGCTGCTGAGAGGTCTGCAAATCGTCAATAAAGCGCGGCCAGTGAAAAAGCGGACTGCCATTTTGGCAGAAGTATGTCACGCTGTTTTCCATGAGCTTTGGCCTGGACAGACCAGGACCTGCCTGAATTGGTTATTTTAATAGATTTCGTCAACTTTGGTCTGCGGAGGGAAGACGCTCGCGGAGAAGCGCCTAATAGTGCTTATTAGCCGGAACATGGAAGGGCTTGGCTTTGCAGCTGCTAGGCTATCGGTGCAACACATAGTCGTATGTGCCCACTCCTCACCTCATCGCCTCATTGTTCATTGCGTTCACCCAATGGCCTCAGCTATCACGATTCACGCGAACGTGTCTGTGCTGTCCTTCGTAGCTCGCCTAACTTCCATCCTCGGCCAAGTGAAGGAGGCGTCACATATTTGTGCTCGCATTTCCTGGCACCTCAGGAACAACAGCTGTACGTCACGCATCCTTGACCCGGTGCCTTTCTGCAGTCAACGGTGCGCTGACGACTTCACTGATATTGCGCGCAGCAGCCATCCTCAGCCCCAGAGATAGCTCAAGGTCCATAGGAAATCAGTCATCTGCTCTTCAACACGCCTTGAATACGGCTCGCCATGTCCTATTTTCTCGTACATCTCCCTTCTGGCTGGCACGTCGACCAAGCGATCCTCTCCGAAGAGGACCGCGTTGTCGTCATCCGCTTCGGGCACGACCACGATCCAACATGCATGCAGATGGATGAGACCTTGTATCGGATTAGCGAAAAGGTCCGGAACTTCGCTGTCATCTACGTCGTAGATACAACACAGGTGCCTGATTTCAACCGCATGTACGAGCTGTACGAGAGTTGCGCGGTTATGTTCTTCTATGTGAGTGGTGGCCTCCACTGAAATGATTACGAGGTGGATTGAGCCGCGCTAATACCTTTGATTCTTGCGCAGCGAAATAAACATATCATGGTGGATTTGGGGACGGGAAACAATAATAAGATGTGAGTATGCCTGTGCTTGTGGCGCTCATGGATAGGGTCAAGTGAAGTTGCAACCCGATCTTCTCGACTGTCCGCATCAAGAGTGTCCACGAAATCTATAGGAAAGCTTGATATGTGCGCGTGTGCAAGTGCTCACTTCGTGGTTTTCCTTTTTCTTTCGCTTCCTCAATCATCTGTTCAACTCGCAGTAATTGGGCAATAACAGACAAACAAGAATTGATCGACATCATCGAAACAGTCTACCGCGGTTCTTCAAAGGGACGAGGTCTAGTCGTCAGCCCGAAAGACTACTCAACTCGATACAAGGCTTGAGTTTCGATATAACTTCTCGCGCTTGTACTGCGGCTCCTCGTAGTTCCCCTACCGGCCTCATTCTCCTGTGTAATAGCCCAGGGCAACGCGACAGGTAGACATTGTTTGCATTTGTATCGTACAACCTGCAGTACTGTATATTAGCGCATATCGGCATTGCTCGGCGCCAGACTGATCAAGCATTAGCGCAGAGCGCTTGGATTGCATCACAAGTATGTTACTTGTGTCGCCCTGTGCATTGGATCCATGCAAATGCATTGACCGGTCGAACATCAGCCATCATATGTCAAAGGACAATTTTGAGTTGCGCGACTCACATTCTGATAGTCTGCCAAATCTTGCCAAGTGCACGCCACCAAATGCCCAGGACCCACTTGGCGAAGCCACTCTCCTCTTGCCTTCTTTTAGCCAATTTGCGGCGTGCCTCTTGTGCCGCAGCGCTGAAGCTGGCGCTCGCGCGGGCGGGATGAATTTCTGTTCGCCGGTTCGCTAGTGTCTTCGAGCCGCGTGCGAGTGCGCGCCGTAAAACAAACATCAGGACGATCCCGATGGAGGCGTAGGAGAGCACAACGCCAGACGTAGACGGCAACTGGAGAACATAAGCGCGCGCTTGTGCCAGGTAACCTGTCAATCCTGCCGGCGAGTTGCCGGGGTTAGTCTCCGGGCGGCGAGAGACACCACGAGGGGAAGAGAAAGATGTAGACGAAAGATCACGAGAGCGGTGCCGCTCAATCGTGTTGGCAATGTGAGCACGTGTAGCTACGAAGGAGGCTTCATTGGTGTCTGTACGATGAAGCTCTCCTTGCCCCTGCTTCGTTCCCCTCTCGCCGGCGGTCTCACGCTCGGAGCCGGAGCCATTGGTAGAAGCCGAGGATGAAGCAGAGCCAGCGCGCCACTTATCTCGTTTACCCCCATCGGTCCCTTTATCAGCAAGGGAAGAAGAAGTTGCTGGAGGCGGGAGAGACGCCGCAGAGGAGATGCCGAATGCGGGCGCATCGCTTTTCCGATCGCCGCTTGTATTGTTTCTCAGCAGCGAAGCAGTGGAAGATGCTGCGGAAGACGACATGGAAGTCGGCTTGTGCGCGCCATCACCGTACGCACCAGGAGTATCGTCAGAGCGACGCCTGCGCAATTCCGCAGGCGGTGAGGAGCCGCCACTGCTCTGGCTTCTCAACCTGGAACTCTTTTCTCCAGCAACCGAGTTTGCACCCTGTGCAGAAGCCCGCTTGCTGGAAGTAGCGGCTGCAGCCTCCTTCACTGCCATCTCCGCGCGCCGTTCCTTCTCTTTTTCGATTCTAGCTTTCAAGTCACCGCTCGCAACGCGGGTCCTTTCTGCGCGATGCTCGTGATGTTCTTGCACCGAATCTAGCTTGACGAGCAACTTCTCCTTGACATCTTGCGTAAGGCTCGAGTAGGCCAACATTTCTCGCGCATAGTCCCACTCTGCGAATTTGGGGCCGAGGACCTGCAGTGTATAGAGGTCGAGAAGCTTGGTGTAAGATGATGTGAGCCGCTCTTTGGTTTCCTGGGTTGATGGCAAGGTGTAAGGAGACGACGACCAGCCCGAGTACGCGGCAAGATACCATTCGCACATATGCCTAGCGCAAAGATAGGCTTGTTGCGCTTCCACATATTTCTCCTTTGCCATAAGGCTGTTCCTTGCAGCCGATGTCTCCTTCTTGTCTACACCCCCGAGGCCCTTCGAAGATGCGGAGGCGACTTGCGTCGCAGCATCTCCGGTCTTGAGAGCGGCAAGCACGCATGATGAAAGGCTGGAAGCTGGCAGCCCAAGAGGCAGATTGATTGTGTGTGGACTCGGCTCGATCTTCTGCTTGATAATAGATGTCGCGGCTGCAGATAACCTTTCGTCCATGGCGAAGAGATACAAAGCATCGTACCACAACCGTGCAAGCAGGTCTGCAGCACTAAGGGATAGAATATAAAGGACGGAGGCTGCCGCTTTTGCATTCTCTGTTCTATCCACTTCAGTCTCGCCTGTAACGGCTGCGCGTTCCTCCGATCCAGGGGCTGATTGTTGCAACAAGATTTCAAGTGACTGAAGTGAATCTTGCTGCTGCACTTGCGAGGCTGAAGTTGAAATTGAAGGCAGAGTATACGCTGTAATGTAAGCGGTGAGTCTGAGAACAACAATACGCTCCCACAGCTTGTGTGTTTGCACTGTACTTGTTTGGGCAAGCGCTTGGTCTTGACTAGTCTCTGACGTTGGAATCTGCAGTTGCCGTGCGATGCTGTATGCGCGCTCATTGCAGATAAGTGTCGTGCGGTAATCGCGCTGGAGGAATGCTCGAGCTGCTCGGTTATAGAGCTGCCTGATTGACCCAAGGAGTGGTGAAGCGACAGGGCCGGAGCTGTGCGCTGGCAACAGCGAGAGTGATCCGGTCGACGAGGTAATCGCGAGCAGTGAAGAAGTCGAGTCTGCTGTTGTGGGAAGAGTTGTGGGTATTGAGGCTTTCACATCTGAGAATTGTGACAGGGTGGTTGCATTTTTTCTCTTTTCCCCGCCATCTTCAAAACCACCAACGTCCGCTACAGCTAGATCCTGACGCGGGGTGGGTGCTGAAGAGGAGGCCGCCGCCGCCGCTTCTCCTGTCATCACGGGCCGACCAACATTTCCGCTGGGAGAAAGGTATTGAGAGGCCGAGATGTCGACGAGAGAATCTTGCATCGTTGCCTTGCAGGGCTCCGAGTTGGAGGCAGAGCCAGAGCCTTCCATGGTGAACGCAACGAGTGGCCGTGATGACGACGGGAGGGCACCAGGGTTGGCAACAAGGGACCAGAAAGTCACCAAGGCCGTGCAGCACCGCTTCACAGTCTACACAGCACGATCACGATCTGCAACGGTAAGAAGGACGAGGACCTTCGACCACAACAGCCCTTTGACATGGTACATGAGCATGCTTACAAACACTTACAGTTTCAGCACAGGTAGGACCAATTGAATCGCGCAAGGGCAGCCAGTGAAGCTACGTTTTAGCTGGAAGGTGGAGACGCCCAAGCTCCGCGCCTGGACCGGCAACCGGTGAATATGCACTCCCGAAATAGGGTTTTGCATAGTCACCACCTAACCCTATTCCTCGTATAGCGTGACTTAAAATGGGCCTGTGGGATTTCGTGTCCGAACTTAGAGAACCGGGCGTTTCGACTCTTTCTCATCCAGATCCAATCCTCTCCTCGCAAGTCATACGCGAATCGAACTCGTGCTTGTTAATGTCTGGAGTGAGTTGAGGACCTTATCTTGTTTTGGCTGCCTCCGTTCCATCATTCCGAGCGCGATCTACTTGGCTGCTCTCCAAACATCCTCCTTCCAATCTCAGCCCAAGAGTGATCCACGGCGCAAACCCGAGCGCGAGGCCGAAGGACCTTTCAGGGAAGTCAGCATGTCTTCCAGCGTCGCGCAAGGCGCTCAGTCTGGGCAGCCGTGCCTTCGCAACCGCTCCTCTTCCGTCAGCAAGGCTGTCAATCAAGTGAGCACCTATGCGGACAAGGCCGATGCATCGTCCTCAGATATGCAGGCGCAGAAAGCCAAGGGCCGCAAGGCCTCCTCGGGAATCCTTTCTGACTTGGTCACCTTGCGGTGGATGATTGACCCAGGTGCGTTCGCCCCATCCTGAGATGCGACTGCGAGGGCCAGGGCCAGTGTCGTATGCAAGCATGCGACTGCGCATCCCACTGGCGCACAAGATCTGACAAACTCGCACATCTCTTTGACATGTTGTCATTCTCGCGCCTGTAGTCGCCTCCCTTAAGATCACCGGCGTCATCGTCGCTTTGTGGGCTGTCGTGTCCGTTCTTGCTCCCCACCGACCAAATCCGTTCTCGCGACTGCTCTTCATCTCCCACCGCGTCCCCGTCACGCAAGTGATACTCGCAGAACCAAAGGCCGCGCTGTCCGGCGACACTATGCGGTACCAAAAGGGCTGGTATGACTTGAGCTTCATCGCTTTCTACATCATCGTCTTTTCTTTCATCCGCCAGTCCATCACGCTCTGGGTCTTCAAGCCCTTTGCACTGTGGTGGGGGATCAAGAATGAGACGAAGCAGACGCGCCTTATGGAACAAGGATATGCCTTTTGCTACTGGGGCTCCTTTGGTCTGTTGGGCTTATATGTCATGAAGTCTCAGGACAACTGGTGGTACCAACTCGAGCATCTGTGGCTCAAGTACCCACACTGGCAAATGCGCCCTGAGCTCAAGTACTATTACCTTCTGCAGCTCAGCTACTGGCTGCAACAGGCATTCGTCATGCTCTTGCGCCTCGAAAAGCCACGCAAAGACTACTATGAGCTGGTCGCCCATCATCTCGTCACGCTCTGGCTCATCGGTTGGTCGTACTTAATCAACATGACCATGATCGGCACGACTGTTTTTGTCTGCATGGACATCCCAGACACTTGGCTCGCCATGTCCAAGTTCGTCAACTATCTCGGCCTCGACAACATTACCACGCCCATCTTCGCGACGTTCATCGCTATCTGGACGTACTTCCGCATCTACCTCTCTGCTCGGACGCTGTGGAGCGTGTGGTTCCAATTCGATCTGATCCCAGCCCACACGCGCGAATGGAACCCTGCAAAGGGCTGGTGGCTCGCTCCCTGGATGAGGTACCAGATCTTTGCTCCGCTCTTCCTCCTCCTGCTCTTGAACCTCTTCTGGTATTACCTCATGTGGCGCATCGCGATGCGCACCCTCCGCGGCATCTACAAGGATGAAAGAGAGGAGGGCGAGTATGAAGATGAAGAGGAGGATGCTAGCACTGCGGGAAAGAAGAAGGCAGAGGCTTCAGTCGAGATGAAGCGGTGACCAGCCTGGTTGACTAGAGCCACGAGGGAACTGTTTGCAGTTGCATAGACTGGCTTTCTCAAAAGCAAAACAACAGAAGATAATGAATACAATTTTGCCAGCGCTCCTGCACATGCATTCTGTGAGTAAGTCGACGGCGGTGCGCCCATCATACTCGCACCGCTCGTCGCAGCCACCGTCTGCGCCTGGTCTGCGCCTTGACGTTGCTGCTGAGTGCAGCGGCGGGTAAGCTGCGTCCATCAGTCTCTCTCCTGGACCTGCTGACGTCAGCACCGTCGCTGGCGATCTTCGTGGCCGCAGCCGCTTCGGGCGGCAAGACTGGGTACTCTGGTTCACCCGGATGGCCATACGGGTACGGAGCGGGGCGTTGCCAATCTCCATCCGTGTAGACGTAGCCTTCATCATCAACACCGACGGCGGACCAGCCGCCAGCCCAGTCTATCCGCCAGTCGTCGCCTTCGACCCACGCCCAGCCCTTTTCGAGTGATGATGCGACTTGCCTGTTGTTTTGAGACATTTGCAGAGAATATTGATTTCAACTGGTGAGCAATTTGACACTTGGGAGGGTAAGACACGACGAGTGGCTTACCTGAGATCTAGCTCATAGCCTGTCCCTTCAAGCTCTGAAGCAGCCGACCAGCCATCTGAAGCCTTCGTCCATGGTTTTCGTTCCCCAGGTCGGATATTGCCCGCTCCCCAGCCCGCCCGCTTGTTTGTGGAGGTTGTTACGGCAGAGTCCGCACCAGGCCCGCCGAAGCGTTCGTTCTCAAACATCTCCACATCGCGCCACCCTTTCTCCCACACACTGTCTTCGAGCCTGTCCAGCTCGAGCCATGTGCGAAGGCGATGGCTCGCCTCCCGCCCGCGCTTGCGCATTACGCTTCTGAGCTGCTGATCGTTTGAGGATCCGTTCGCAGCAGAAGCGCGGATCTTCCCGACCGCCTCTATCACTGGTTGCACCCACGGGTGCTTCGATATGAACACAGCCTCACCACCGATAAGAAAGATCAAGCGCAGGGGAAGGAGGGGCCCGATGAAGAACATGACGATCGTGGTGAGAATGGAGAGCTGCAAGACAAGCAGAGAGCGGTTGTAGGATGACCAGTTGAGGTAGGGTACGATTGGGACAATGGCATCGTATCCGTCTGGGATCATCTTCATCCTGTAGTAAAAGAGAGGGCCATTTTCAGATCAGCTCTTGCCGTCCTCACCTGTAGTTTGGAAGATATCAGCCCATGCGCACATGTTCTGAATGTCCCTCAAATTCTCGAGATACCGGACGCTGCCCTCGGCTGGCGGACTAGGTACGAGCGGCGGACGGACGGCACCTTCACCGATGCTGCTAGGCTGCAGCACCGAGTGACGAAGTACATCAGCAGGTGTTCGCTTTACCTCGGCCTCGGAGAGCGGTGTCGTGCTTGACGTCGCCGCGCCTGTCGTCGCGCCTCTGCCTGGTGACGGGAGGTTCGACGGCGGAAAGCGGGCTTGGTGAGTCTTCATGAGGATAATGCAGAGGATGAAGGAGGGAGCTGCGAGGAGAAGATACGGGTAAATGGCTGAGAAAATAACACGAATCAGCATCTCACAGGTCGCAAAGCAAAGATCCCCTAAGTGAGAACTCACCAATGACAGCCCATATCCCCATCCACATAAGTGTCCAGCTCCAATCATCCCACAATAATGTTGCCTCGACTGCATCTTGAAAGTAGAACAGACCCCCACTTTTCTGCACGAATTGGCGGAAATTGCTCGTCGTCTGGGGCAAAGAGAGCGGGGTCTTACGTCTTTGCGTGGGCAGGCGAGTAGGGGTAGCGGAGATGGAGATCGCAGACTCAAAAAGGTATGAGGAGATGGTGTTCGTCAGCTTCGCTGAGAATCCTGCGCTGCCGCCACTCTGACTGCCGTTGGAGATGGACGGGGTGGCCGAGTAGGACCCCGTTGGCGAAGGCGGCGGGGAGGCCATCTCTGAACTCAGATGGATGGCGATCACGCAGGTTGCTTTGTCGAGGGGACGTCTCGCTACCCTTGGACTGTGACGTCAGCTTCGGTGCGAGCAGCGAGGCAAAGAACCAGGCCAGGTGTGGGAACCCTTTTGAACACACCTGCAATACTCATGCTATCCTTGCTTCGAGCATCAAAGTAGCATCACGCTCCCTATCCAGCGCTAAGGGGAGGGCTGAGCGCGCGAACTGCCTTACCGACGAAAGCGTGATAGACCCCAGAGTCTCAATTCAAGTGGTCAAAAGATGTACGTAAGAGCAGACGAGAGCGTGAACACAGTGGGACAGTGCCTAGTTTGACGTTGCTCACCAATTGGCGGAATCTCTTCATGTGGACAGTGAATTGAGATTGTGACCCCATGCTGAGGCATTCAATGCCCCAGCGGTTGAGTGGCGGGGATGTACAGCTTCAGCCTCAATGGGATTCATGGCCGACCCCAATGCAGACGGTTTCAAAGGTAGTGATCGATTTGTGAAGACTCGTTGAGATCCGAAATATCAGAGGGATATGACGGGCTTGGACGTATGCGGCATGGAACCGGAGAAATACAGACGCGGTCAGCCAGAAGCTAGCAAAGACGGTGCACCGTGACATTGGAAGCGTGCCAGCGTTCTGGAGGTTGTTGCACGCAACAAGACCTTCGCACAGGGATCGACGGTCAGGCATGATCCTTCCGGCGCCTTGACCTGCAGATAGTACGGTACCAGCATCGAGGCACGCTCGGCCACAAGCGAGATGTACATCAAAAGTGAGGTCCCAATGCATTTGCTCTGGATGCATCAGGCTTTGCCGATGTCCCAGCATCTGCGCTTAGTCGCATCGCAAAGGCGCGCAGCGCAAGCTCTTTGGGCCACCGTTCGACCTGAGGTGGCGCAAAGAGCAGCGTCCCACCCTGCAGTCTCTCTGCGTTGTTCGATGCGACACATTTTAACGGCAGCTAGACGGCCCGCTGCCGTCCAAGGGCTTGCACAAGAAGCGCAATCACTGGAGGGCTCGCTGCGAATAGCACCGGCATCGCCGGCACACGCACCCGCCCGCAAGGTCTCACTGCGACCTTATCAGGAGGACTGCATCAAGAAATGCCTCGAAGCACTACAGCAGGGGCACTCTAGGATTGGCATCAGCTCACCAACCGGCTCTGGCAAGACGACCATATTGTAGGTGACCACGAAATAAAAGACTACAAGACGTTTAGATGTGGACACGGTGCTAATATCACCATTTCTGCTTCAGCACCTCTCTGATCGAGCGTCTACCTCGTTTGCAGACGCTGTGCGAAGGATCAGATGAATTGGGGTCAGACACAGGCCATAGGGTCCTTATCCTGGTATCCAGCATCGAGCTGGCGCTGCAAGCTGCGAAGACTGTCTCCTCTTTTTACCCTGATTTACTCGTCGAGATTGAGCAAGGCAGCAAGTTCAAAGCGAGTGGTGTTGCGGATGTCACCATTGCAACGGTACAAACGCTTAGTCGGGTGGGGAGTGGCGAGGAGCGCCTGCAAAAATTCGATCCCCAGCAGTTTAAGGCTGTTATCGTCGACGAGGCCCACCACGCGGCTGCAAAGTCATACATCCGTGTCCTCTCACACTTTGACCCTACCATCAACGGACAAGTCGAACAGGAAGCTCGAGGAGACAAGAATTGCTTCCGAGTCCCCATTCTTGGCTTCTCAGCAACCTTTTCACGGCACGATGGCTTGGCGCTCGGTTCCGTGTTCCAGCGCATTGTCTTCCACAAGGACTTTTTGGAAATGATCGGGGAAGGCTGGCTGTCGCCTCTTCGGTTCACTGTCATCCGTGCGAAGATTGATTTATCGGGCGTAAAGCTCATGTCCGGCAGTAGCGGCGGCGACTTTCAGACATCGTCGCTGGCGAATTACATCAATACCTCCGAGATAAACCGCCTCATTGTCCGCACATGGCTCGACCGCTGCGCTAACACAGACCCAGCGGCCGCGAACCAACTACGGCGCTCGACGCTCGTCTTTTGCGTCAATATCGACCACGTCAACAATCTGACCGACAAATTTCGCGCCGCGGGCATCGACGCAAGAAGCCTGACGGGGGAGACGCCGGTACGCGAAAGAGCCGAGTTGCTTCGATCCTTTCGAGCGATGGAATTTCCTGTCCTCATCAATTGCTCCATTCTGGCGGAAGGAGCGGATGTCCCCTCTATCGATTGCGTCTTACTCGCTCGGCCGACCCGATCACGGAACCTATTCAGCCAGATGATAGGCAGAGCTGCGCGCTTGAGTCCGTCGACTGGGAAGAAGGATGCACTCGTGCTCGATCTCGTCGGGAATGTGGAAAGGGGTGACGGCATCGTCTGCACACCGAGTTTGTTTGGGCTGAGTGCGGATGTGATGATTGAAGGTGAGAATTGCAACAACTTCTCGATGCAGTGCTAACTGGCAAGGAAGACACCTGACACCTTTGCATATGAATAAAATGCGCAGACGAAACGATCGAGTCTCTCGGAGCACGCGCGCAGGAAGCTATTGCTGCTGCCGCGCCGGGGCCATCACCGGCAGAGGAAACAGACAATCTATTGTCCGTCTCGAGCTTAAGCTACATTGACTACGACGACCCGCGCGAGCTGCAAGCTATGCTCACGCGTCCAGGACGAGCGCCCCTCATTGAGCGCCTGAGTCGCAATGCCTGGATCGACTGTGGACACGACATTTTCGTGCTCGATATTCCCAGGTATGGACACATCAAGGTCGAGCGGACGTCCGAAGCGGAGCGGATGGAATTGGATGCAAAATGGAAGTCGACATACACGCCTGCAAACTTGGATCCGGACGAGCAGGCTGCGCTCTCGGGTCTGCCTGGTGTCAGCCGCGGCTGGCCTTTCTCGCGAGGAAGACGAAAAGGCTCACCTTACCGCCGGGGGCGGAATGTGTTGTACGAGAACGACCTCGACAACGCCATCCGCGGGAGCGACACGTACGCGACGACGCGCATCCTGCACAGCAGTCCATTCAATGCGCTCCTGGACCGTAGAGCCGCTTGGCGGAGCAAGCCGGCGAGCGAGAGTCAGAAAGCTCTTGTGGAGCGCAGGCTGGGCTTTCATAGAGCGCCAGTGCGCAAGACGGAGGAGAAATCAGTAGGAGAACACAGTGGTGATACTGATGGACAACCAAAATTGGAGAATCTCTCGAGAGGCATGGCGTCCATCATCCTCACCAGGCTCAACCATGGCACAAAAGGGCGTTGGACTGAGGAAGCGAAGCGGCAGAATCGCATCTTCAACGCCGAAGCAGCGGAAGCAGCGCGCAAGGAGCGCGAGACATTGCGGTGGGCGATTTCGTAAAGCCGGCGTGACTAAGGTTGCGCTGCGGCTCTGCAGGTTGCTATCATGTTGTATCATTAGCATTCATTAAGGGGGAAATTATTAAATACCCTCTTGCCTCATAATCTCCTCGCACACGAGTCTTGCGCTCCGTACGCAACCTTCGAGTAGCGGAATACCAGGCGACCAACTACCACAGACCCATAGTTGCCCCCCTGCTTCCCCTCCTCCATCGACCTCCCGCCGCAGTTGGCGCGTCGACAGTCGTCTTTGCCAGCCACCTTGCAAATCGCCTAGGCGAAGCTGCCATCGCACGCCTAGTGGGTCACGCAGCAATTTCATCAAGCGATGTTGGCGCGATGACTTTCTCACTGCGCTGGTCGCCTCGGACTGTCGGACCCAGTCAAATAAGCCCTTCTGCGCCGCCTTGCCTTCGATCGTCACGATCGCTCGCTGGAAATTACTGATACTGAGCACAGTCTCCTGCCGCGGCGTCATGCCGCGAAGGGCATTGGTCGTCTGCATGAGCAGTTGCGGTCCATTGGGTGACGGAAAGTCTTGTGCGATGAGGTGCGTGGCCATCGTCTGCGTCTGGCCTTCGCTGAGTGTTCGACCGCGCGGTGCGCTGCGGTTATCATCATCGTCGGAGTCATCAAGCTCCTTAGTGTGCGCTGCGCCATTGACGCCAAGCATGCTAGGCGATACGAGATTCAGGTCTCGCCAGTCGCGCTTGGAAGGGGGCATCATCGATTGATCGGTATGGTTGATGACTGAGGAATGCTCGTAGCGAAATTGTTCCAGCTGTTGAACCATCTGCCGCAATTGCTGCGTTTGAATCGCATCCCTGCCGCTGTCGACGCTCGAAGAACGCTGGAGATACTTTCTCAGGAAATCGGCAGACTGACTTGCTTGCGTCGCAAAGATGCAGTGGTGGAAATCCTCGTAGAGCTGAAGATGACCTTCCACATCACGTACGAGAAGCGAAAACGTCCTGCCGCCAACCCCTACGGCAGATGCGCAGTCGGAGACTTCAAAGACTTGTGCTCCGGTATGGATACTTTCTTTCGACAGCGGCTTCGACAGGGCCTTCTGCACTTCGTGTACGCCTGCTTGAACAGTATAGTGCGAGCGCAGAAATGTGCATGCGACGTACTCCAGCACTTCCGCCGCTGGCGCGTTGCGCACACTGTCGGCTTGGGATGTCATGACTGCGCTAAAGAGTGGAATGATGACATCATCGATGAAACGAGTGTTGATGTGCGCAGAAGAGGACCATTCGCCCAATCGCCGAGATGCAAGAGGGTGGGTCGGGTCACGCGTATGCCCCAACAAGTGATGGAAGAGCGCGTAGAAAAGAAGTTGAAAGTAGCACATCGCGAAGAAAAGCACCAAGGCAAGGTAGTCTCGTAACGCCCAAACTGCGACGGGCAGCTCACTCTTGACGTAACTGAGCGCTTTGGACGGCGAACGAAATGTTGCGCGCGACGGGAGTAGCTTCAATAGACTCGAAGGCATGCCAAAGCCGTGAACACCTGAGTGGCCGTTGTAGATGAAGTCAGGAACTGGCGCCCCTCGACGCTCCGATGGCGTCCGCGCTGTTGCATGAGGTTCCAGAGAAGCAAAAGAATAGGTAAAGTTTGATTTCTCGACTGCGATTCCCAGCTGACGGTATAAGGAGAGCAGTTCAGGATAATATCCTAGACATTCAGAGCATCGAAATAGTTAGCTACATGCCTTTTCGCCAGCTTAAGCACAGCCCCGCGTGTGTGAGCTTACCCGAGTTGAACGAACGCATCGGCACGTCGACGCGAATCGATCTCTTGCCAGCAGGTTCCTTGACTAATATGCTATTGCTGTCCAGTCCCAGAGACTTCGCCTTCTCGAAGATGTGGACTTGAAACATTGGTAACCGTTTCTCCGATTCTGAGGCGGCTGCGTCGTCCTTTGCTGCATTTGCGAGGGTATACGCACACTGAAATGCGACACAAGATCAAAGTTAACGAAGCGCGCTCACCTCTGCCGTGATTGACATCGGCACTTACCATCAGGCCCGAAAGTCCTGATCCAATAATCGCCACCCGTTTGGGTGACTTGGCCCTGCCAGCTCTCTCACTTGAGTGGGAGGAGCCCCGGTGCTCGCTGCCGGACAGCGAGCTGGCCCGCAGCATCGTTTCCGTCGGTGCCGAGTACACGCGGCTTGGCGGACGCAGGCTCGCACAAGCCTCGGGCTTGAAGCATGTAACGAGGGTGTTGAACCAACAACGCAGCCGTGACGCGCGGCGTATGTGCTACGTGTTCGGATGGGGCAATAGAGACGACGTACTAGGGATACCGCTTAGCGCAGGTATTGTTGCATGTGAGCCCAATCTAGCGTCCCACTCCAAAGCGGCGTCATTGGCAGTTGTAGCATGTTTTTCTTGTGAAGCGTTGCCAAAAATGCCATCGATTTTTTTTTGTTTGGGCCACTCCTGTGTGCTCGCGTTCGGCAATTTTGGGCTTCTACGCTCCAGTAAAAGTCGCCGAACAACCGTTTCATGCGCTCACAAATTGCACTTAGCAACCACAAAGCGGGGAAAATCGGCGATGAGGAAAGTGGCTCTACATTGATTGGAATCTCGGTCCTTGAAACAGTCATGTGTGAAGGCCGCAGCAGAATGTGCCATTTGCAACATTACGGATCAGAATCTGTTAGCGTGCTATCGAGATGCTGCAGCCATCTACCAGTACATTAATGGCCGTATGGACAATCCGCACCGTAGTCGCAGACTTCGCCCCGTGCGATCCAAGGGCACGGCTGGCGCTTGGCCACCTTTCTGAGTCGATCCAGCTCGGATTGCGGCAATTCTGCATGAGAGGATTTGCAGCGTGAGCCTCGTGAGCATTGTCCGAGGAGGTGATGCTCGATGCATGGCTTCCTGAGCTTGTCAGAGGCCCGGATGTTTCCACCTTCCGGCCAATCGTACTCTGTTTGGGAGGCAAGCACGTCCGGCCATCGCTGAACTCGCTCCGCGTATTCTTCGTAGACTTTAGACTTGAGGAGATACTCTGGCAACTGAAGCAGCGAGACCTTGTTTAGCATACCCAGCTTTCTTAAGCCAGCTAGCTCGTTGGCGTAGCCTAGGTCCTCTAAGCCACCGAGGAAGACATGCATGCAATCCTGATCCAGAACGCTATCGACCAAATGCGCACGGACATTTGAATCCGCCACCTGGCTGCCTTGTCCTGCGTCCACAAAGCGGAACCAAGCACCGCCACCATTCTGCCATCCCCTAATAAATCGGCGAAAGACTTCTATTGGCACACCTCCTTGCTCTGAAAGAGTGCGCTCTAGGTCGGTGAGGTTGCAGATGACGTAGCCTCGAACATCCACGATGGACCCCTTCGTAACATCCTCGGGGAAATTTTCTTGAACATGCTTTGTCGCAGCTAATGCAGCTTGTCTTCCGCCAGCGAATCCCGCAGATAGGAGATCTCTGCGGAACCATAAGTTGTCTCCGTCAATGACGATGGCCGCGTGTGCTCGCGGTGACAGGGTCGTTGATTTGCTCGAAGACTTCACTAGCAATGAAGCTTCGCTTGGGATTTCGTAGTCTTCATGAGGATCGTACACCGTTGGACTTGAATAAGCGAATGCCGTTTGCTGCAGTGCATTGCTAACCGGGTCAAGTAGGGGTGGTCGTGCAGCTGTGACTGTCTGCTGGTGCTGATTCTCATTGCCGAAATTGGAAGTCGTATTATGCGCAAGCAAAATTTCTCTGTACTTCCGGTTATTCTTCGAAGTTTGGTCACAAGAACGCTGCTGGAGATGCACCCGGTCTTCTGGCCGAATCGGTATCTTGATACCTGCAAATCCCGGGGATGAACTCCCTTGAACACTTTCGTTGGACCAGGTGTTAAACGTCCAAGCTGCACGATCCTGGGCAGCTTGCCCGGTGTGCTTTCCCGACTGCAGTTGCTTGCTTTCTCGAAAGATAGAGCTGAATGCCCTCGAGGCAGATTTACAGCTGCACAGGGAGCATGCCAATTGGTGTGCACTCGGCAGAATTCGCATCTTGATGTCGTCGTTGCGCTGGATCTTGAGGGTCTGTGAACAGCTTCCTCGGCAGGTGCGTTCCAGCCGTCCGGCCACACGTTCGATGGAACTCGCTGGCGTTCTTTCAGCACGCCTGAATAACGAACAGATAAATGTTATAGAAAAGTTAATTCTGCGCAGAAGAACATAACGGCGTATGAGCAGTCAGTAAGAAGTATGATAACTAAGGTGAACCAATTCGAAGCAGTGTGAGTCTGGAAGAGATGAACTTGAGGACGGTCACTCATGACTCTCTTCCGACTTGGCTATTGTCCTGGAGATTCATCCAGAACCAGCATGTAGAACTCCCCCAGGGAACTGGGGAATATGGGGGAATCTCGTTGTCGAATCAGCTTTTTCTAAGGAAAACGCTTCGGAATGGTTGATTCATAAGGAAACGACCTTTTTTAACCCGGCTTCAGGCGAACCCTGGTGAAGCCGAGTAATTAATTGGGGCTGTCGCGGCCGGACTCCAGCTGGGTGAGCTGCGACGGTGACAAGTTCAGCTCGCACGACCAAGAATCGACGACTCTCCCCCTTTGCCTCTCTCAGCCGAATGTTGCTTCTTCAGTTGCCACCATCTAGTTGACCAGTGCCAGTCTCGCCAACGCTTCATATACAGACGCACATCTGGTCTACCTGGTCAAGATCAGCTGTCGGGCGTGCGACTCAGAGCCTGTTGTCGATCCGCATTGCTCTTGTCCCCCGGTGCATCGGAGGCGGCTCAACGCCGGAAGCACGTAGGACTGAGGGGAAGGTGAGCCTTTGCGGAGCTTCTCCTAGAAGTATCAAAGCATATCGACCATTCTGACTAGGGTACAACTTTTTTGCTTGAAAATATGCCAGTCGGCTTTGCAGTTGCTTTGTCCATTGAAGAGTTCGCCCGGACGGCCTATTCTAAGTGTGCCTGCGACGTTTCTTTCGCCATGTATTGACGCTCAGTCTCGGGGCGAATGTACCCCATCTTCAGCGACTTTAGCACCGAAATAGGGCTGAGAGAGTCACTGAGGCTGTCGCAGCCTGTCCAATCGATAAACCTCGCCCATTATGTCGAATCGGAACAGTCTCATGCTACGTCGCGATGGTGAGCAAGGCGGCGGCAAGAGCGATGGGGATGCTCTCAAGGGATGGGTCGGAGCTTTTGAGAGAGTGCTGGGTGATCAAGCAGAAGCGCTCTCACGTGAACGCAGGCAGCAGCAACAGCAGAGCAAACAGGTGGCAAGCACTCGGTCCGCGATAGCAGGGGAAACCCCTTCGTTGCTTCAATCGCAATCGCATCTTCTTGCGGACGACTCACGGGTTTCCAAAGCAGAGCGGTCTACTCCCTCAGCCTCTCGCGCTTCTAGTGTTCACTCCAGCGCTAGCATTCGCGCAGCATCAGAGAGAGGCTCTCGTGGCGCAGAATCTCACGAACTTGGAAGTGATAGCGGTTACCTACTTCCAAGGGCCGCCCTTGCCTCACATCCTGGATCTGAGGCAGGCACTGACGCTTCTGAGCAAAGCGGTCTTGTAGGTGGTGCGAGGTCCAATGCTTCTTATTCGCTGCACCGAGCTGCGGCTCGCAAAGCCTTGTGTAATGACTTGGCATGTGCTGGCCAAGACTCCGGGGACGAACTCACGGCTCAGCTTGACACCACGACATCAGGCCCCTCTCTCATTACATTGCTGGGTCCGCCTTACATGGCTATGGAAGATCTCTATCTTAACCATGCGCCAGGGCTACAAAAGCTCAGCCTCTCAAACCTCACGCCATCAAAAGTCCAGGTTCGTCTGGATAGCGACATGGGAGATGCCTTGTCTTTCATGCGGACAAAAGATTTCTCCGAAGGTCAAGGTAAGTTTGGGAAGGATGCTGACTCTTGGATGTGCAACGCCTGAATTTCACCTTGAGACCACAGAAATGGACAGGGTGCCTTGGCCATCGAACAGCGTCGTATGGGCCCGAGGCGATGGTCTTTCTCCAGCGAAGCTTCGGGACATGCGGCAGATCTCTGCAAGTCTGGAAGAAGTCAGCAACATCACCATCGAAGGCTCGTCCTCGATCGCGCTACTAGTTCTTTTCCGTCCGAAGCGCTTCCAACAGCATTGCGAAGACAAGCAACGCCGCAGGCGCTCCACGCGTTTCGTGCCTTCCCCCCGCTCAGAGCCCGCAAATGATGATGCTTGGCAAGTGCTCAGCAATGGATCGCAAGCAAATTCGTCGTCCGCTTCGAGTCAGGCGTCGTATCAGAGCTCCCCACGAACAACAGTCACAGAATCTCGCTCACCGCCATTCGATGGACATCTGTCGCCAACGCCTTTCAAAAATAAGAGCAGCTCTCGCGTTTCGCTAGACTTCCACGAACTCCAGCACGTCAATCATCGAGTCATCTCTCAAGGCACATTGCTCCTGCATGCAACCAAGCTTGATGCATCAGAAGCCCCGTTGCAAGACGAGTCATCGCAAAGCATTTCAGTCCCTTTCCGCGCTGCATTTTGCAAGCCGCAGTTGGGCCTTCTTGCAGCTCCCGATCAGCCATTGAGAGACGGAGGTGCCGTCATTCCGGATGCGTCGGGCGCCATGACGTTCCACTTTGGGGACCTCACTGTTGGCACATGCGAACAATTTCGTCTGTCTCTGCAGAACCTGAGTCAGATCGAATGCTGTTGGCAAGCAAGATTAGAGGATGCGGACAATGTCTTATCCAGCACGCCTCTTTCACTTAAGGGGTGTGGAGGCGACGATATTCAGATGATCAATCAATCGCGGGACAAGCTGTTCTGCCCATATTGGGTCCGGCCGTTTTCGTCTCAAGAAATCAGCATTCAGCTCGATGCACGAGAAGCATGCAGGCAATTTCACCAGACCATCACGCTGACCAACTTGCACGACACATCTAACAATTTTAAGCTTGTCATCAGCGCAAATATTCTCGGCATAGCCCGAGACAAAGAGCTGGACATGTCGCCGGCCGAAGTGCTCGACTTCGGTGACTGCTGTGGCGGGCAATGGACCAAGCAAATCGTCGTGCTCAAGAATCAGGGCGACAGCATGTTGAATCTCAGCTTCTCGGCTTCGAAGGAAGCAGAAGTCACCTTTGAGCTTGCCAAGGTGGTTGCCGAGTCTCATTCCTTGTTCGATTCAGAGCATCTTCAGTCTGTGTCCACGTTGTCATGCTCTGAACCGAACACTTCGGCATCCGAAAATGCATCCATCAGCGAGTATTCGAGCAGAAGCGAAAAAGCCGCGACGCGATCTGGATCCGAGGAGGAGGGCCGGACTCCAGCATTTGAATCAATGCGGACACCAATGTCGAAGGCACAGGACAAGATGGACCTCGAGCCGCCACCACTCGCACTTTCCGTGAGTGTGGTGTGCGTCAAAAAGCTTCAGAAGATGGAAGCCGAGAAACCTGCAGCAACCGAAGCTGATGACACGGATGCGTTCTCAAATGTATCCCAGGCTGGGTCGCAGCAAGGCTCCCCCGCCTTGGGTCCGAAGGACTCTGTCGTGTCGCCGATCGCCTCTTCCAACCCTTCTGGAAAGGTTGCCGACCTCAATACCCTTGCGATGGCTGCCATTGGAGAGCCTCCAGGGAAGCATCCAAATACCTCACAGAGGGACCCGTCCACTTTCCTTTCGAGTCATCCCTCTATAGGCTTTGCCCACAGGCAAGCACGGCCTGATCAGGTCGCAGGAGCGAGCGACAGAGGAGATGAAGTACAATCGGTCATTTCCGAGGTGACAACAACGTCGCATGACAGCAAGCGCAGTATCTTTGCACCTGCGTCGTCACAGGCAATTGGTCCTTTAGGCGTCATTTCGGGCTCTTCGAGGGGGCCACATCCACTCAGTGGCTTCCGCAAGATCGATCACACTCCTACGCATCACCTTGAGGAGTCGTTTTTGGCACCAGGGGCTGAGACCAGGATCCTTGTGTCATACCGGCCAGCCAAAGGCGACATGGATGATGAAGTCACGGCGGGGCGGTTGCGCGAAGTCACTTTTCCAATTTTTATCGACTCAGCGAAGGTCCGAGTGGGCGGTCCTCGGTCGAGTGGGCCCAAGACGCGTCGATCTTTGCTCTGCAAGGCGCGGGCCTGTACGTCTTTCATCGCCGTTACACCCAGGCTGATTGACTTTGGCGAGACGAACGTAGGTGCCCGCAAGACTGCCACACTCTCAGTCACCAACCGGTCGGAGCTTACAGCACGTGTCGACGTACGCTTTGTTTCAAAGGTGCTCAGCATGTACCGCGGTGAGGTGCCAATTCCTCCACTTCAGACTGTGGATCTGAAAGTCGACTTCTTTCCGAGGCGTATCAATGACTCATATCGGAAGCAAATCACGGTGACCAACCTGTTGAACCGCGACAATGATCAGATCTTCGATGTTCGATCCACGAACGTTGACCAACAGCGCGTCACATTCCATTCCCTCCTCTACCGTATCCTGACCGCAACTGGCGCGAATTTCATCGACTTTGGAGACGTCAATATCAACTCGACAAGAGTGCGATCTTTCTCGGTGGAAAATATTTCTGGAGCCCCATTGTTGCTTGAACTCACCGCCGCGCATCCCGAAGACCTCGTGATCTACGTCAAAGCACCAGAACAGTCCGCAACACATCACAACGTACCAGCAACATCTGCAACACTTCCGCCCACACGATATGCTGAAGTCGAGTTGTCAGACAAGGTAGCACCAACGACGGTGGAGTCTCAACGGCCCAAACCTACCTCGAAAGGGCCGCAGTTGAAAGAGCGCTTCCTGGAGACTATCTCGATGGACTCACCCACCTCAATCCGCAAGGAGAACGCTTCTTGGAGATTGGCACAGAAGCAAGCGCAGGCAAAAAAGCGTGTGCGAGAAGAAAGTGTGCCTCGAGACCTCGATGCGAAGGCGAAGCCATCGGCAAAATCAAAGCCGGTTGTGAATCTGGTCTCGGCGATGCGCAAAGGCGGTAAAGGCAAGATCACGCTCAAATACGGGAAGAGCATGATGTTTAAAGACAAGAAGGCTTTGGCCATCTTCGAGCACCTGGATCTTGCTTGCGGACCGCCAGTGGATCCTTATCGCATTCCCGCGAAAAGCAAACTTTACCAACAGCTCGACCAGCTTGCCTCGCCCATTGTGTCATTCAAATTGAACACACATGGCACTCCTTCCGGCGTAGGCCCAGCTTGCGCAGTGAATCCAGGCAGCAGTGAGAAGGGTCTGAAAGCCCGTCGTGAAGCTGCTGGCGGTGAAAAGGCGGCACAAGTCCAAATAGCAGCAAGGCAAGCCCGTGCCCCTGCACTAACCGGTCAGCGTTGCGCCACGCGCAAGCTGGCTGACTTTTCTGATGTCTCCAAGCTCACCTTGGATGAGCTCATCACTGCGCTCGAATCTCAGAACAGTACGCTCCACACTTTCTTTTTGGGCGACCCTGATGCGGAGGAACGTCAAGTCCGCAGCGAGATCAACTTGCAACGCCAGCTCTCCTTGGCAATATCCGAAAGGCATCTACTATCAACGGAGGTTGTCTCGCTGATGCCAGAGGAGGAAATACAAATCATCGCCTTGTATACCCCCAATGGCAGCACACGACCACATGTACAAGGAAACGCGCGAAAACAAGATTCTCGCATATTTCTTCGCCTCCTCCAGTTTGATGAAACGCTTGTCCAGAGGTATCCTGATCTTGCTCCGATGGCAAAGGTGGACAAGGAGGAACTGCCCGTCCGAGATCTCATTGTCAAAACGAACACCTGTCGCAGCATCATGGAGCTTGGTCAACCGCACATCAATTTTGGCCAAATGGACAAAGGCGAAAGCAAGGCCCGAAAGATCGTAATCCAGAATCGAAGCGAATGGGCCCTTCGATACTGCATTCGCAAGAGCGGCAGCATTGCGAGTGGGGACATCAAGATTGCGATGGGGCGCTACGGAATCATTCCTGGATACGGCAAACGAGAGGTGCAATTTGTCTTCTCGCCATCAATGTCTGGGCAATTCCAGGAGAAGCTGGTCGTGGAGAATGTGGCCGACAGAGACAACGACCAGACTTTAATCTTGAAGGCCAACATCCGCAAGGTCTCGAACTTTGTGCTGGAGCCTTCTGTGGTGATGCTTGGAGCATGCCAGGTTGGTCAGCTCTCAGAACCGTGCAGCTTCACCATTAGCAATACCTCCACGAAGACTCGCACTTTCATGGTGGATGTTGATCGCCAAGAACTCCAGCATCATCGCTGCATCGTCGATATTGCCATCGCATTTGCCGATGATGCAGATACCCGCGGCGCGCTGACACAGGCCGAGGAGGAAGAGGTGGAGCACATTTCACAAAAGCTCAAGATTGCGACCCGCAAGGGCCAGGCAGACAAGGTAAAAAAGTACGAAACGAGACTGCTTGAGCTGGGGATAAGTGTCAGCCCTTCGGGACCTTCGGATGCAGTCAAAGACCTAGGGACTGGGAGCAAGGCAGATGCACCACCGGAACGCGGCCCACGGCTGAAGCGGTTTTCCACCGCGGTGACGTTCGCATTGGAAGCCAGCCAAACTCGGAAGATGGTTTTACGGCTCCGCTTACGCCGTGTCCATACCGCTCTCGGCGAATCGCATTCACTTGCTGCCGACTTGGATTCGATGGAAGAGATCTCCACCAAGGTGCGCGTGTACGAGGCGAAGAACGCGGACGACACAAAGACTGTTCTCATCCGCGCGCAAGCCAAGCTCGACCCTGTGGTGAATGTTAGCTCCGATCAGGGTGGCGACGAGGAGCTTGCGGACATGCCAGCGAACGCCTTGGTCTTCAGCACACATGAGTAAATGAAGCATATCTGCATTTTGCATTGTACTATATACAGCATCTTCCAGCACCATCCTGAATTCAAGTTGCTTCCAACACGAATTTACCACGTGGAGGACCGCTGGTGTTGTAAACACCAGTGAGCAGTGACTCGTGAGGTGCGTGAGGACCGAGCGGCGAGCTCAGAGGTTGTTGATTTTAGTACTACAAGTAGTTATTGCTTTGTACCTTGGGAAGTGCTTTGAGCTCGTTCCGCACCTCTTGTGCATTGCATCTATCACCTACAAGCATGTGCAATATGCGATTATGGCATCATCCGAGGGCTTGCTGTGCAGATCACACTGGTAATCGACAAACGTGGGCCAACGTTGTCGACTTGGCACTCCCAAGGAGGCCAGAGATGCCTACTTGCTGCAGTTCCAACGCGCGACAACTGACAATTCTCAGCTTTCTCTAAATCTGAAGGCTCGCAAATGATTCGCATTGTTAATTACCCGTACAATTTATGCAGCTAAGTCTTCAATCCGCAGCAAAAGGTTGAGCCTTATCCAATCAATCGCCCTCCATCTTAAAGGACCATAGGAGCTGACCTTCTCGTCACCATGTGCTTTCCTAAAACACAAATCTTCCCTCATGGCCATGATGAACAACCATCAATCCTACGTATCGAGTTTCCTTGGACAATCATGCGCAAGTTTCAATGTCTAGCTTGACCATTCGAATAGTTGCACTTTCTCGTGTTGCGCTCAATGCCGCCTTCCCTTCGTCCTCGCACCGCCTCCACCATCTCCACCATCTCCAACATCTTCTCAGAGGGAGATCCGTGCATAGGACCACAGTAGATAGAAATTTGGCTGATCACATCTATCACCAATAGCGACCAACAAGCTCTTCATTAACGTACATGAGTATTAAGACCACTTCCCTTCCTGATGCGACGAATTGTTCCTGGCCGTGTAGCAAAACAAATGATCTACAGCCTGCAACCTTTCACACGCATCTGAGCGTCACTTACAACCCTACCTTAAAACTTTGAGCCTGTGTTCAGCGGTAGGGAATATGCGTGTCCAAAGATACGCTGTGTGAATCAGTATCGTTCATGTTTCCAGCCTGTTTTGCCATTCGGGGTTTCAGCCCGTTCCACGGTGAATTATCACCCTGCGTCGGTCCCACTCGATCCTAAGGTGATTTGGAGTTACTAGATCCCTCATTTCATGCGTCGCTGCAGGGCTAAAAGCCAGCGACACCATGTTCGTCCGCCAACCATCGCGCATGATGTCACCAACGGACCGTCGGTCGTCACCAGAAGTGACCGTCGAAGCATTCGCCCGCAGCGGCAAGTGTAGTAAAGACTGTTCGGGTTCAGCTTCCATCAATCAGCATGATTGTTTGACATGCACAGCATATCTGGTGGGTGTGCAACGCCCTTCTCGCATCGCATAAATAGAAGTCACACCCATCTCTTCGCATTCCCTCAATGTATTTAGTCCTTAACGAAATCGCTGCTGTCTGTGACCAGAAATTGACCCACACCTGATCCCTCTGCTTCCGGCACTCTGTGCTCTGGATGGCCTGACCTGTGTGCCAAAAAGTGAGCCATGGTGACATCTGAATCGGCCCGCCGATCTGCTTGCCATATCCGCGATCTTCCGAGTGTTCTGAGGTGCCTTCTTCTAGAAGATATTGGAAAGTGTCTATGATGAACATGTCGAGGGTGCCGACCCGCAGTGGTGTTGCGGCTCTCTGAAATAAGTTATTTGTGCTGAAATAGCTGTCCCAAGGAGTATATGACATCACCGCCAAGCCATGCTTCGCAAAAAACCACAAAGCACCGAGCCCTAGGGCCTAAAGAAGCGATTTTTGATCGAGGGTTCAACGAACGACGAGATAGTTGTTCGACTCCAAGACCTGTAGCTCGCGCGCAAAAATGTGCAAGTCATTCGCTCAACTAATTGCATCAAGCCCTCGCGTACAGGTATGCTCGGGCGCGCCAGCAAGTGCGATTGAAGGCCATTCACTGCATCGTATTCAACCTTGTGCACTTCTCCGTGCACCCTTCAAGAGCTTGCCGTCCCGTCTTCGCAAACGCGTTGGGAACTCGTCGAGAATCTGGAGAGGTCCGACTGGTACCTTGCGTGCGCTTTTTCATGATCTTGCTGGTACTTAACTAAATTGGTTAGCAATGTTTATCTGTCCACAAGCTCCTTGAAATTATCCACGAGCGTCGTTTGATTGGCACCTGGCTGCTGCATAAAGTTGATCAGCGAGACCTCAACAAAGGAGAGTTGTGCGGCTTTCTAATTGCCAAGCTCCTGCAAGAATTCTTCGAGATTGTCCGACTTTTCCCCAACAGTGACAGGTAGAGGGCGTTCCGCAACCCCTTGAGAGCTCCAGGCTGTCTCAAGATTGTAGCCTGCTCTTGATTCGCATGGCTGCTTTTCCAACCCTATCATGACATGATCCTTGTTCGTTTTCAGACACAGGAAAGGGCAGGCAATCGAAGAGCACCAGGAAACGAGTGTATTCAATAACGAATAAGTCAGGCTTGGTGCCTCAAATGATGACCGAGATCAAAGCTGAGAATCCTATGCGCCGTTCCCACGGTGTACAATGTGGAAGAAAAGGCTTATTATGTCATACAGTTAACTTCAGGAGGGAGGGACAATAGTGACGAAGTACTATAGCAAAGTTGATGCTTCGTACCTAAATAGTGGAGCGGAAACGGACTCGAAGCTCTTGCCAAGGTACTAAGCAACAACTTCTTAGGGAACCAAAATCAAACCCCCAGTTCAGCCATAGCTTTCCGATACGTTTGTATTCAGGGTGAGTTCTTTTTTTCCCGGGTTATTAATTCTCCCAAAATTCTCCAATGCTCTTAGCTCTGATGTCTTCGGATTAGTCAGGTCATCTTGTGTGCTTGCTTCCACTTGTAGTTGCCTTTGGATATATATGCCCAAGAATCACATCACTTCCCACGACAGTCTTTTCATTGCTGTTGCACGCTGAGTTTCCTCAGCCTTAGACGCGCTTGTAACCGCCGAGCAGCAGCGGAAATGTTTGGATTCGCTCGCTCAAGGTTGGGCCTGGGCGCCTCCGAGGTTCTTCGGAATGTTAACCAGCAACAAATTCGTGCCCTTTCTACTTCACCGGTGGCCTTGACCTGGGGAGGCGGCAAGAACAAGACACACTCAGGAGCATCAAAGAGATTTAGTCCGGTCGGGAGAAGCACTGCGATCGCCTTCAAGAGGGGTCAAATTGGCAAAAGACACTTGAATTCGCACATGTCGAGCTCAAGGTTGAACAGGCTGGGCGGCACTGTGATTGAGCGGACTGGCAAGACTGCAAAAGCAATTCGGCGACTGCTGGCTCCATCGCTATAAATTCCAGTCCATACTCCCCTCAGCGCGGCCAAGAACATGCCATCACGCGTCGCTTGGAAGGTGCTAGGACCTATCACGTCCGAGCACGAACCTAGTCAGCCCATCTGATAACCTTTCATCCCTTCTTGGGGAACCTCTTTGGCGGCTCTGATCAACGAAGGCGTCAGACATTTTCACTGTTGCATGGACGCAAGAGCAAGTCTGGTGTCACATGCAGGTACACTATTTGCCAGGACTGGCCAAAGGGTCCCTCTTTCATCCGGCATGTTGACCTCCATCTACCTGAAGCTTCCGCACGCGAGTATTCCGGCGGTCCACTCGAGACCCGCATGCGAAAGCAAGAAGAGCTGGTCGCATTTCACGCTGAAAGAAAGGTAGTTGGATTGGCCGAGGCAGAGTACACGCTGGACTCTCACAAGCGAGATGCCGATTGTTTTAAGGGAACGGCAAGGTGGACTGCTTTGAAGAGCAGTCTGGGATGGAATCCATTGGTTAGCAAGGCCCGGCAATCTCTGCCATTCGCAATTCATCACACTATCTGAAAGAGACCTCAAAGCTGCTTGTTCTGAATCCTGTATTCGTAGAACCAATGGCAACAGTTTTGGAGGCCAATGTCTTACAAGAGTCCTTTGAGAGCTGAATGCATTGCGTGAAATTGCTAAGAGTACAGATTCTATATGTTGCCTGTTAGAAAGAACCGGAGATGCTAGTATGTATGGCTGCAAGAGAGGCCAAAAGGCAAGGCTCAGTCCTGCTTCACGAGCTGAAGTCTGCCCTCCTCGAGCCCCAAGCGACCCTTGATGATGTCGTAGTAGAGCGTCAAAGCTTGCTGTCGGCTCCAGCTCCAGTGCGACGAGAAGGTGCGGACCTTGCGAGCGTCAAAGCGAGGTTTGATACCATTGGTGTACAATTCACCGTGCTCGGTGGAGATCGCATCAAGCTGAGCCTGCGCTGCTTGAAGTTCACCACGGACGGCAGCAGCTTCGCGACCGCCTGCCTTCCCGTCCTCGCCAAGGTAGCGCTGCAGGATCTGGATCTGACGACGGGCGTGCTCGTGCTCTTGCGCACGCAGCTTGTCGAGCTCTTCGCTGCTGATGGCTGCGCCACCTCCACCGCCTCCACCACCGCCGCTGCCACCCTGGTTGAGACTGATGCCTGCTGTTGAAGCGTACGCTTGTACCAACGAGTCAAGCCATGCTTTGGCTTCAGGCTCTGATCCGAGTCGTTTCGCGGGCTCTTGCGTGATGGCGATAAGAAGGACGCCATCGGTGCGGCTTGGTCCGAGACCCCACGCCTTGTTGAGATGAGACTTGAGACTCGACAGATTGAAACCACCAGGAAGCTTGCTGCCCACGAGGCGGGAGACAAGACCAGAAGTGTACTTTCCTAGAGTGCCACTGTAGCCCATGTTGAGCGCCGCGCCAAGCTCCTCAACAGGAAGCTCCTCACCACGCTCAGGCACGGTAGCAAATTCTTCGATCAAGCTTGAGACAATCTCGTTCTGCATGGTAGACTTGCCGCCGACCATGTCCTTGACGGATTTGCTGGGCGAAATCTCGGCAATGGGCTTCTTGAGCTTCTGCGAGAGGATGGCACGAAGCGTGTCGACGGCCTTGAGAGGTTCGTCGGGCACATTGGCGGCAGTACCTCCAACACTAGAAGGAGCAGCCTGTGCAGGTGTTGGCGCCGGTGCAGGTGCGGCGGCAGATGGCGCGGCCGCCGGAGCGTCGTTAGACGCAGGCGCAACATCTGCTTCGGGCTCAGCATCTGCAAAGGCGTAGTACAACGCTTCCTTGTCCTTGCTGGTGCACAGCATTACTCTTCGCTTTCCTCGCGCTTCATCTGACGACTTGTAGAATGCCTTGTGGGTGCGCTGAGCCATGCCGACAAGAGTCGGGCTTGGTCCAAATTCCACGAAGCGCTCGAAGTTGTATGGCTCGCCAAAGAGCAGTTCCTGCGTCCTGATCCATTGCACGGGACTGTATTTGGGTAGAAGGCATTAGTATGGCAGCTCCGTTGAAAAAGGGAAGGGAATGCTCACCTTGCAAACTGGTAGGCAAGCAGCTCCACCACCAAAGTCGTAGTGAGCCTCTGCTCGCGCTCTGGCGTTCCCCAACCGTCACGGTCCCAGTTCTTGAGAACACGATCCAGACGGGGGGAGTCCGTCTGGTTGAAGATGATCTCGGCATAGCTCTTGCTGAGTTCAAACGGCTTGGCGATCAGGTTCGGGATGTACCGATTGATCAGCAGATTCGGGCTCATCCCTTCCATGTTGATACGCTTGGATAGGTACGACCTGAACGGCGCTACACCACCAGTGAGGTATTGCGAGTGGAATGGCACGTCGATACCTGGCAAAGGAATTGTCGCAAAGCCCCTCTGCAGCTGAATCGGTCCCTTCTTAGCTTCCTCCTGCGCGTTAGAGTAGATCTCGGTCACGATCATCTCGAGCTTTTCCTTGACTTCCTCGATGCTCATGATCTCTTGAAGCCGCTTGAGGTCGATCTTCTGGATTTTGATGTAGTTCAGCACATTGGTCATAGTGAGGAGGGTGATGAGTTCACCAGCGATGACCATTTGCTGCCCAGAGACATTGAAGTTGACTGTCTGGATCAAGCGCCCTGAGACACGACCGATAGTGTCGACGACCTCGCCAAAAGCACCGTCGGAGAAAGAGGGTCCGATCCTCGTCGGGTTGCAGGCCATCATTCCGTAGTCACTGCGGCCTTGCGCATCACGCTTGACAGCGCGTTGCATCGTCAGACCACGGTAGAAGACGACATCAACAAGATCCTTAACCTGCAAAACAGCAGCGACCGCAGCCAGACTTGCGTATTCACCCAACGAATGACCTGCAAATGCTGCATCGCTCTTGATGAGACCCCTCTGCTTCATGTCTTGGAAGGCGCTTAGCTCGACCAAAACCAAGGCGATCTGCGCAAACTGAGTGGCAAAGAGCAGGCCGTTCGGCGAATGGAACGTATAGCTCTGGCTGCTCTTGGTGATTTCGGGGAACAATGGCAAGGTGTTGACGTTGCCATTCTCGTCGGTCGCCTCGTATGCCATGGACATGTAGCGATCGCGAATGCCGTGTCCGCGGACACCTCCAAAGTGAACAGTCTTGGTGAGCGGGTTCTGGTTGACGATTTCAAGGATGCTGAAGCCCATGGTTGAGCGCAGATGGTTGTCTGCTTCGTCCCAGAGCGCCTTCGCGGTCACGGACGAGTTGTACAGATCCTGACCCATACCTTGCTCTTGGCTACCTTGTCCAGTAAAGACATAGACAGTTGGCGGTTGAGCAATTTCAGCTTGGCCATCCAAGACTTTTTCTCCGTGTTGGTTGAACGTCTCGACCTTAACAACCTTGTTTCCTGCGTGCATTGCTGTGTGGCGGAGGCGCACCTCAAGCTTGTCGCCGGGTAGAACCATGCCTGTGAAGTTGGCTTGGAAGCTGAGGCACCTCTCCGGATGGCCCTCTGCAGCGACGTCTTCAACATACTTGCGCGTGGCAGCTGATGAGAACAGCCCGTGTGTGATGGTACCAGGCAAGGATGCAAAGTCGGCAAAGTAAGGGTTGACGTGAATGGGGTTGAAGTCGCCAGAAGTCATCGAGTACGGCTCATTTGTTGCAGGCGCAGCGAATGCAGCCGGGGAGTCTGGAGTGATGAGAGAGTATCCATTCTCGACCGGGACGGGTCCTTGAGAGCTGCCGCCAGCGCGCTTGATGTACTCGACGACAGGGTTGCCGTAGCTTACAGACTCTGCTTCGTAGTCGACCTCACCAACTTGTATCAAGTCATCCTTGTAGTCCTTGACATACACACCGCCAGTGGCCTGTACCGCAGAGAAGGAGATGCTGTCCTTGAAGCGATTGACGCTGTCGACATGGAAATGCAGGGTCGTACCAGGCTGCAAGGGAGTGGGTGCAGTCCAGGAGAACCACTCCTTGGCAAGCAAGACAGCAGCATCTGCCTTCGTCTTGACTTCGAACGAGAACCGATCAGATGAGTTCTCGAAGCAGGTGTCAAAGTCGGTGAAGCGCCTGTTGAAGTCCTTCACGTCAGTACTGCCACCTTTTTGATTGAAAAACGTATCAAAAACTTACCCCCGGAAGAAGAAGCTCGAGACGACTTTAATCACGGGCACCATCTTGTCGGCTTCTTGGCGAAGCACGACACCCTCAACAGCGACGGACTTTCCAGTGTCGGAGATCTTGACGCTCTGCACCGACGCCGTGGCGCTGCAGACATCGCCAACGCGAAGTGGCTTGGAGTCTTGCACGGTCTTGAAAGAATTGTTCAGATGAACCAAGCTGAGCAAGTCTGCATCGCAACTGGCCATGAGTGCTTGCATGATAGCCTCCCAGCCTGCGACGATCGCAAAGTCCATGGGAGCGAAGCCCCCAGATTGGAACGAGGCATTGCTGTTGCCAACGATCTGGCAGAATTTCTTGACTGCAGCAGCATCGAGCGTCTTGGACGGGCTGTGGTGCTCTTTGCGCGCGGTCAACGTTTCGACGGAGGGCATGTCCTGGAAGAACCAGAGCCTGCAGAGGAGGATACGGTTTAGACACAAGTTTAGCAAAGCTGCCACGCTTACATCCTACTCACTTCCAATAGAAACGCTTGATGTTCTCATTGCGTGCTGCCACTTCTTCATGGATCAGAGCATAAGGCCGCTCGGGGTGGTAGTGGAAGACGAAAGGAAGGGGTAGCGCTTCGCCCGACCTGTACTCGAAGAGCTGGACCTCGATCTGGTTCCCGCTACGCTTGACTTCAACAGCCTTGAAACCGGCGTCGGTCTTGCCGTACGAACGATGAGCACCGAAAAGGCAGACCTTGGTTGGTTGGCCTTGAGTGTCCCTCGTGACCTCGACGACCTGGCCGGCGCGCGGAGCGAAGACACGAGCGATCGGGTTGTTTATGTAGTTCTTGCCCTGTACAACGCTGACACTAGTAAGTAGAGCGCGCAACCAGGAGGATTCGGGACCGGCGAGCGCCTCTAGCCATGTCTTGGCATCTGGAACCCGCTGTTCGCCGAGTTTGAAGATGGACGTGTTATCACGCGCAAGGGCTTTGATGCCGTACTGGGCGCACAAGTCAGGCATGTTGACCGATAGTGGTGACTTTCCGAGGTAGTCAACGACGGGGACTTTGCTCTCGTCATTGCCGTAGTACCGCTCGAGAAGCAACTTAACCAGCGTTGACTCTACAGTGCCAAGCATCTCCTTGATGGGTACATTGGCGCGGGTGTTGTGACGAGCTGCGACGGGTCCATGCAAGATAGCGACGCGCTGCGGGTCACGGTCAAAGACCGAGTCAAGGTCTTCGGCGTACGACAAGCTGTCCTTCTTGAAGTAGATGGAGAAGTTCTCGTCGAGGACCGGAATGAAGGGTACTGGCTTCTGCCCTGGACGGTTGCAGATGGCGAGGAAAAATGCAACATCCTCGGCGGAGAGCAGCGTATACTGCGCATCCGAGTACTCGGTCAGGAACTTCCTGACGAGCTGCTCGGGCTGCTTGTCGAGCTCGGTGTACGACTGGATCATCGAGACCTTCTTCCCGGCCGTCTCGATGCCGGCAAAACGCTCTTCAACGCGCCTGAGCCAGTCACCCATGAGGTTGCGCAACGAAGGATCGACCCATCGGTTGCAGCGGGAGATGTAAAGCAGGCGCAGCATGCGACGGATGACCTCCTCGTACGTCATCTCCTCCACGCCCTGGGCTGGCTTGCCGTCGAGGTGTTGCGGGAACCATGGTTTCTGGAAGTCAGCGTTGAGGCGCTCGATGACGTAGTCCTTCTTGTCCGCCAGCCAGGCGAGACGCTTCTCCTTGGGCAAGCTGAAGCAGACTTTGTCGAGTTCGTGCCAGAGCTTGATGCCGCGCGTGGCGATCTTGTGGATCGGCTCACCGAGCTCAGACGTGACGGTGATGACACCGCCGGTCTCTTTGTCAAAGGTGCCTTCCCACTTGGTGTCCTCGACACCCTTGGCCTGCACCATCAGCTCCTTGACTTCGTCGTTCGCATGGCCTTCCTTGGCAGTCATGACCCAGGAGCCGAAGAGAACACCGTCAAAGGGCATAGCCTGGACGCCGTACTCCTTGACGCTCCAGTCTCCGGTGAGGTACGGCCAGAAGTCTTCGGCGCTGCCGAAACCGGAGCCGGCGACGAGAATAATGTTAGAGTACTTGCGGATCATGGCGTACGTCGCCAAGATGGGCTGGTGGAAGTCCTCGCACGAGTGGTGACCACCTGCCCGGCCGCCAGTCCATTGCATAAGAATCGGGTAGTCCGGGTTGCTAGCTGCGATGTTGCACACCTGGCGGATGCCATCGACGCTGCCGGGTTTAAAGCTGATGTGCTCGATGCCAGCACTCTTGAGGCCGTCGATGGCCTCCTTGGCCTTCTCAGCAGAGGGGATGCCGGCTGCGCAGCAGAAGCCTTGCAGCGGCAGGCCTTCCTTGCGCATTTCCTGCCACAGCGGCAGCTGGAAGCCCCACTGGCGCTGGTTGATGTAAAGGCAGTTGAGCGTCAGACCTTGACCTGGCTCGACCTGTCGTTGGATCTCGGCGACCTTGGCACGGAGCGCCTTGGGGTTGTAATGCCCACCGCCGGCCAACTCAATGTGGTAGCCGGCGTTGAGGGTGGCAACGTTGAAGCCGGCCTGGACTGTGCTGGGCGTCATGCCGGGGACCATGATGTTCGGGCGGCCGAGAATCCTGCTCATGGGCGTGTCGATCTGGAGCGCGCCGCTGCGCGTCTTGACGAGCTTGGGCGCGAATGCATCGGCCCAGTTGACCTCGCGCTCGACGTTGGCAAGGCTGTACAGCTCATGGCTGCGCGCATGGCGGCCGGACGGGATCAGCATGCGCACGCCTTTTCCTTCGAGGTTGCGGGCGGTGAGGCCACCGATGCCGGAGAGGCCACCTGTACCAAAGTCGATGCAGTGCGTTACATCGTCCGAAAGAGCGACGACGCGCATCCAGAAGATGTGCTGCGTGAAGATCTGGTCACAGATGGACTTGAGCAGCGCGCGGCCGTCTGGCAGCTTGCTAATGTCGCTAGCGTTCTCGGTGTGCAGGACGCTGACGCTAAGTTCCGCGGGTTCCCATAAGCTTGCACCGCCCGCATAGTCCTTCTCCAGCACGAGGTCGGTGCTGCCAGCAAGGTAGGACGAGTGGTACGGCACGCTGATGGGCAGGAAGCGCGCGTTGAAGACAGGTTTGCGCTTGCTGAACGGGATCCTAGTCTGGTCGACGCCATCATCTGCGCGCACGGTGCGGAGGCTGCTGACGAGGCCGAAGAGAGAACGCGGGAAGCCCGTGACGACAAAGTTGCGCGGGCCGTTGAAGAGCGAGATTTGGACCTTCTTATCTTCGTCAAGGTACGTGTTGGTCTTGCAGATGTACGCCTCGAGCGCGGCCTGCGGCAGGCCGGTCACGCTAAGCATCGGCGTTGGCACACCCTCGCCACCGTCGACGGCGTCGGCGATGAGCGCCGGCTCGAGCGTGACAGATGGGAACGCCTCTTGGCCGCGCTTACCGATGTGGAAGAGGAGGCCGACAGCCTTGACGACGTTGGTGGCGAACTGGTCGTGCGAGCCAGACGCGCTGAGCACGACGGCGGAGATGACGCCCTGGCTGTGCCCGGTGGCGCCACGGATGCGCTCGCGGAACTGGCCCGGAGTGAGGCCGGCGGCGCGGCAAACGACGAGGTATTGTAGGAGCTGCGTCAGGCCGATCAGCGGCAGACTCAACGGGCTGCTGGCGAGGTACGCGACAGGCGGGCGTGGGACGCTGCCCGTCAGCCAGCCGTGCACGTCGAGGCCGTGCGTGTAGAAGGGGGCGAAGCCCTGGGCGGTCGCTTCATCAGCGAGCGCTTGCAGCACCTTGGTTGCCGCGCGGACCGTCGCGCTGAGCAGCGGCCTGTACACATTGAAAAGGGCTTGCAACTCGTCAAAGTACACCTGCAGAAGTGGCATGAGTTATGAGACGTGTCAGTGTATCACGCTAGAGCGGTTCCATTGCTTCCAGCAGTGCATGTACGTACCTCGTTGCTGCCTTGGCCTCCAAAGATGCCAAAAACGGTAGCCTGGCCCTGTTCGGCGAGGGTGAAAAGCTTGGGAGTCGGCAAAACGGGCGTGGGGACGTCCTTGTCACCGGAGACTGCGACTTTCTCGAGCAGCGCAAACGCCTCAAAGTAGGCACGGACGACCGTGTCGCGCGATTCGGCGTCGAACTTGCTGGCGAGAGTGTGGATCTCTTGGACCTGTGCGTTGCGCTTGAGCTGCGCGGCGAGCGGGTCGTCCGACTCGCTTGTTGGCGTCGACTCAGAGCTGTTGCTGACGCTGCTCGCGAGTGAGCCGATCAGGCTCTGCGAAGAGCGATCGTTGACCGCTGCAGAGCCGGGGACGATGCAGTGGAGAAACTGGGCATTGAAAAAGGCCCAGGTGCTCTGGAGCACGCCGAGGTCGTGCTTGCTGACGGCGATCGAGTGGGCGCTGCTCCTGGCGCTCCCGGTGCGTGCCTTGTCGCATACGTACTGCATGAACTGGGCGGTGAGTAGAATCTGCGCCTCGCGATCCTTAATGCGGCGCTGCTCCTTGATGGTGATTGCGTCTTGACCGTTCGAGCCGTCGTCGTTGCCGACTTGGTCATCTGTGCCCTCGCCGGCATCATCGACGGCGGCGGCTTCGCCCTCGCCAGCAGGGGTAGAGCTGGAGAGCTGGCGCAGGAAGTCGTCGCGCAGGGCATCGGCTGCGATCCACGCTTCGTATGGCGACGCGGGGACGGGAATGCGGACGTAGGTGCGCTTCCCGGCATGCAAGGTGAGCGAGCGGAAGGATGCGGCGGAGGAACTTGCCGAAGCGGACATGGTGTGTGTAGTGGGAGTCGAGACTTGCACGAAGCTGTCCTCTGACTCGGTGCGGTTGTTGGACGAGTTGTTGCTGCCAGGCATGGCGGCCTCGTTTCTAGGAGGGTGAGCGGGTCGCTCCTGGACGCGGTATTGGTCTATGCGTGCGTCCTTTGCCCAATGCCACCAAGGGTGAGGTAGAATCCGAAGCCTGGCTCTCTCTCTGGAAGGACAGGCGGGATGGTGCTGATCGGTGGAGGGACGGACACGAGAGATGGAAGGCAAGAGGATTCTTTGAGGGTGGTCCCTGTATAAAGGTGTGATATATCTGACGCACTCCCTCAGCTGTGGAGTTTGCGGTCGGGAGTGTGGGAGTGAGCTGCGTGCAAAAAAGGGTCACTCGCAAGCGCGTTCACAATGTCCACGACGAACTGAGCGCCTGGCAACCAACCGAAACGCACGGCGTTCAATGGATTTATCGAACCCAGCTGCTGCTCCTGTTTTGCGGTTATGGATGGGGTGGGCTGCACCAGAATTGACGTACCTTCCTTCTTCGGTCTGCAGCACAAGCTCCACTGTAACCCGCGAATTCGCACTGTCTACCACCGCGAGCCAATGTTCCCATCCATGGGGTGCAGTGTGTGCACGGGCCCACCCGGCTGGTAAGAAAAAGGAACTGAGAGTGTCTGAGAAAACCTTGGGGTTTGGGCCACGAGGGCTTTTCTTTTGTGCTTGATTGCCCGAATGGGGGAGCGGAACGCTCTCAACAAAGGCACACTCTATACTCTGCGGTACCGCGGCCCAGCTGGAAGAAAAAATCGTCGGTGCGGGCTGCGCTTAGCGGCATTAGAGCAGTGTTCAAGATAAGATAACTACTTGTCGTCCTCGGCTCGGCGCATCGATCGCTCTTCGCCCGCGCGAAAATTGTGTTGGGCCACAAACTCCCCAAGTGGTTCATGCACACTCTACACTCTGCTTTTCTCTCGCGCACACGCCCGAATCTTTTCACTGTGTACATACAGGCACGCGCAAGGGCCCCAGCCGGGTCATACACAAGTCCACAGCCAGTTCCAAACGCAGCAAGGGGGCAAGCCAGTTTCATTGCAGTCTGGAGACGTTGCCTCTTTCGTTCACGCCCGGGTTGGATGAAGGGAGTCTGTGGGTGTGCGGGAGAGAGAGAGCCTGTGCGCTTTTGCCATTGATTCCATCCATTCCTCTCATCTTTCTTTCTTGTGCGCATGGGCCTTCCTTTCCACTTCTCCCAGACCGAACGCTGCACTTCCCATCCTCCCCGGAGTTTCCTGATGGCAGTCCGCTCTGGGTTCGCACTTTCGCCCTCGTCGTATCGCACCAGCCGCTGCTGCTTGGGACTGAAGTCTCTGCTGGGATAGAACCGAGCAGACAGATAGACAGACACCCTGGCTTCTCATATACAAGCTACTATTCCTCCCATCACCATCTGCGAGCCCGCTGTTCGTCTTTCCATCCTCTGACCCTTGTCCTCGTCGCTGCTGCCGCTGCTGAACGTACACTTTAACCAGCACCAGCGCGGTACACCCGCGTGCACTCCACCCGGCCCCACCCTCGACGCTGTACCTCACAGCACTCGGCGCGATAGGAAGCGGGCTCCCCGGGAAACCCACATCGCACGCTCCCACACCAGGCGTAGAGCCGACAGCAGCGTCGCCATGTCCGCATCAACCAGCTCCGCATGGAGCGATGGCCCCTCTTCGGCGCTCTCGCGCGAGCTTACAGCCAAATGCATCTCCATCATCAACCGCGCTGACCCGGATCTCGTGCGCTTCATGAAGGCGCAACTCGCCAAGGTCAACCCAGAGCAGGGTCCCACGTACGCGCTGCTCGACCACTTTGGCGCCGAGCTCGTTGCCAACTGCGAGGAGGCCATCGGGACCCCGCCCGTCTGGAAGGAGGTCCACGCGCCGACGGCACCGACGACTGAGATCGACAGCAAGGGTAACATCGTCTACCACGAGGCCAAGCGCGAGGGCGTTCGCAAGCTCGAAGCCTACGTCAAGGAGATGGCCGCCGGCACGCGCGGCAGTAACGCCTCGGCGCTCGCGCAGGTCAACGTCGAGCGCGCGCAGGAGAACATCGCCAAGCTCTGGACGCTCATCCGCAACGAGCCCTCAGTCAGCAAGCTGGGAAAGGCCACCATCAAGTCGCTTTACAGCGAAGTCGTCCGTTCCCTCGGGCAGTCCGGCTCCGCCACCGGCGCCGCCGGCAGCTCCGCAGCGGCTGCCAAGAAGCCCCTCTCGGCGCGCAGGGAAAGCGGCAGCCGCACGTCCATCGTCAGCGGCATGACCGCTGCGCCGGAGTTCTCCATCCCAGACGACAGGCAGCCGTTCCTCAACATTCAACGCAAGGTCGCCGGCAGGTGGCAGAGCAGCGCCAAGCTTACCAGTGTCTACTTCAGCTTACTCGGCGAGATGGCCAAAGAGGGTCTCACTTTCGAGAACAAGAATGCTCTGGTGAGTGCTTCTCCCAAGATCTTCATCGGCAATGATCTTCGACTGACAGATTGCTCCTCCGACGGCATGCACAGCTCACTGGTGTCGGGAAAGGCTCAATCGGTCTCGAGATGGTTAAGGGTCTCCTCGCAGGCGGCGCACGCGTGATCATCACCACTTCATCCTACTCGCGCAAGACATGCGAGTTCTACCAGAACATCTACCAGGAGGTCGGCTCCCGCGGCTCGTCGCTCACCATCCTGCCGTTCAACGGCGCGTCGAAAGCCGACGTGCAGAGCCTCGCGGACTACATCTACGACACGATGAACATCGACCTCGACCACGTCTACGCCGGCGCCGCCATCTCGGAGCAAGGCATGCCGATCGACCAGATCGGTGACAAGAGCGAGCTGGCACACCGCCTGATGCTCACCAACGTCATCCGCCTACTCGGTGCCATCAAGGCCAAGAAGGAGCAAAAGCACTTCAATTCGCGCCCTACGACTATCATCCTCCCGCTGTCGCCCAACCACGGCATCTTTGGCGGCGACGGCCTCTACTCTGAGTCCAAGATCGGCCTCGAAACGCTCGCCAACCGCTGGTCCTCCGAGGGCTGGTCCGATTACTTGTCCATTACCGGCGCGTGCATCGGTTGGGTTCGTGGAACAGGTCTCATGGAACAGTCTAACATCGTAGCGCAGTCACTCGAGAAGATGGGCATGCGCACGTTCAGCAGCATCGAGATGGCCTTCAACCTGCTCGGCCTGCTGCACCCGGTCTTTTCCTCCGTCGCACAGGTCGAGCCAGTCCTCGCGGACCTCGGCGGCGGATTCGACCGCATCCCGGACCTGGCAGCCAAGACGGCATCGCTGCGACAGGGCCTGCAGGAGGAGGCGATGCGCAAGCGCGCCATCAACCTCGACGCCTCGGCCGACTTCAAGGTGATCAAGGGTGCCGCGGCTGAGGCCCTGCACCAAAAGGTGTATGTACAGCCGCGTGCCAACTTCCGCTTTGCGCAGCCCGGTATCCTCGGGTCATACAAGGACCTACGCTCCATCGCCAAGCTTGATGCGCCGATCGATTTGGACAAGGTCGTCGTCTGCACCGGCTTTGCCGAGGTCGGACCTTGGGGCTCCGCTCGCACGCGCTGGGAAATGGAGGCGCGCGGCGAGTTTACCATCGAGGGCACGATCGAGATGGCCTGGATCATGGGCTTCATCAAGCACCACAATGGCCCCCTCAAGAACGGCGCCAAGTCCTACGTCGGTTGGGTCGATGCCAAGAGCGGCGAGCCGGTCGAGGACAAGGACATTAAGGCCAAGTATGAGAAGGAGATCACTGAGCATGCCGGCGTACGCCTGATTGAGCCCGAGCTCTTTGGCGGTTACGACCCCAAGAAGAAGGGCTTCATGCAGGAGATCGAACTCAACCACGATCTGGAACCGATCGAGGTCTCTGCAGAGGAGGCGGCCAAGTTCAAGCGCGAGCACGGCGACAAGGTCGACGCGTGGGAGGACGCAGCGGCGGGCGCTTGGTTCGTCATGTTCAAGAAGGGCGCGCGCATCCTGGTCCCCAAGGCCATCGCGTTCAGCCGCCTCGTCGCCGGCCAGATCCCGACCGGCTGGAGCGGCAAGCGGTACGGCATCCCCGAGGACATCGTCGCCAACGTCGACCGCACGACGCTCTGGGCACTCGTCTGCACCGCCGAGGCGCTCGTCATGTCCGGTCTCGGAGGCAGCGCGTACGAGCTGTACAAGTACGTCCACCCTTCGCACGTCGGCACCTCTCTCGGTTCCGGCATGGGCGGCCAGTCGTCCATGCACAAGATGTTCATCGATCGCGTCAAGGAGCTCGAGGTGAGCCAGGATATCCTGCAGGAGACGTTCATCAACACCGTCGCCGGCTGGTGCAACCTGCTGCTCCTGTCCTCGTCCGGTCCCGTCAAGATCCCCGTCGGCGCATGCGCAACCGGTCTGCAGAGTATCGAGATCGCCTCCGAGACCATCTTGGCCGGCAAAGCGAAGGTGATGATCGCCGGCGGTTTCGACGACCTGTCAGAGGAGGGCTCGTATGAATTTGCCAACATGAAGGCCACCTCGAACGCTATCGACGAGCTCGCTGCCGGCCGCGAGCCCTCTGAGATGTCACGTCCGACGACGCGCAGCAGGAGCGGCTTCATGGAGTCGCAAGGCTGTGGTGTGCAGATCCTCATGAGCGCGCGCCAGGCCATCGAAATGGGCTGCCCGATCCAAGGTGTCGTTGCGTACTCCAGCACTCACACCGACAAACAAGGTCGCTCCATCCCTGCACCCGGCCACGGTGTCATGTCTGCCGCTGCACCGCTCCAGAAAGCTCTAGCCGGATGGGGTCTCACCGCGGACGATATCGGTGTCATCAGCATGCACGGTACCAGTACGGTTGCCAACGACAAGAACGAGTCGCACGTCTACCAGCGTGAGTTGCGAATGCAAGAACGGTCTGGCTGCTGACCTTCTGTGCTTCAAGCTTACTAATTTTCTTTTCCTGCGCCTGCGTCCGCAGAGATGTTCGAGAAGATGGGCCGCACGCCTGGTCTTGCCGTCCCCGTCATGGCTCAGAAGTGGATCTGCGGTCACGCCAAGGGAGGTGCGGCTGCATGGGCGCTGAACGGCGTGATGCAAAGCGTGCTGAGCTCCGTCGTGGCAGGCAACCGCAACGCCGATGATATTTCACCCGAGCTGCAAAAGTACACGTACTTGCTCTACAACTCGCACAGCATCCAGCGCACGCCGCAGGATTTGAACGCAGCACTCGTGACCTCATTCGGTTTCGGTCAGGTGGGCGGTGTCATTCTCGTACTGCACCCTGGCCATCTCCTGGGCCGCTTGAGTCCGGAGGAGCACGAGAAGTACGAAAAGATGCGCAAGTACCGCCAGGGAAGGACCTACGCACGCATGCACAGCGCGCTCACCAAGGAAGACCTGGTGCGCGTCGAGAGCGCTCCGCCATACCCTGCCGATCTGGAGGACGAGGTGCTGCTGAACCTCAACGCGCGCGCTTCCGACCTGCCCGGTGGTACGTACGGTTTCAAGAAGCCGCTGGCTGCCCCGCCTGCCGATGCGATCATCCCCGACTTTAATAAGGCGCCAGAGGCGGTCCAACAGGAGGCCAACTTGTCAAATATGATGCAAGGTATTCAAGGTGTCGGTATCGACGTTGAAAAGGTGTCGACCTTCCCATCGGATAACGAAGCATTCCTTCAGAGAAAGTGAGTTAAAACACTTTCCCATTCTCCGCTGCCTGCGCACCTACTGATTGCTTCCCTTTGCGCTCATCTTTAAGCTTTACGCAAGCCGAAATCGACTACTGTCGCGCTCAGCCGGACCCACGTGCTTCTTTCTGCGGCCGCTTCTGCGCTGCCGAAGCCGTATTCAAGGCAATGGGCGTCCCGTCCAAGGGTGCGGCGGCGTCGATGAAGGAGATCGAGATCGTCTCGACGCCGGAAGGCCCCCAGGTCAAGTTGCACGGCGAGGCGGCCAAGGCCGCGCCCGGCTTCAAGTTTGCAATCAGCTTGTCGCACTCAGAGGACTCAGCCGTTGCCATCGCTCACAAGCTGCCTGCATGATCATGTTGATCGTTAAGGCTGTCGTTGCATCGTCTCATTCGTCACCAGCGTCAGTCGCAGGCGTCCGCCGCTTAGGCAGTACGTTCGGGTTTTCGGTCCATGCCACATTTTTCTTTTCGTTTGAGCAGCACAAATGTATCAGTTCACATACTTCGCAATTCAATAGAGTACGGCATCCCAAGGGCGTGAATAGAGGCTAGGATCATCGCGCCCACAAGCTTGGCGTCAATTCGCCAACGACGGCGCCGCGTAAACTTGCTCGCTGGTGCATAATAGCCACCTGTTAGCGCAGTCGCTGTATAGCAGAGGAGGACTTTAAGGTCCTGCGTGAGCTCAGTCAGCAAACTCCCGCAGACCGAACTTCATTTGCGCGCCAACGTGACAAGTGTGTAGCGCTCGATCTGGTACCTCAACCAAGCCGGCTCGCAGCATTCAAATGGGCGAGGTTCGACCGTCCGAGTGATGCGCTGATACAACCACCACTGGCAAGGAGGTAAACGCTGTGAATGTGAGGGAGCTGTTGAAGTAGTCAACAAGGTCAACGGGCCCCAGCTTGACTTCTCATCCAGGTTTCATTCAACCCTTTTCGGGTACACTTCCCAGGCCCCACGACTCGGAACGCGGGCAGCATGTGACGGTCATTGCCAGCTGCGTCTGCCTTCCGTATATTTAATTGTAGCGAGAAGGACTCTGACTCATCACTTCTGCTGAAACGACCGAAGAGCATTTAGATTTGCGCGTCAAAGCATTCATAGTGTTCCAGGCTGGCACAGCTGGCAGGAAGAGGTGTGCACGAATAAAGCATCGCAGTATTACGCACTCCGGGTTCTGGGCGCGGAGGGCAGAACTGCATACAAACAAAAAGGCAGGCAAACACCCCAGCCAGGGCGGAATTCACTTTCTTCTGTGCTGACGGCGATTTCATCAGATCGACTCCAACGCGCTCCTCGACATCAACCTCTTTCCCTCTCCTTCATCACAATTGGAGCTTAGCTTTGGGGAAAACACGCAGGGCTGCTCGGCCATCGTGCAAAACAGCCATGATTCGCGGTGCAACATGTCTTGCGTCGACGTCCGCGTCCATTGTTCTTGCGTCAGACCTCGCCAGCACGTAAGTATGCAGACTCGAACCTCAGTCTTCCCGCTCGTATCTCGTTCCTTTCTTCGGACGGAGGGGCTTGCGTTTGGGGTCCTGGTGCTGACACATTACTACATCTCGCTCATGGCCGCAGCTCAAGATTATCTCTGCGAAGCATTTCAGCAGAAGCTTACCGGCTGCGACCGCGAAGGACACCATGGGCAGTGGCGTCCGCACCGCCCTGCCGATCCCTCTTGACTCACACGACAGTACTGCACCAGCATGCTCAACTCTCCGAAAAGCAGTCGCAAGGACCTGACCAACTGCCTTATCCCCCTCCCGCCTCCTCCTTGGCTAAGCGGCGAAAAGTCGCTGTTACGCCTACACTTGCGAAGCCTGGTCCAACACGCGATGTCATCAACGAATCAGAGCAGCAGCAGCTCGCACAATCCCAAGAGGTGCAGCCGCCAGCATTTCAAGCCGACGGCAAGAACACCACAGTAATCAGCAAGCAGGACTCGAAGCCTGTCTCGGTGGTGCTTTCGAGCGGCGCTCCGCTTCTGCCAGATCAGCAGCCACCAACCTCGTTGCGGGCAAGGTTGAAGGGCTTGTGGCAGATGGCTAAGCAGCTGTTCCGCTTCTACTTTCAAGGGCTCAAGCAAATATGGAAGAATCGTAACGAGGTCGTCGAGCTCAAGCGGCGCGTCCGACAGGAGGGATATGTGTTGAACCGCGCGGATAGGATTTTGATGTATGATGACTCGCAGGCTCTCGCTTCTTTCCATCCCTGCCGGCGCTGATTTCCCCCTCTTACGTCTCTTTCCGGGAACTTTGCAGTCGAACGCACTCGTCTGACATGCGCAAGCTGCCACTCTTTGCGGCAATCCTGATCATCCTCGAGGAGATCCTCCCGATCGTGGTGATCTACATGCCGAGCCTACTTCCCTCCACCTGCGTTCTGCCCTCCCAGCTCGAGTCGATCTACTCGAGCGCCGAGCTGACCAAGCACCGCGTCGTCGGAGAGCTGCGCGACGCGACGAGCGAAGTCCAGCCGATCCTCGCTGCAGCCGCGGCCGAGGGCACGGACGTCAAAGTTGGCGCGCTTAACCAGCTCAGCCGGCCGACGCTCGTCAAGCTTGCGACGCTCTTTGGCCTCTCCACCTCGCTGGCTCCGGCGGGCATCTTGCGCAGCCGCCTCGAGGCGCACCTTAGGTACCTGCGCGAAGACGACGAGCTCATGGCGCAGGGCCAGGGTTTCAATGCTGTCCCGCAGGACAAGATCGGGCTCGTCAAAGCCTGCGAAGAACGTGGGCTGCGCGCTATCGGCCTGTCTAATGCATCGCAGTTTGCAGGTGAGTCAAGAGGAGGCACGCTGACCAGACTTGTGGACGTGGACGTCAGGCTCAAACCTCCGCCTGGCACCCTTTGTTCTCGCAGCTCTTCAACGCTGGGTGGAACGCAGCACCGGCTCCCCCTCTCCGTCCACGACTCCTTCCACCGCAGACAGCGGTGCGCACTTGCTCTTCCTCCCGCTCGCGCTCTACGCCGACGAGGGTATCGCCGAGCTCCGGCTCAAGGCAGAGGCCGACGCGCAGAAGGGCATTATCAAGCGCACGATGGAGGTCATGAGCTCGGTCATGCAGGAGGACAGCGTGGCGCAGGAGCAGAAGAACAAGCTTGGGCAGGAAGCAGAGGGCAAGGGAGCGGGAGCCGCCGCCTCTTTTGCCGGTCGGCGAGAAGGGAAAGGGCAGACGGAAGCGAAGGGCCATTAATGCATCGCATTTGTTTGGGGTTTGGGATAGACTGACAGGACAATGCATCGTGGAGCGACACGCTAGCTCACCCGCAAGTGTGTGCATCGCACTACCTATGGATCACAGGCTGCCGCTGAGCTCCGCTCAGAACAGACTTGTTTCTGGAGTAGATGAGCGTGGAAGTGTCTTTACGAGCTTGCACCTGCTTTCCTCTGGCGCTCCTGTGTCTTTCTGGCAGTTTTGTTAAGCTAAAGAAAGCCCTGAGGCGTGGGGCATATTAGGCGCGGCGCTTGGTCCAATCAGACACTTTTGGAAAGCCCATGTCGAAGCTCAGTGCAATTATAAGGGTTAACAAGCGGTGCCGGACAGATGCGTACATACTTGAGGGGGTGTAAAGGACATAGCACTGATAAGACCAGTCTGTGGGAGCATGGCAAATGATCGTGTGATGTGGAGATGTCGGACCAGACACCCAGGAGGAAGCACGGCCTAGCAGAAAAGGTCCTGGATTAGATCCGGACCACATTCGTGCAGGCCGCTGACCCATTTTGCAGGCGCGGGTGCCGACCACAGGTCATCGCTGACAGACGCCCGTGCTGTGCACGAGATGGCGTAGGCGCCAAAAAGGCAAAAGTCCACATGGGTCGAATGAGGTATGCCTGCGAGTCCTCTGGGCCCTTGCTTTGCAGCAGCATCACTTCCGTCCTCCGCCAGGGCAGGCTCAGTCTCGAGCATGGCCTCGACGGGTCTAAGGAACGAATTAAATTGCTGGATGTGGGTCTTCTTGTCTTCGCCGTGTGTACTCCAGACTTTGGCGGGTGTCGCGGTACCGATCTTTCTGTGTTCAAGGTATTCTTTAGAGTCGGCATGATGAGCTGCGTAGACACCTGATATGAAGAGTGAAGCGCTGTGTGGAATCAAATTGGCAATGTAGCCATTGACGAATGCTGCGATATTGCTACCAGCAGATATGCCAAAATAGTTGAGATGGGCCTGGGATGATTGGCTTCGACTTACTATGAACATGCAAGGGCGATCAGCTGGGTCAGTCCAATTTGAGAGGCACTTCTGAATGTGTCAAGGACCTCGGCGAACTTCCAGCGGTCCGTAGGAGGACTTCACTCGGAGAGTTCCAGCGTCGGTACAGTGAAATTCTTCGCGACTTTATGCGCGGACCCTTTCCTGATCTGCACAAACGTCAGTCCTTGCCGTTCATATCTGGCATTCAGGAGCTTGAGATCGAGCACAGAATTGGTTGTATGGGGAGAGAAGTGCTTGTTACTTCCTTTGGAGACTGACAGATCAAAGAGGATCAGACCAGAGGTGTTGCGGTGCAGCGCCGCTGCGTTGCCTTTGGAGCGCATTCTGGCGTAGAGGAGATGGCGCTCAGGTCTTGTAGGAAAGGATGCTTCAAGACATTCAAGCTTCAGTGTGGATGACGGATCGCTCTTCTCAATGGCTTCCGAAAGCGACGTGAGCAAGATCTTGTTGGGAGGTTGATGCTTGCACTCCTGACGCCTGACTCTCTCGCGGTGCAGCACGAGCTACGCCTTGTCTGTCACCAGCCAGCTGAGTGTTGCACGTGTGACTTTTGAGTGCTGCCCATCAGCCTGCATCAGCTCCATGTCCTGGGTAGTAGCCATGATATTACAGTTACGTTGGTGGCTTGCGCGCGCAACGCGGCAGAACGACGCTGAGCCGAGACGGGATCCGGCACGTAAAGCTGTACTCTCAGGTAAGCTTGAGTCGCAAGAGAGGTCGGCCGAACACGTTTTACAATATATCCGGATCGAGCCGGCTTTGGTCGCTGGCCGCTGGTTGTTTTAGTAATACTTCGTCCCGCCCGAAGGCTGCTGACCATTACCAACATTACACTTGATGCTTCTGCAAACAAGTGCGCGACCAGGAGTACGCAAAGAAAGCAGGCGCAAGGCATATCAGCATTAGCACGACCTGCCAAGATGAGGTCCATCCGCGCTGTCGGTCTCTCCCGATCCGTCCTCTGCGCCAGCGGCAGCAGCATCCCCGCCTCGCTTGCCATCGCACGCGCCTCGCCTCTGCTCGCCCGGCATGCGCTTACCGCGCCGCACTTGCAACTGCAACAGCAGGCGAGGGGCATCGTCAATGCCCCCAAGGTGCCCATGACGAGCGTCAACTTCGATCAGGAGCTCAAGATGCTCAACGAACAGCGCAGCGCCCGGCCAATCAGTCCGCATATGACTATCTACCAGCCGCAGTTGACGTGGTACGGCAGTATCTTTAACAGAATCACAGGCGCCGGCCTCAGTGTTGGTGAGTGGGGTAGCGCGGCACCTTTGCTGCTCAGTGCATGGACCAAGGATCCGGGCCCCCGCCCACTTTACAACAGATATCTAATACACTTCCCTTCTAATGTATGCTCGCAGGCCTGTACGGCTTTGCTTTGGCGTATGCTGCCGCTCCGCTCATTGGCGCGACTAACGTCCTGTCCTCAGCGTACCTCACCGGCTTTGTCGCTGGCTTGCCGTTCTGGCTCAAGCTGACGCTCAAGGCACCACTCGCCCTGGCTGCGTCGTTCCACACCTTCAATGGCTTCAGGCACTTGGGCTGGGATTGGGGGTACTGTGAGTCATACTCCCCGCTCCGGTCCGCCCAGCTTATGCGTGCATGCAGTGTTTTTTGAACTCACATCCATCATCGTCTCCGCATCCTCACTCACAGTCCTCAGCCTCAAGGGTGCCTACACTTCTGGCTACATCGTCATTGGCCTGACAGCTCTCAGCACTGTGGGTCTCTGCATGCTCTAATCGCGTGCACTCGCCAACTACTGTCAGAGACTGTCCGTCCAGGGGCAAGGATGAGCATCTGGTGACTGTGATTGTACGCAAAGGAAACCAGAGGGCGAAGCTTTGCGATCTTATACCAGTCATTACGTTTGGGTTACGCTCTGCCTCGTGGTTCCCTCTGTTGTACGTGAGCGCATCATTCATGTCATTGTCTGCCGAATGTGGCAATGCACGCATGGCATGCGCACTCTCACACAACCCGCTAGCTCTCTTCGAAAGAGTGTGTTCCCGTACCTCCGCGCGCCCTCAGGAAGGAAAGCGGTGGGCACAATTGCGCTGTGCGTAGGTCCTGCTTGCTCAACCTTGCAGAAAGCGGTGTGCGGTTGCCAGCAGGCAAAGAGCATTCAGGAGCACAATAACTCGTGGGGCCGTTGTTTATGCGTGCTCACCGGAGACTCACGCGAGGTGCAGCGCCATTGATCGAGCGCCCAGCCAGGCGGAGCGATGTGCTAATGGTTGCCTGCGGATACTATGAGGACGACCTGGAAAGTCGAATGGGGCCGAAGGATGGGAGCTGTTGATATGCTACAGTGTACCGGGAAGCCTGTGTGGATGATGAGTACGAAGTTGTCTTTGACTCTTGGTCATATGCCTTGCTCCTTGAGGCGCAGTGCTCGCGCTGGTGCTTCCACCTATCAAGAGTCGTCAGAAACTTTTGCGATCAGCAACGGAGATGGCAATCGACATCCTCAGCCTGCGGATGCCCTCACCTTGCGAATGAGCTCCGCAACACCCATTTGACTCTCTACACCTGGCCTGATCTCCTGGCTCTTCTTGTCGCTGTACACGACGTGAACGCCGACCTCCTCCTCCTTCTGCACCATGTTCACGCTCACTTCCGGCAGCTTTGCCAGGCCGATCTCGGCGGCCTTTTTCGGTGGTGGCAAGCTCGAAGGGATTCGTGAAAGTAAGAGGCGCACCGAGCGCGCGCCCGGCGACGATACGAGTGGCGAGAGGGAGAAGGTGAGCGAGGTGATGTGCTTCAACGACGCCAGTGGCAACGATGAGGTGGACATGGCTGTGTGTGCGCAATGCGGTGCACTCTCACTGCTGCTGCGGTTGCGGATCGCTATGGTTCGTTCGCCAGGAAGGCGGTTGCAACTTGAGAGGCTGCTGCAGCTGCACTTGTCGTGAGTGTCGCTGACACGGCCTGTAGACGAGCTCCAAGTGCTCGATGCTCGACTTGGCCCTGCAATGCGGCGACGTGCTTTGTCGGAAGAATGGGCAACTGGAAAGGGCGCAAGTGACATTAAGTCTCAACAAACCACGTGACAGTTGAAAGCATGGGTTCCGAGTCCCGCTTGCTTATGTATGGTCTACCCCATCGTAGTCGGCTAACGGACCCATCAAGGCGTTGGTTTGCCTGTCCGCGTCGGCAGCTGCACTTCTGGCGTGGTCTGCGGCGACACGGCAGGTGGGCCGGTGCAGTGCTCATTTTGCTGTTCCAACATTGTTGGTAACCCTACAATGCACAGTATGCCGATTTGGCTGGTTGTCCGCAGGCAATCTGGCACGCCTCGACGTCAGTCCGCATCTTGGGATCGTTCGCAGGCCTGGCGTGGAGATAAAGTGGGAATTGTGTAGAAGCGGACAGCTGAGCGAACACATCATTGCCGCCGTAGGCTAGCTTCCGGATGCGGGCCGCCATCAACCGCACTTCGACGACGGGTTGGGAACTTGGATGATGATGGAGCAGCGAGTAAGAACTGGGCGATGTGTCTTTGATGATCGGTCAGGGCCTGGGTTTGGATGCACCACAGTCATCCGCCAGCGACGATGCACGTGGCACGGCGCGGGGGGAGGGGCGACATTCATGCTGGCGCGCCGCTGCTATTGCTTCTGCTGAGCAATCCTTCATGACCCCAGACATACGGACGAGAAGCCCCCCTTTTTGCGGAGAGGAGACGACCCAAACAGGAGTTTGAATGCAAACGAGATGCCGGTCTCCTCCCTGGCTCGACTTGCTGATGGCAGGCAAGAACGCAGACCGGAGGAAAGTCAGTGTGACTGGCCCGTGGGAAGTGCAAATGACTGTGGCCCGTCGCATCCCATACACAGCGACCGCAGCTGATCTAACCTCAACGATGACTAACGCATCAGTCCCCTTCCCTACAGCCCACGCAGTGCGCCTAAAGAGAGGCCATTGCACTGGATACTATCCTGCTGCTGACATGTTTTTGCGCCATATGACATGGCGGGGTGCGTGCGTTTCTCACACTGGCCATCTACTGCTATGGAGCTTATGCGCCTGAAGACGTGTCCGGCAACCGTGCATCACACCATCATTACACTCCGTTCTATGGACACTGCTAGCCGGACCGTCATTCGCACCTGCACTCCATCCCCAGGAAGCGAGCATACGTTCCCATCTCAGCGCCTCGTTGGATGCTCACTATCACTCGGCGCTCTGCAAGGACATGCTGAGCAGCCGTCCCCATACGCCCGCCATGGCAAGCGCGCCACCCTCGCCCGCTTCGAGCACTGGCGGCACTCACACCAGCGACTCGCCGCGGCCAGCAACGAATGCAGGGCTCTCGCGTCGCCGCAGCCACCGCTCGCGCGCCAGCGAGCTGATTCGGTCGTTCATGTCGAGGCATGACAACACCCACGGTGCGAGCGGCGCCTCCCACGATGACGATTACTATGATGATGATGATGATGATGCTGCTGCTGCAACACTTCAGAGAGTAGCGGCACGGTCCGCGTCGTCGACAAGCTCCAGTCTTCTCTTGCACTCTTCAAGCCATGTCAGCCAGGGCAGCAGTATCAACAGCAGGTCATCTTCAAGCGTCTGCAGTCCGTCGGAAGGCTCTCCCGTCCGCAATGCTCCTTGCACTTCACCTGGGCAGGGGTCCGCTCTGTCGCCATTGCAAGGGTCTGCCTCGGGCTCCCAAGAGAGCCTTCGCTCCCAAAGTGCCAAGTTTATGCCTGCCAAAGATACCTGGTACGCACTGCTTGGTCTGTCGTACGAGCTAAAGACCATACCGCGCCAACCAGTCGCGCCAGAGGCCGTGTCGCCACCCACCGTCCCCGGTGCACGGACTCAACGCCCCAAGTCCTTGACGATGACGAGGACCATTGGGAACCAGCAGACATTGCCACCCTTGTTTGAGATCCCTTCGCCGACGCACGCAAACCCCCAGAGCAAGGGCAAAGCTAATGCTCAAATCCCCTCTCCAGACGCGGAGGAAATGCTTAATATCCCCAGCAGCATCTCCGAGGCGTCTTCGTCAGCATCGGCAGCATCTGGAGCTACGGTCCGGTTCTCGGATCAAAGCCGCACGCCCTTGTTCTCTACCTCGCATATGTCAGCAGGAGCATGCTTGACGCCCAAGGCTTCGACGTACCAGCTCGCTATAGACGAACGAGAAGAACAAGAAGATTCCATCGAACCGGCTACACTGACCTCGTTAAGCATGCTGGCAAATGGGTCCCAGGGAAGCGTGCCTAACGCAAGTGCATATGCCAGAGAGACGCTTCCTGCGCAGGCGCATACTGCCACGCCAGCTTCGCGTGAAAACAGCAGCTCACACGGAGGCTGGGGCAGCGGCAGCGGCGCAATGTCTGCAACGACCAGCAACGAGACCATCTACGCTCGCTGCGGCAGCAACGGTAGTGGGAACTGCTCGCACACGTCTGCCATCGTCAGTGTGCGCTCGCCCACGCACTCGCAGCACGGCGTCGGGGCCCGTTTGTTCCGCCGCTCTCCCGCGGTCATCACCTCTCTCCCAGCCGACTTTGTACCCCTCGGCGTGATCCGGCGCGGCAGCATATCCAGCGACGTCGCGGCGGGACCACGAGTTGGCGGTGGCGCGACGCGCAGGCGCGCAAGCACTGGTACGTGCCGTTGCGGGCGCGTCATGCGCTCCGTCACGTATCTCGTCAGCTCCAGCGCCTCCGGAGGGAGGAGGATGAGTGCTTTCCCTCGCTGCGAGCGCTGCGTCTCAGCTGTTGTTGGCGCCGCCGCCGCTGCTGCTGCTGTTGCGTCTATGAGGAGCGAGAGCGGCAGTGCCAAAGGCAGCAGAAATGGCTCTGCAGGCGTAGCTGTAGGAGCAACAACAACAACTGCAGCAGCAGCAGCGATACCTTCCCTCGCCGCTTGCAGCAGCCGTGCGCGCGCCAAGGGCGCTGCAGTCAGCGCTCGCACGCTTCCCGCGATCGACATGGGCATCGGCTTCGCGGCAGACATGTTCTCCAAGCCGCTCAGTGAGCTGATGGGCGAGAAGAGAGGACCAGTCCAGCAGGAGATTACACACTCCACCTTGAGCCCCACGGCTTTGGCGGGTGGGAGTGGCAGCAGAAGGCGCGGATCGGATATACATTCATTTTCAGTGCCCCGGAGGACAAGCTCGTTCATCGCTGCTGCCTCTCTTCCTGCTCTAGCGGCGACGGGCAAGATTGCGACACCGTCTAGCAACGTGATTGAGAAGGCTAAATCTGTGCGGCGTCTGCCGGCGCTCACGGATGCGACGACACCGCGCGGGTTGCACTCCCACTCGCTGTCCCTTTCGTACTCGGGCGCGCTACCTTGCTCCCCGTCGCATCACCAGGCGGAGGGGCCTTCGCATAGCCGCACCAGGTCGGCTCTGACCAACTTTACCGCTTCTGCCAGCAGCGCCTACGGCGGTAGCCCGCATTACCATAGCCTGTCGCTGAAGGACCTGCGTGACGTGATGGACGGCCGACGCGAGGCGCCCGCGCACCTACACCCCTCGTTTCCAGCCCAGTCGCCGTTTCTGTCGAACGACAGCAAGATCGCTGGCGGCAGCAAGGAAATCTCCACAATCGATCGGGTCACTTCGACTGCTCTGATCCCGGCGTGGATCGAGAGCAGAGGCACGCATATTGTTGACGAGCAGAGGCGCGCTGAGTCTGGAGTGACTGTAGCGCCTGGCTCTGCTGGGCTGCGACTGGACGGCGGTAGCGCCATCACCAGTCGTGCCAACTCGTACGGAGACGCTGTTGCTGCTGATGATGCTGACAGTGATGACGACAACCAGAAGCGGCTCTCATACTTGTCGTCATCCACTTGCATGACAGTTGCGAGCACCATCAGCGGCAGCGCACTCAGCACCAGCACTGGCCTTACCTCGCCGTCCTTATCCATGTCGATGCGCATCGAAGCCGGAGCCGGTGCCATAGTATCGTCCTCATCGCCCAGAGCAGCACCTACCTCTCCATTCAGCTCACCTGCTTCCTCGCTCGTACCGCTGTCGCCCATTACGACGACGGCGGCGACGTTCAGTGCGTCTTTTACTTCCAAAGGCGCTGATGCCGACATTAGAGCGAGCAGTGATGTGCAGGCAGCAACTACCGCTCAGCCTCGTCTCTTCTCTCGCGTATGAATCGCCACCAATCATGCGTCCACGTGTGAATGTGTGTATAATGTCAGGTTGTGGGCCGAATCCGCAGCGAACGCATTCCTTTCGCAGCAAGCCCTGTAACCAAGGAATAGATTGCAATACACGTGTCGTGCTACAGCCTCTGGAGCAATACAACAGATCCGTCTGAGTCATTTCAGAAAGCCTGTTCAAATCGCGCGAGGCAGGTCTGCGCGCGATCGCGCACGTCGAGCGTTTCCTCCTCCACAACGAGCTCGCGCAGCTTTTCAGGGAAGCCAAATGCGCGCAGTCGGCTGAGTGCTTCGGCGGCTGCGTCTGTCAGTGGGGGTGAGGTGCAAATATCATGCATGAGAGAGCAAGGCCCAGCGGGAACAAAGCATTTTTAGGGACAATGTACGAGAAAGAAGCTCACCGAGCGGAGAGGCGGCCTTCTTTCCGGCGCTGTTCGGCATCCTGAATGTAAGGTTGACAGCGCACCATACTCCCGCATCACGAATGCGAGCACGTCGATGACCCTGTGTGGGTAGATTTTCGTGTAGATCATGTCAGTCTGGGGAAAGAGTAATCGAAGCGCGTACAGGATCTCACGAGAAAGTAAAGCAGTGCATCAAGGATGTTGGGTCGGGTAATGATCGCGCGTCGGTGGTCCTCACTGCCTGTCGCGATGTTGACTAGAATGAATGCAGCATGTTCGATCACAGCATCTTCTCCACCCGCCCAAATCACATTCTCGATCAGCTCGAACAACTTGTCTTCGCCAAACCCTTGCATTGCAAGCTCGATGTCCGCCTCGCGCGACGAAGCGAGATTCCGGATGATGTTCAGCGCTTGCTCTTGTATCGCTGCGCTGCGCGCCCGAGCGAGGTCGGCGATGAAGTGGAATGTCAACGCTTCAACCACCGTCTTCTTGGTCTCGGTGTCGCTGGAATAAAGTATGTTCTTGAGCGCCCAAAGTGCATTTAGCCGAATGCTTTCGTTTTTTTCAACCTTTGCGAGTGTGACAAGCTTCGCCAGGCCGCCGCTCTCGACTAGAAGTTGCTTCATTGGGCTGAACTTGAGGGCTAAGTTGCAGATCGTCGCGATCACCTCCGTCTTGACGATTTCTTCTTCCGCATCATCCTTAAGGATCGTGATAAGTCGACTTGCCGCCCCAGCATCCACCAGCGAAGTCCTCAATATGGACACGCTGCGAGAGAGCGATCTGACGAGGCGGCAAGCGGCGACACGCACGCCCAGGGCAGCTGCTGTCAACAAAGGCACCACCATGGGTAGTATGGATGGTGTATTCATGTCCACCAGCATCCTTCTGATATCATCTTGCTCGTAGGTTAAAGCGGCAAGCGCCGTCAGAGCGCCTTCTCGCAGGCGCAAAATGAGTTCATCCGGCCGCCATCCCCCAGTCAACTTGGCTTCCTCCACTTCGCTCTGAGTCGCAGCGGCTGCCGATGTGCTTTGCAGGAGCGAAGCGAGCTTTCGCATGCAATCATGACCCTCGCACGCTTGTGTCTGCAGCTCGGCATCGTCGGCAATGAGCCTCGCCAACGAGAAGCATGCCTGGATTTGCACTGATACATCATCAGTGTGCGAGAGAAGGCTGATGAGCTCTCCAAGCACGAACGCGTTGGTTTGTGGAGTGAAAGGGTGCACCTTGATAATGTGCGCAAGTGAGCAGAATGCAGCCAGCCTAATAGGCACTGAACGTTCGTTCCGCAGTCGTAGGAGCATAGTTGTGGGAAGAATGCCTGACGGCATCTGGCATTTGAAGAATTTGACGCTAGCCTCGGCATTCTCCCGTACAAGCTCAGCGATGGCCCACAGAGCAGCCTCTTGCGTCTGAGAGTCAAGATTGGATCAGTAGCCACCTTTGGTTTCGCCCGATTCATACAACGTACCCGTCCGCTTTCACATTCAACAAGATAGATCAGCCTTTCTAATACCGAACCTTCCTCTTCGCGACGGCGTGGACGGCTCTTGCTCCGATCGGTACCAGGTAATGACATGAGACGCGCCGCCATGCCAGCAGGTCGTGACTCCAATCTTCCTCGCGCCTCTTGTGCTTGAACATTATCCATTGTTGCATCGTCGCCCATCTCCATGTCGACATGTACAACCTCGCGCTCTTTCCCTTTCGGCAACTTTGCCGCAGAGCTTTCTTCGCTGGACTGTAGAATGAAGTCGCCTTCGACAAGCTTTCTCGCCCTCAAAACGGAATCGTTCTCGTCCGTGAAGGCGAGAACCCTTTTTCGCCTTTCGGCGATTTCCTCGAGCGGTGTGCTCGCTTCTGTACCGGATGCACTCTTGCCTTCATTCTGGTGCGGCACCGTCACTCCATAGAGCTGTGAGACGCTTGCATCCGCACTGATCGGCCCAGATGGCGTCCCTAGTGTGGTGCTGAGGATGACGCATACAGTTTCTGCAACACCTGTGAGGCGTGTCTGATCCAACTGCGAGAGGTTCGAAGGCCGGCGCCTGGAGGAGAGGTCCTTGTCGCCTCGTTCTTGAGCCCCGCGCCGTAGATGATCCTTATTGGAATGTAGGCTATTATGCAGCACATCCGTGCCCTGGGCCTGAGGGCGAGCGTTCGAGGGGCCTATATCCGACGCAAGGCTCATGTTTGAGGGGGACCGTGCTAGCGAATGAGCGTCAGCGTGCTGCGTGCCATATGCTTTGATTGTAGCGGAGGATGACAAGTCGCCAATCAGGTCATATGCAGCATCCTCGCTTTCACCATCAACCAGTCGCGATAGAAAAAGACAGCTGAGCAAAAGTTGTAGATGGGTGGGAGTGTAGAGTTCGGCGATCGCAGCTCTGATGAGTATTCGCAGCTCGCCATCGTCAATTTCTGACCGAGGAGGCGTGGACACCAGCTTCAGGCGCCCATTTGACGTATCTGCGCTCCCATTGTCGAATTGAGTGCGCGGATCTCCTTGTGGCCTGTACCTCGCACTTATCACTTCGATGCTCCGGGCCGAACGGAGGATGCAAGTCGAACGATCAGTTCCACGGATGAACCCATGCCCGGAGCCCAAGCCCCAACGGACACTAGGGGTCACGAAAGAGCTGGATGAAGTGTAAAGGGCTTTCAAAGCTCTCAAATTTGCCTCAATGGCGCGCACAGCTTCATTCTGGATATGAGGGCGGTGGGTGTCCTGGGCAGCGTCGCTGGTGGGGTCCCGGACGAGTAGCACATCCTCGTGAGCGAGCTCTGAAAGTGAAGCAAGCAGGGCCGATACGATTGGCTCTTTCAAAAGGCTGTAAAGTATTATCTTTGATGTCGAGGCGCTCTGAGCAAGTGAGCCGAGCACCGTAGCAGCTTGCGTGCGGACTTCGAGACACAATGGCGAGCCGAGGGGAGTAGACAGAAGCTCGATGAATCTGAGCGAGGACAATGGTCAGCCTTCCCACAGATGCGATTATGCTCAAGTCAGCAACTGACTCTGTAAGGGGCTGGCTGGCTACTAGAGCGACCTTGCGATTACTGCTGCCGATGATAGAGTTGCGGATATTGCGAAGATGGAGCAGAGTCGAGGCTGCAGCTTGCTCGGCTCCGCTCTGCTCCGCTAAACCCGATAGTCCTGACATGCTGAGACTGGCAATGCTTGCGTTGAGCAAGCAGCGACCTTCACAAGGATCCTGTCTCGAACGAGAATATCATGTGATATCGATGATGACAAGCAATGCATAACAGCGTAAGGTAGAACGGCTATTTGAGGTGAGGAATGCATTTGTGATCGATGATGTTGATTGGAGGCTTGAGAGTGTTGGACTTCGATACCTCGTCTGGCGCGTCTCCGGCGTCCGACTTCTTGTTCTTCGCTCGCCACAATTGTTGAAGACCTCTTCTCCGCTTTCTACACCAACCAAGCCAAGCCCTAACTTTCATTCACTGTATGACTGCGACCTCTTGAGGGGAATATCTCATACACGGTGCGCGGTGATCCGGCTGCGAAAGGTGCGCGGAAGGCAACGACGAGACCTGACAACGGTCAATGATGCAGTTCACCTCTCCCGATTCGGCACCGGCTATGGACGCTGATTGGCTATCGCAGCTGCTACCGCAGCATCCCATTTTCAGTCTCCCTCAGGCACAGTCGCGAGACGGAAATGTGGCAGGGCCCAGCACACCCGCATCTTCCGGCGCCGCGCTAGGGCTTGGTAGGCAACGGCTTATGGAAGTGCGCTCGACTGATCTTCTGCTGGGCGTCAATCTACCAGACCGGCGCGGGAGGTCTGGACACGGGACCTGCGAAATTCGCATTGCGAGCTTGCTCGAAGCGAAAAAAGCACAGAGCAGGACTGATGGCGTGCTGCCGAGGTTCAAGGTCAGACCTTTGCAACTTGCAGATAGAAGGCGTGAGGCACTCTGCTGACGATGCTTGAAACCCCCAGATCTTCGATCCTCCCATTCCCTTTCCGGCCCGCGAGCTGCGTGTTAACCCAACAGGCAAGCTAATGGCTATCGCAGGCTATTCTGAGCTTTCTGTCAGTGTTCTGCCACGCTCTGGCTGGATGAACAACTCTTCCTCGACAACATCTGTCAAGGCACTTCCAATCGGAAAATTCTACCACAACAGAGGGTCTTCTAAAATCGCAAAGATTGACTGGCACCCGTGGGCTCGGGGTGGGAGCAGCTTACTGGTGCTCACAGAAGACGGCGTCCTTAGGTGAGACTATTCTCCACGGATATTCGATGCTGCTGGATTGCTGAGAAGCGTCATTAATTTCCAGGGAGTACGATGTGTCAGTCGACCATGAAGAGCCAGCACAACAGCTCTCTTTCCTCCCGAATGCATCTGCACTTTTAGGTTCATCTCGAGGGACGCATGCTTCCGCTTCAAAGCGGTTATCAACACGGTCGCCGCCTATCGATGCTGGAAGGACAGCATCAACGCCTGACAGGTCTCGACGACAGGAAACCCCTGGCTTCTTGGCAAACCGCGTCGCAAAGTTGGGTTTGCGCGACGAGCCCGAAGCACAAATTGCGGTCAGCTTTGCGTTTGGCGCTGGTGTCTTCGAACCACCACCCGATGGTTCATCGGCTGCGCATGGGACCGAAGGGCCAATGATGCTGCACGACAGCCACGTTGGCGCTGCCTGGGGAGGGTGGGCACCGCTCGAAATCCACGCAGTGATGCAGAACGGTGACATCTGGACAGTGTGCCCATTCCTGCCGAGTCAAGCGTGAGCTCCCAAGCCCCTGTGCGTTCAGTAAGTGGTGTATTGACCTAGTGCGCTATTCCATTGTCACAGCATGGTGCCACCATCATACATAAGCCATCTCGCATCTTACGTTGACCTCCAAGCAGACACAGCCTCGGAAGACCGAAGTCGCGACGTCGACCTTGCGTTGAGGTATGTTCGCAGCCTAGCACGGCAAGCTAGTGCCGCGCAATCAGAGGCCAATGCTACGACAATGACACCAGCGCAGACGCCTGCAAGCAGTCGACAGCGCTCGCTGCTTCCACCCGATGCAGGGAGAAGCGCCAGCTTCATGAGCATAGACACGCCGGCGCCGGGCGAAGACAGTTTGGGCGAAACATTAGTCACGGCTGTTGCTGCCCAGATTGATACTCCGGTGCTCATTACTCCTCCGCACCTCCCACTCTCGCCCGTCCCCAAACCAATTGGCCCACATTTGCTTCAGCCTGCGCCCCATGAGCTCTCCGACGAGCGAGAACCACTGGCAAGTGACCTGGCTATCACACGCCTCACTGACGACGACGGTCACAGCATTGACGTCGTGTGCGTGGCCTTGGACGATGGCCGCGTTGACGTATGCCTCACAACAGGCAGGGCTGCATCATGGCAGCCTACAGCCTTTGGGACATCTGACTCCGGTCTTTTTGCGTCGGGCCGAGTAAGCAGGAAAAGTTGGCCACGTCGTTCAGGATGCTTTAAATTGTCAGACTCGGAAGAATCTGAAGACAGCGAGGACCCAGATACCCGAGCGATGGACACTGCTGAGCTCAATAGCGCAGACAAGGATGTGCTTCCAACATTGCTTGTCTATGAGTCCATTGATTTGACTCTCCCTCCAGCCGGGACAGGCCAAATTCCCTCAGCACCAGCTCTTGTTGTCGATCCAATCTACCCTGATACAGTCTACGCTTATTCGGCAGCGGGCGTTCACGCCATATCTTTCCGACCCTGGGCTGCTAAACTCGCTGCTCTTACTGCAAAATTGGCGCAAAATGAGGTTGGAGCCGATGAAGAGCTTGGCCGCTTCATGCGCCGCCGAATTCGTAGCGAGCTGGTGCAAGTCATCAAGTCTGAGGACGATGCTGGTGCGAAAGTCGTCAACGCGCAGGCCATCATCGGGGTTTCGATCTTGTCCGACGTATACCTCTCCTACGCACTGCTGGCTGTCACTGCCGATCTCCAGCCTGTTGGCATCGAGCTGGACTTTCGCGTCGAGACCAACGCTTCGCTACTTAAAGCAGATGAGAACACTGGACTCGACACTGAGCGCGGACAAGACGGGAAAAAGGCGTACATTTCCTTACTAGAGGAAGGAGGAGCATTTATAGTTCCGGAGCCTTTTGCGTCCTACGGGGGGCTTCCTTCACAGCCCAAAATCACGGGGCAACATCGGTTTGGTAAAAGCGAGGTGGTGGTCACACCGGACTCGCTGCGTTTTCTCGGAAATGTGTCTGAGTCGCTGCGTGGGAACATTAGGGACATCATCCAGGGTGGAAATGCCGTGCAGGCACGACTAGAGTTGCAGCAGAAGGAGCTGGCGAGGCAGCTCGGCAAGCTTTCCGATGTTCAGAGCAAAAACGAAGCTCTAAATCAGAACGAAGCTCGCATCTCGCGCCGCTTTGACGATGTGGAAGCCACGCAAGCCAAGCTGAACAAGTGTATCGACACGCTACTGCAGCGCTTGATCGTGCTCCACCAGCCAGAGATCAGCATCTACGAGCGCAAATGGTTTGACGAGCTGGATCGGCTCGCGGCAGACTTTGGCGTGTCGCTGCCTGGTGGGACGGCTCAGGGGGAAAAGCTGACAAGCTCTGTTTCGCCGACACCTGCGATCACACGCAAGATCGAAGCCCTCCGCTCCCAGCTCGAGCTCATCCGCCCCGGATTGTGGGAGCTGAAAGAAGCGCAGCAAGCGAGGGAAGAGACGAAGAATACTCTTGGTACGGCACAGATGAGCAAGATCAGCAGGGCACTCGCGAAGCAGTGAGTCCTTGAGTTGAGGGAACTTTGAATTCCATGTTTTGTGCTCATCCATTCTCTTCTTCCACTGTTCAGGTCGTCCATACTTTTGGAAGCCAAATCGAAAGCTCAGGATATGCTCACGAAGATAGGCCACGCACATGCAGCGTCATCTTTGTAGTCCAAGATGGTGCACATCGATTGTAATCAACGGCAAACGCAGCCACATGGCTCAGCGCTTCCCGTGTGCGACCAAGTGTAGTACGCCGCGTCCAGGGCCGACCACACGGTACTTCACGCAGCGTAGGAAATAGTCTAATGCGAATCATCGTATTGCATTTTTCGATGTGGAAATGGGAAACCGCTCCCTACTTCCCTGTGGGTGGAGCGAGAGAACAAGGGGAGCACGATCAAATACAGAGTTGTTGTTGTTGTTCTGGTCGAATCGACGGAAAGAGTGAGTGACTGAATGAGTGAGTGGCTAGAATGACTGAATGAATGGCTGGAATGACTGTGTGAATGGACCTGACGCGGCGGGCATCCTTGGCGGTGCGACGTTCCTGTAAAGGTTGCATGGCCGAGGTGAACCTGTTTGGTATCTGCGTTGGTCTGCCTGTCGCACGGGTGTGTGATGGTGGAGGTGATGATATGATAAGATGTCGATTTTGCTAGAAGTGAAGTTGTATGATATCAGTCGTATAAAGAAAGAGAATTGTGTGCTCCTTGTCGCTTCGCTCTCTGTATCGTGTCCTGTCTTGCCTCGGCTACATAACTGCCATTGCTGCCGATGGGCCGCTGCAGTGCGATATACATATCCCGCGCCGTCCAGCAGCGGCGGGATGCCCGGTCAGTTTCCGTGGAAACCAAAAAGCTCGTCCCCTTCCTCCGCGCTTGCCAAACAACCATAAAGGGGGAGAGGAGGACAGAGAACCTGGCTCAGACAAGGTGCCGCCCGCTGGCGACGATGCCCCGCCCAGGCGCAAAGCCACCTGGTCCAGGGCCGTACGCGCCTGCGCCTGGCGGGGCACCAAACCCTATCGGCGGACCGCCGCCGCCTGACGGTCCGCCCGAGTATGGATACGCACCAGGCCCTCCTGCCCCGCTCGCAGCGGCGCTCGACGTGTTACGCGGAAGCGGAGCAGAGGAAAACAGGTCAGCGCCACCACTGCCACCTATTGGGCTCGCACGGCCGCTGCCGGCGCTGCTGCTGGCCCCGCTCACCTGGCGCGCAGGCATGCCAGGACGCAAGCCAGCAGCGCCAGCCGGCGTGCCTGACAAGGGCGCAGCGGCGTTGTATGTGCTCTGGCTGAGAGCGGCATTGTGCTGCGCGGCAAACGCGCCGTAGTTTGGCGCCGTCGGGTTCGGCACGACGTACCCGTGCGAGAACATGCTGCCAGCGCTGGGGCTGGGGGTGGAGAGGAACTCCTGCTGCGAGCCGGCGCTGCTGCTGCGCATGCCCATGAGTCCGATACTGTTCGACGAGAGCGGCGCGGAAGAGGTGTCGATGGGTGCAAGCTGCGGCGCGCTGCCCGCACCCGCGCCCGCTCGCGGTTGCAGCGGGCCATATTTCCCTGCTGAGCTGCCGCTGCCGAAGCCTTCGCGCTGCGCGCTAAGGAACGCGCCGCGCTCGGCGTCGGTGCCTCGGTCGCCGTAGATGGATCTGCGGTCTGGCTTGGGCCTGCCGCTGGGGGGCGGGCCGTGCGGACAATGTTGCGGCGACGCGGAAGAGTTGGGCGGGTACGACTGCCCACTGGAGGTGACGGCGGCGCTTCCGTTGCCGACGACCAAGCGGCTGCCAGCATTCGCGCCGTACAGCGACTGCGGCCCACGCGCGGAGAGACGGCGCCCGGCCCCGACCCCCACTTCGCTGCCAGGCGTCTCTAGAACGCCAGGTGTGCTATCACGGTAGCGCAGCGAGTTGCCGCGCGATATGCTCTCGACGCGCCTGATACCGGTGGAGCCCGAGGCGCCAGCAGCCTGCGGGTCGTCCATGTACATGCTTTTGCGGTACACACCGGCACCGACGCTCTGAATGCGGCTCCTGCGGTCTGCCATGCTCATGCGGTTGTGCGGGTCGCGTAGGGGCTGCTGCTGCTGCTGCTGCGCACCAGCTGTGTGCACACCGAGCCCGCCGTTAAGGCCGCCGCCGATGCGGTTGTAGCGGCTCTGGCGCCGGCCGTCGGACGCGGGTGGCGGGCCGTTGTGCAGCGGGCTCCGCAGGCGCGGCGCCACGCTTGCGCCCGTGTACACTGCACCGGGTTGGAAGCCGCTGCCATCAGGCGCGGGCGCGGGCGCACCGCTGCCGCTGCCGCCACCGAGGGGTGGGTGCTGCTGCCCGCCCTGCGCGCCGGGCCCTCTGCGCGCGGCAGTCGGCGGGCCCGGAAAGCCGAGTCCGCTCGAGGCGCCGCGGGTGTGCTGGAGCACGCCTCGGCCGGCAAAGTCCAAGTGGGGGGCCTGACCGTAGGGGAGTGTGTCGACGCTGCCGACGGTGCTGTCACGGCCGCCCATAGGCGCTGCGCCGGCGAGCAGGCCGGCGCTCGCGCTCGCGATGCGGCTCTGGCCGCTCGTGGCTGTGAGGCGCGACGGCATGTTGGCGCTTGGCTGGTACATTCCCTTGCCGCTGGCTGCCTGGTAAGGAAAGGCCTCCCGGGACGGCCGGTTGGTGATGGCGAGGATGCGGGAGATGGCGATGCAGGTGAGAAAGACGAAGATGAAGCCGCCGAGGATAGAGAGGATGGTGATCGCGCTAATGCTGGATGTGGCGTCGTATGCCAGCGCCTGCGGCAGGGACATGTGCTCGGTGTGGGCGTGTACCGATTCGCGGCGCCGCAATGTCTGATGCACCTGGGCGAATGCGTCGGCTAGCACGGGCCCCGCGCGCTTGGCGGCGGCTGCCCCTGGGTCTACGACGCGGCGCAACATGTCATGCCCATGTGATAAACTTGGTGACAGTGCTGCTCGATGGTGACGCCGTGATGTAGATGCGAGCGAGGGGGCGGCAGCTACAACTGGAACAGCGCTTGCTGCCGCCGCTGCCAAGGGGGGCAAATAGGAGGTAGATACGGATAGAGCATCCTCTGTAGCCCGCTGTATGATCTGACGTGTGCGGAGGAAGAGAGGGGGTCAGCATGGGGGAGGGGGCGAGCAAGCTGTTTGCTGCCCTGGCACGTGGATTGCAGACTGACTGTTTTGAAAGCCGACATGGTGAATGGCGGGCAGCGCACTGTACCCCTTGCACTCCACTTCTCTGCTGGCTACCAGCGGACGCTCGAGCGGAGCGGGGTGCAGGTTCAGCCTAGCTGAGCCGAGTCGATGCGGGGCCGTTCCACACTGCGCTTGTGCCGCTGGGGGGTGTCTGTGCACAGAGAAGCGGCCTGTGGAGATCGGCCTGGATGGTTGGAGTGTGTTATGTGTGTGTGGCTGTGAATTCGTCGCAGACGAAACACAAGCCGGCGCTCGAGGTGATCCCAAAAGAAAAAGCAGCGGCGACTATCGATGAGCCGTCAAGGATCGTGCAATCTGCTTTAGAGCGAGAGGAGGGGTGGGGCGCACGGTCCGGCTGGGCAGCGGATAGCGAGGCGAGGTTGGATGGGAGAGGATAAGAGCAACAGCGATCGCATACCTCTGGCGGCGTCCAGCGGCCGGGGAGAGCGCTTTGGCTGGCTGTCGATGTGTGTGTGTATGTGAGTGAGTGTGTGGATGAGGATGCGTGTTGGTTACGATATAGACACTGGCCCAGCATGGAGAGCGGCAAAGGCAATGGCGAGGAGGAGGAAGCTTGTTTGGTGTGTGCCAGCCGCGGGTGGTCAGGCTGGCAGGAGACAGACGGCAGGGGGGAAGAGGCGAGGCGAGGGAGAGTGTGATATGGATGGGTGTGGGTTGGGGACCAGCCGCACTGCACCGCACCGCCGAGCCGAAGCTAAACATACAGGCAAGCATTCCTGTCCTTTCTCTTGCCTTTTCTTTTTGTTGGCTACGCGGCGAGCAGAGGGCACTGCACCAGTGGTAAATCCAAGGGGGCGGAAAAAGAAAGAAAAGAAGCGGAACCGGGCTCCTGCACCCCGACTGCTGGCTTTGGCGTGTGAGTGGCTGCAACGACCCTCCTACCATTACGTAAGCAGCGAACCGCGCGACGCGCCACTCTCGCACCGCTTTGGACGCGACCATTCCACCAAACACACGTCCACCTATTGCCTTCTTCCATTGTAGCACACCTCGACTCCATCCGAATACGAAGCTCGTCGACAGCCCGCGCCCAAGTACATTGCACGCAGAGCCGTCGCACTGTACAGTGGCTGTGCCTGCTTTCTCGTCTGCACCACCAGTCTCGTCGGCCGACGCGACGACCGCGGCGCGGTGCAGTGCGCGAAAAGAGTCTACGCGACGCGTCGTACCACCTCACCTCGACCCTGGCTGTCAACAAGGCAGACGGAACAAGAGGCAGAACATTGTACGCACCTATCGGGAGCCCCTTCAATCCGCACCCACAACAAGGAATCTACCACTACTACTATTACTAGTACTACTACAGCAACAGCAGCAGCAGGTGAGGCGAGCATTCGCATCGCGCTACGCGAGGCCCCACTCAGATGACGCGTCTCCGTCGCGAAATGGCAGTGCAAATGCGCCATGGGGATCAAGAGGAAGCCGAGCATCTCCAACTGACCAGCAACGCGTCTTCTTTCTTCTCTTCTTTGCCTCCTTCTCTTTATATCCCATCGCTGATCTCGATCAGAATGGCGTCACCTCCCGTTCCGCAGGAACAGCAACAGCAGCACAGGCAGCAGCCCTTCGCTTCCACCATGGCCGCGCCGCCGCCCAGGGCGAGGCTGAGCGCGACAGGCATTGACACACCCCCGCCCTCCTCTCCCTTCTCCAACTCGCTCACCTCGCCGACGCGCACCACCAAAGCCGCCTGGCGCGGCGCGGCAGCAGCAGCAGCGCGCAGCGTCCCGCCGCCGCACTACGCCGCCGTCTCGCCGAGCAAATACGCCGCGCCGGGCAGCTCGCCGATCAAGATCTTGCGTTCCTCGCATCGCAGCAGCAGCTCGCAGCACCCGCAGACGCCCTCGTCCGACTCTCGGCACGCGACGAGTAGCACGCAAGTGCAGCCTGCATATGCTCAGCAGCAGCAGCGCGAGCTAATGATGCCGTCCAGCTCACCCATCTCGCAGCGCGTCCAGCGGCTACTGCAACGCCAGCGGCAGCCCGCGCCCCCAACGCTCCGCAATGCTGGCGGCGCTAGCACCATTTGCATCAGCACTAGCATTCGCGCCGGTCGCGGCGGCAGCAGTGACGACGGCCGCGAAAGCACGACAACGAGACAGTTGACACCGCCGACGCTTGCACCGGACGCGGCTTGCTTTGGCTTGTTGCAGACTCCCTTTCCCGCGGCCACCCCCTCCGTCGCCACATGCCAAGCTGGGCAGCAGCCGCAGCCGCAGAGCGAAGAGCTGATCGACAAGAGCAAGACGTACATCCTTTTTGGCGCACGCTCGCACTCCATCGTCCTTGGCCGCGCCAAGCAGCCGCCCTCTGCCGCAGCCGGCACGGCCGGAGCGCTGCGCGCCTCCTCCCCTCCGACGAGTGTCGTCGCGACAGACACAGACGCAGACGTAGATGCGCATGCACATGCACACCGCGGCGTCGCTGGGGGGGTGCGTGCGCAAGACGATAAGCCTGTCGCAACGATCGCGCTGCCGAACGACGCTAAGCACGTCTCGCGTGTACACGCCGTGCTCGACTACGTCCCTTTTGGCAGCAAGCTCATCGCGGAGTCCAAGGCGTCCAGACGGCACGAAAGCAGCAGCCGTGACGCATCTGCACCCACACCCACGCCTGCAGACAAGGGCACGTGGATAGTCCGCATCCTCGGCCAGAACGGGCTGATCGTCGACGGAAAGCGCAGACAGCCCAGTCTCGCGTTCCGTGTGCACGCTGCACGCGCACAGGTCGAGCAGGCGAGACATGCGCAGCAGCAGCAAGGCCAGAACGGTGACGGGAGCGATCAGCAGAACACTGCCGATTGCAACGAGAGGGCATGGCACTTCGACGGCCTGGATGCCGCGACCGAGCTGGACTTTTTCGGGATCCGCATCCGCTTTGTTGAGGTCTTCAGCGGCAGCGGCAGCGCGGCAAGCCAACCGATTAGCACGCCGAATGCACAGCTGCACAGCCGTACCGTCAGCGAGGACTCCACCGGTGCGGCCTTTGCTGCTCCGGGCGAGGATGCAGACGCGCCCATGGCCGAAGGGGCGTTACAGCGCGTGCAGCCGCAGAGCCCGGCGAAGCGCCGCGCAGCCGGCGTCCCCGTGCCGGCCGCACACAAGCTGCCGAGCGTCGCATGCAAGGAGGACCTTCTCGCGCGCCGGCTCAGCCAACAGCGTTCTTCGATGTCAGAGTTCGCGTCGGGCTGCAGCGGCAAGCACAGTACCGCATCATATGTTAGAGAAAAGCAGCTGAGCGAGCGCGTCGCCTCGGCCGTCGGCGTGAAGCGTGCATCAGGCGCTCCTGTTGGCGGTGCCATGTTCAACCGCCAGGGCTTGATGACGCCGCCGGCTAGCTCCTCTCCCACCAGACATGCTGCGGCTGCCGTCGTTGCGGCTCGGGGCGCCAAAGCCCACCGTGCGAATGCAGGCGCCGTCGCTGACGTGGATGCAGATGCGAGCGCCGTCGTTTCCGACTCGCTGCTAAGCAGCGCTCATAGAGTACGCTCTGTGCCGCAGCGAGCGATAGAAGACGTGGAGGCTGAAGAGGATGAGGAGGATGACGACGATGACGACGATGACAGCGAAGACGAGGACTTTATCGGGGAGGAGGACGAGGAAGATGAAAGAGTGAGCAGCCCCAGCGCTAACCGCGGCAAGAAGAGGGGCATCCTGCTGTCCTCGCTGGTCCAGGAGACTCAGGAGGGTGAAATGCAAGAGTTAAGAGAGGAGGAGGAAGACGTCAGACAACCCAAGAGGCGTGTCCTCTCGTCCGGTGCGGTGCCCGTCACGAGTATCGCTGAGTCCGTGACCAAAAGTCCCGCAGCCAAGGCAAAGCGGCCGGGAGAGGGAAAGGGCGACGATGATGATGACGACCTAACTCCGCCGCCGTCGCCTGAAGTGTGGCGTTCCGGCCGTGCACGTAGCAGCGCCAGCCGACAGCCCAAACAGATTCACGCCAGTGAGTCGCAAATGCGCATGCCTCCCCCGCCCGTGCCGTCGATCGTGGCGCGCTGCGTCGCTTCGACGTCCAAGCGCAACAGTCCCGCACCGGCCGGCGCACTTCCGCCGCTCTCATCAGCATCCACGTCCGCACCAACGGCCAGCGCCGACGCTGGATCTGGCGAGGAAGCGATGCTCGCAAGCGCGCGCAGCCGTGCACGCCGCGCCGTGCGCATGCTCGCCGCGACGTACGACCTCGAAGGCCTGCTGGCAGGTACGATCGTCTTCCATCGCACCGCGACAATGGCCTCTTCGGAAGCTGTACGCGGCGTGCTCGCTAACAACCCTGGCCTGATGCAGGGGCAAGCGGGCGAGCGCGTTCCTGTGCACTCGAGCCCGCAGAAGAAGAAGCTCGAGATGAGCGAGGCGGTTCAGCGCTTGCAGTCGAGCGCCAACAGTGCTGAGATGCAGGCGGAGAGCGACGGGCTCGTGCATGGCAACACGGTTCTGCTGTGGGAGAACCCTTTCGCAAACAAACTGGACGAGAGTCGTTGGAAAACCATGCAACGCAAGGCCTGGGCGGAGCATCTGCAGCTCCTGCTGCACGAAAGCCCCATGTTCGGCAGCATCCACCGCCAGGGCAGGGACTCGAGCGGGAATGCTCTCGAGGCTTGGTACTACTATGACCATGAGAAGGACCACGACAAGGAGAGGGCGACTAACCTCAAGCCGTTCGTCAAGCCAATGCGAGGCGTGCTCAAGTCGATGAAGGTGAGTGCATGCGACTCTCAGTCGCAGGGTACGTGCTTGCTAACCTCCACCCTCGCCTTTGTTATTGCCCACAGCCCATTATCTGGAAAAAGTCTCTGTACGGTCGCTGCGACAGTGATGTGTCACTGAAAGCGACGCCGCGCGATCTCAAGACGCGGGTTTGGGACGAGACGCAGCCGGAGGAGCGTGAGAGCACATGGGATAAGGAGGGCGACCAGGACTTCCGTGTCTGAATGTGGACATAGACTGGTTCAAAATTCACCGTTATACATCCATTGTCCGATTATTAAAACACACCAAAGAATAAAAGAAACAGCCTGAATGTCAACGCACAGCGACCCTCCTTGATCCTTAGGCCTATTTCTGCTTGAAGGGAGGATATCGTTGTTGATGTAGCTTCTACTTCTTCGAGCATGCACCTTTCGAAGAGGCTTGATTCTAACGCGCTCAGCACCGTACCCAAGCCTTGCCGTGCCACCTATGCACGACTTCTCCACCGATACATGGCTCCATGTTGCGTGGTAGGCATGCACATGAGGATGTACATGCCCATCGAGCTTCCACGGATATACAGCGCTCTTCTTATCGATGGACACTTTCTGCTCGATGCTGCCCTGGTAAAGTAAACGATGGAGGAGCCACCGCAACCCTTTTGGACGTTTCGCCAGCATCTCCCGTACGCGATCCACAGCCTGCACTTCTTCTCGTCTAAACAAAGACAAAAAATTCACAAGGACATCCATGGCTTAAAGGATGCGCGAAAAAGCGCAGGAGCGCTATGGCTAGCAGCTGGAGACTCCCATGGTCAAGTCAGCGTCACCTCAATGAGGACCTACAGGCAGACAGCGTTCTGGAAGGCTCACAACGACAGCGTGCTGGGTGTCGAAATGGTCACGGACGACATTATCGTGACGTGAGTTGATGGTACTCTCTTTGAAAGCTTTTATCAATTAGAAAGTGACGGAGCAGGCCTCCAGGTCTGGAAGAGACAATGAATTACACGTTTGGTCATTGTCTGGAAAGGGCAAAGAAGACCGTGGCAGTGAAAGTCAACCCTCAGCGACGTCTCAAGAGTCACAAACGGTGCAAACAAGCACCGTATCCAAGTGTGCAGCTCGGTCTCGCCTGCCATCGAGAATGTTGAGCTCTTTACCTCAGCCAGCCAAACTCTACACAGTCGCGGTAAATGCGATGAACTATTGCCGTTTCTCCATACTTGCCTGTGGTGATGCACCGGGTCGGCCACACAGCGAAGATTTGGGATGCCCTGAAATGCTCATCGCAGTTCCTCATACGCTTGAATCGGCGTATATCGACTTGCTACGGGTGTCGTCCAGCGCGGGCAGCCCGCAGCGGCTCGCAACAGCACTTGGCAAACCTGACCTTGCTTCTTCCGAAGCTGTGAAGTCGAGCAGGCAAGCGATCGTCATGGCCCTTCATCTCTTCCGCCAGAACCCTCAACACCGAAGCTCTGGGCCGCCACTTGAGAAAATGGATGCTGCAAGTGATTTGCATCTTCTCGTTGGATATGAGGACGGACGGGTTGTCTTGTGGAGACAGGAGTGTAATTTTCCTGCGCAACGTGCAACGGCACATGGGGGCATGCCAAAAGAAGGACATTGGGTTCGCGTTTGGGAGTACAAAGAGCATGTGGAAACAGGCGAGTTCCATGGCACGATTGAAGCATTGGAAGTAGAGGGCCCCTGACTCTTGCTTGCCTGCAGTACTTTCCCTCTCGCTCTCGCCATGCGCAAAATTTGCTATATCGACCGGGGCGGATGACGTGCTTGTTCGATATGAACTCAGCAGTCTGGTTCAGAAAGGGCAGACGAAGCGCATTTCAGTCTACAAGACGGGCTTTGGTGGTCGTGCATGCAGCTGTATCCGCGCGGACAGCGAGGTAGTCGCCGCGGGAGGCTGGGACGGTCGTATCCGGGTCCACGCTGGAAGCACCTGCAGGCAACTGGCTGTCCTCTCATATTTCAAGGACACCGTGCAGGCCATTGCCTACGCACCTGATCTTCGCGATCAACATTCAGAAAGAACATCACCTGGCTGTGATGAGTCCGATTCGGATGAAGGCTGGGACGTCGGCGCCCACGAACGCATTGAAGAAGCGTACAGATGGTTGGCAGCTGGCGGAAAGGATGGGCGCATCGCACTGTGGAGCGTCAAATTTGAGCGCTCTTCAAATACAGTTTGAACGGTTTGCAGAGTTGTGCTACAAATTATGATTGCTGGATATCGATAAGGCAATTTGCCGATCCCTCAGCATAAAGGGTTGCTAAGCCTGCTGCAGACCTGTTGGTGCCGTCTGGTTGAGTCAGATCCCCCTCGAAAAGAGTCACGATCGCATGCCATAGAGCGAGAGAGGTCAAGCCGGCCTGTTCGACAACGACGCTTGAAGTCCATGACATGGAGGCAAATGGCGCTAAATTCCCACGGAATGATTTGCGCCCGATCCATCGAGCTACTGGGTGGCCGTCGATGCTGAAAAAGATGGTGTCAAAAACGCCGAAATTTGGCCGATCGCGTTCCCAAGACTCACCAAGGCATATCAAGATTGTGCAGCTGCAGCTCCACAGTGCAATACCGTGCAGAGGCATGATTGTGCACACTTAGCGAGATTGGTATCGTCAAATGCGAGGTAGATTCAAAGTCATGCAGGGCACGCCTTGGGGCCGCTATGAGCACTTCGATCGGGTTCTCCTCCTGGCTGAGCCGGCTAGTGAGGATGTTTCGCCAGAGTACCTCTGCTTCTTTCGCAGTCTGAGCGTACAAGCTACGAGGCTGCTTGCCTTCTGGCGCCACGGTGGAGGTGAGAGCTAAGAGGTGATTCTGTAGTGGGCCTCCGGGGATGCCGAAGAGGTGGTGTGTTCCTGAGCGTCCCGAACCAGGAACTCTCCAATGGAGGGTGAGATCAATCTCGTGCGGCTCATGCAGCAGGTAGATCTTCTTTCGCTCTACAGCTGGTATAGCAAAGTATTCTTGAGCAAGTCGGGCTAATCGCCATTTCTGCTTGTCGGATTCTGTGAAACGTCGTGCTATCAAAGCATCGCTATTCAAGGCGGAGATATGCAAGACAGACTCTATTACGGGGACATATTCATCAGTTTTCTTGTCCTTGATCAGCTTTCGCAGTCGCTCGGAGACCACATCAGCGTCCACTTTGCTTGTGTCGAAGTCTACACGCGTGAGTTTGAGAGTAGTCCGCGAAGATTGCGCAGGCAAGAGCGTGATGGGGTGATGGCCCACCTGTTGACCTGAAAGCCGCCATGCCATGCTGGAGATACTGATGTTGGTAATCTCCAGATCCTCATGCATCAGATTGTGGACCTGAAGATACAAATACCGATCAGTAAGGTGCGCAAATACTTGAAGATCCATATCCTGACCTCAGAGAGAATACGCCAGGCGCCCGGTTTTCCGTTTGTTGGCCACCCAGTGCAATTAGCTCTGACCACCGGTTGTACCAGACTCTCGAAGCGGTAACGGGCGCACCTCGCGACGCCATCGGCACCCTGTAGAGACGTGCAATGAATAGATTCAGATATCGTCGGGGTCAATCGCCTCCGGCATGCTCACCAAGAACACGACTAGCAGGCGCGCTGTCTGGAGGCCAATTGAAGATCCTCTAGACCAGAGTGTCAAGCTCGAGCTTTCCCCAGCCTGCATTTGAGCGCTGGTTCGGGGGAAAATGAGCCGTTCTGGTTGCAATGTGTTATGTACCACCACCTTGGCGCCTTCGTGCATGTTTGAAGCTTCATCTGCTTCAGCTACAAACAGAGACGATGTGTCTTGAATAAATATGCCCAGATGCTTGACATCTAGCCCAGAGATGTTCCTAAGAGAAAGCTGGTATTTCACCTCCTCGCCTTCTAGTAAGGATGGTTGCCACTGCTGGACATCAAGTGCAACAGTGGGTCGTGCGTCTGTGATGGTGACCCTCAATGTTGCATCCTCCGCATACGTCGGTTCCAACTTCTGCGCCCTCGTTTTGTTCAGTCGTTTGCCTCGCTTCGTCAGAGCCTGTCTGATTGGCACGTTCTCGTTCAAGATGAAGGTGATGGTATGCAAAAGCAGCTTGCCAGCATGCTTCGGTACGAGTTCAACATCGACCCAGCGACTTTCAAAAGGCCGAACTGTGACCTCGGAGACAGTTGTTTCTGCGAGATTTGACTCGCCTGCTTCCATTTCTTCGTCTTGCCAGCTGCCATGGATACGGAGAGAAGAAATACTGATAGTGCAGGCGAGTGAATTTTGCAAGCTTAGGCGTACTCGGAGGGGCTCTGGATAACGAGATTAGGCAGGTTCAATGTCAACAATCCTAGAACTCCGAGATACGGGAGATTGTTGAAACTCACCGCCTACTTGCGCAACTCGCTCCGGACTGCTCAAAGGCATTTCCAGTCTAGAAAGGCTCTTCCTGGCATTGTCACCCAGCTCGTGATCATTTCTGAACAATTCAGAGATATATGCATCTCGGATTTCTTCCCAGCGAACCTCTTCCTCCGCATCCGAGATTGGCGGACCGATGCCAGCATGCGCGCCGACAAGGACTACGTTTTCGCTTTCACTTTTGATGATTGTGCAGCGCGCGACGTCAAATAGCGGCTGTGCCAGCGTGAGCTCCTGGTCTTGTGCATTCTCTTGAGGAATTTTTCCATCGCTTTCCGCTTTTTCTCTCAATGTCTTCCACAGCGCCGATAACTGCTGGAGGTAGGCAGCCTGTTCATCTGCGCTTCCGTATCCCGACCTGAGAAGACCGATCAGGTGCTGAATGCTATCTCGCAATCCAGACTCAGTGCTGCTACGCTGCTGCGCTTGCTGCATCAGCTCGCGCTGCAAGTGAGCATCGATAGCCGTCCACGAATGCAACGGCTGGAAGCTGTTGGCGCTCTCAAAGCAGCGCCCTGCAAGTGCACGTTGGCCACATTGTCGATACGCGTGGGCTGCTGTGAGTAGATGAATTGATGCTCTACGCACCGAAGGATACTGCAGCGCAGCAGCGGCAACGTCGGCTGGCGGTAAGCCGGCCTTTTCGTTCACACTAGCTACACCCTTACGCAGACACATCAGTGCAGCCTGCTCATGCAGCATGGCAGCTGAAATCTCATCCATGCTGGCCTCTGCACTGTGCTTTAGCGTATTCGCAGCATGTGCATGGAGCTGCAATGCTCGATAGGCTTCGTAAAACAGCAGCGTGATTCGAAGCATGCTAAAGTGAAGATCCTCTTCTCGCACTGCTGTCGATGTTGACGCGCCTGCTGTCGCGTTGCTCTGGCCTAAAAGAGCGGCAGAAGCTGCCGCGAAATCGAAGCGCGCAGCTCGTAGCTGTGCGCCAATCTCCTCTGCCTTTTGTGCTTGCTTTGCAGCTGTTGTACCCGCCTCGCCTGCGGCTGCTGCGACGCGAAGCATCAGACTGGAGAGGCCAGCCATGGCACCCGCCGCGCCCGCCATCGCCATGGCTCTGTCATTCGCAGCATCTTTACGCATAAGCTCGTATGTTGATGCCGCAAGCGAATAGTCACGCAAGATGAACGCGAAGTCTGCCAACCGCCGAGTCTGTGCTTCATTGCTCGAAGCTGGATAGTAGCCTGCGCTGGCGAAATAAGCGCCAGAACCAGCTCCGGTGGAAGAGCCCCCGGCGCTGGAGGACGCTGAGGCTGCGGAACCAAAGAGTCGTCTGCCGGCGCCGAACAGCCGATTGGTCAATCCTTTCCGGCTTTCCGAAAGCTGCGTGTTCCACTGCTGGACACTGCGCTCCATCCATGGTATGAGGCTTTGCGCAGCAAACACGCGCACGAAGGATGCGAGTGTGCTGACGTCTTTTGCGGAGAGGGATGTAGCGTAGCGAGCGCTTCCGGAAATGTGTTGCGTACCCTTCGCGGCTGCTGATCTGGTAGACGATGGATATGTTGCTGATCCATTCGCGCAACGAGAATGACGATTGTCAACGTCCAGAGATGTGCACGTCATGTGAAGCTTCGGACCCTCCTCGCCATCATCGCCAAGCTCCACACCCTGAATGTTGAGTCGGCCTTCTTCACCAATCGACCTCTCCCACAATTCTGCAATGGATTGACCATCTCTCCCAGGCGACTCCTCTCCTATCCCCGCTTGCACATCAACGACACCCCCAGTATTGATGATGACCAAGCTGCAGTTGAGACCATAGCTCTTTCTGCAGCTTTCAAGGATCCAATTGCTTCTCTCCAGACTTCCCCGTTCCTCCTGCGCAGATGCGTCGTGCAGTAAGACGTAGTAACGCATGATCGTCGAGTCCACATAAGGACGCGCCGTGAAGAGCGAGTTGGAAGTAGATGAAGACTCATAGAGCTTCTTGAAGGCGCCTATTGGATCAGGGTTGTGGCTCGACACTACCATCATGACTATTTCGCATAGTGAACAGTGAAGTGTTTGCAAGGTGAAACAAAGATGATCAGCTACGTCACGAGTATATACTAGGAATCCAAGAGAACTCACACGCGACCGGATGGGAGAATGTTTCAATTGGTGCGACCAAGATGGTGGACAGCACAGCATCGCGAAATTCAGCGTACCATGGCGTAAGCTTCTCCACCGGTTCTGCAGATGCAAACGAGGTATAAAGGCAAAACCGCGTCAGCACAGGTTGGTGTTTCCGTTAGATTTGCTTTAAATTACCTTCCAGCACGTCACGATCCAGGTCATCTTTCCCAAGGAGGGTCATTGGGCCCATCCTGCTCAGCCAGTCCTCTTGCTGTCCACCTTCTTGCTGCTTTTCCTTACCCTTGCCGCTATGCTGTGATATTTTCCTGTTCAAATACGGTACCATGCCGTCAATCAGATCTTCTGGACGGACGCGAAGCCTGTTGAAATGCTGGCTCGAGGACTTTGAAGAGTTGGATGCTGGTGCTGGCAGAAACGCATCGAGAGGGTCGAAGCGGAGCGGGAAGACACTGCATTGCTGCTTTTCTAGATGCACGCTCGTGACACCGACTTCAATGTTATCAAACCGAGGAAATGCACATTTGATCCTCAGCCTCATATTTTAGCGTGGGTCAAGTGTTGCATCGCTCAATGATGAGGACGTTGCGCACTCACCATTTCGAACGCTATCTTCAAAAGGCCGCAACAGCGCGGCAAAATTATGCAGACCATTGGTAGTGCGCAGCAGATCATTGACATCGTCAGACTCCAGTATTGCTATGCGCGGCGCCAGAGCACCATGCACCGTGTAGTTGTGTGTGTCCATAGGAGGTCTTTGAGGAAAGGCACTCATAGTGGGCCTAGCTCCAGCAATTGGCGACGGCACCCGAGCTGCCGGCATGCGAGGAACCTCAGTAGCCATGATCGGAGATGCCTATTTGACTATCCTTCAAGGAGATCCAGTCAAAGATTGACCCGCAGCGATCGCAAGGAGAAAGCAGGAAGCCGCTCTGTTGTATCCAGAGGGGAGCAGCAGGAGGAGCGTACCCAAAACCCTGCCGGTGACGATGGGCTCCCACACGATCTGGCGCCTACGCTCTTCCCTCTTTCTGAAGCGAGCAGCGCGAGGATTCAATAGTACTGAACTGAGTAGACAGCGACGGAAGACACCCTTATGGGTCAGTGACCATGCAGTCCGAGCCCCTGGTCGGCAGGACCATGGCGTCAATGCCGACCAGCATCAAGCGGTTTTGAAGGCATCCCGACTAGCTCCAGCGGACGACTGTACGGGCCATCTCTACATCGATCTCATCCACGTCTCTGCATGCATTCGGTGCAACGGTGTTGACAAGCTCGGGCACTCATCAATTTTCAACATTGCATCGGCGACTAAACCCCAAATTTCTTGTCCAGCATCCTCTTGTGCAGACATTTTGCGAGGTCTCTCTTATTGTGCAGCTCCCCAGGCATGTTTGCGGGGAGCCTTGGCGAAGGTATTTGCCGGTGATTCTTTTCTGGAAGGGCCAACTTGCAGAACCAGAGTGTAGCAGGTAAAGTAGCTTCTCACGCAACATGGCCAAGAAGGGGTTTGCCGGGCACAAGGAGCGCAAGAGGGGAAAGAAGAAGAGCAAGGTTGTCGCCGAGCTGACAGTCGCCGCTGTAGAAGAGCCCTCTGAATCCATCATCGACACCGATCTCACGAAGAAGCCAGCTGCTCAACAAGAAGGAGAAGACACAGATGGTCAGCTGAACCCCTCTTGGGTCGTTTCTGAATCATCTATCAAGCCAAACGATGCAGACGACGTAGCACCCTTCGGCTATGTCGACGCGGACGTCAAAGCCTACTTCAAGGATGTACATGCGAAGCTCAAAGAAGCCGAGTGGGCTGCTCCGCAAAAGAACCGGTCTTCAGAGCTCGGGGAAGATATCGATGGAGAGAATGAGCACTCGCTTCTGCTCAATGCTGCCATTCGTGAGATGGACGGCAAGGAGCTACGGCTTGCAACTGATCCAGATACCAGCATCGCCCTGGAGTACATAATTGAGCATATGAAGGAGAAGCAGATGAGAATTTTGGTGGACCGAATGACCGGAAGGTAAGCCTTTTCCCCTCGC